TTAATAAAAAAATGTTACTTTTTTTTTTTTTTAAATTTTTTTGGTTAGGGTCATGGTGTGTATGACAGTGTTCAAGAGTTCCATAAGTTCTCTTGTTACAATTTTTAAATTTATTTGGATTCATACCAGTGTTGTTCAGGGAAGACTCCTGACTGTGTCCCGGTGGGTAACATCCGGGCGCAGGGGATCAGGTCCAGGTTGGCATATGCAGGGCTAGAACCTGAACATCTGTGTTACTTCTCCAGCCTTACACAATGTATACACAATTTACGTCGTATACAGTGCAGTGTGTTATATATACTGTATGTGTTGTATACTATGTGTGTGTGTCTATGATTTTTGGGCCACACCTGGTGGTGCTCGGGTTACTCCTGGCTCTGCACTCGGGAATCACTCAAGTGCCCGGGATTGAACCAGGGTTAGCGGCGTGCAAGCGCCCTCCCCACGGTACTCTCTTTGCTCTGGCCCTCATATTTTTTATTACTTGACGTTCAGCCTTATAGCAAGGGACAGTTAAAAGCAGAAGTATGAAATGACATTAAAAAGGGAGGGGGCATTGCTGACTTTATTTGAGGTGAGAACACATCAGAACTGTCAGGACCAGGTAAACTTAATCCCTGAAATGGATCTCTGAGGGAGGTGAAACACAAGATTTCAGGAAAGCCTGGAGTCGGCTTTCAGGGGGGGAGGGGCAGGTGATGGGCAGCAGAGAGGCCAACCAACGCAGGAGAGAGAAACGGAAACAGCAGCCTGCCAATGAAGTTAAGTCTGAAGCTCAGGAAGGAGGATGAAAATCAGGCCAGGGGAACAAAAGTGGAAAGACGGGAGGAAGTGCAGAGAGTGTGTGGGGTGGGGATGCGGCTGGCCTCTCTGTCCCCTCCGTCCCGGTGAGGGACTGCACCTCCTCCATGTGCCTCTGGCCGGCCTCTCAACCAGAGCTGCTTCCTAGTCTGGTTCCCACTGGACACAGGAATTGGGCTGGGACTGACCCTAACACAAACTCCAGAACCAGTGATTTTTTAGGGGGGGCGAGGGGGAGAGGTCGGGGTAGTCACACCTGGTGGTGCTCAGGGCTTACTACTGGCTCTCTATGCTCGAGCATCGCTCCTGACAGGGCTGAGGGGGCCCAGACCCTAGAAGTTTTATGCAAAATGTGGTGGCCAGTCTGAACATCTTTTGCTTCTGGGACCCCAGGACAGTTTTGTGGGTAGAGCGTGCTCGCAGGGCGGGCTGTCCACTGCCACACGAGGGGCGTCTTTGATTGTTTGAGCTTTGGGGCCACACCTGGCGCCGTTCAAGGAGGCTGCTCCTGCGTCTGGGCTCGGGACCCAGAGAAGCTCCTCCGGGCACTGTGCTCCATGGGGGCTCCCACGTGGGCCTCCTGCGTGCAAAGCAGACTCCCTCTGCACTCTGGGAATTCTTAGCAAACACAGAACATGGTATGGGACTTGGGAGACAGCTCAGCGCTCAGGCCTGGGGAGGGGCCCCTGACACTGTGAGGTCTGTGACCCACTCTGCAGGGCCGGTGGTGGCAGAGTGGGTGCCCGGGGACTTCGCAGTCGCTGGCCCCTGACTGCTGCTTGGAAGGCCTCCCACCCTCAACAGAGAGTGCTCAATGCTGCTGGCCCAGAGTCCATCCTGGCCTCCCATAGGCTCCCCAAACTCCTGTGTGCAGAGCCAGAAGTCAACCCTGAGCACTGCTGGGTATGGCCAAAACAGACACAAAAACCACTGACAATTTTGTGGAGTGTGTGATCTGTTTTGGTCTTTTCCATTCTGTGTGTGTGTGTGTGTGTGTGTGTGTGTCCATGCGCGAGTGTGTGGTGAGTTTTTGTATAGGGTTCACTCCTGCTGGAGATGGGGCTGGGGTCCGTTGCTGGTGGGTGCTCCCTCCCCTCCCCTGTACTCTCTGGCCCCTCCTCGTTCCTGTTGAGGGTCCTTCCCTGCCATGCTGACTATCCAGTTCAGGGACTGGGACCTGGCGTTTCAAGGCCTTGTGCCGAGCTGAAATTCCTATCTGCAGAAAGGTCTGTTGAGGTTGGAGTGCAGCTCAGTGGCAAAACTCTTGAGTTCCTTTTTGGTTCCTTAATGTTTTAAAGCCAGGAGATTTTGGGGGGTGTTCAGCTGTGAGCCAGCGGAGGGAGCCCTAGGTCATGGGTGAGGAGATTCTGCTTTATATCTCTTGGGGGCATGGGGGAATTCATGGGTCCCTTGGGTTTGTTTGGGCCATAGCCCACGATCACTCCTGGCAGTGCTTGGGACCATAAGGGGTGCCGGGCGTGGAACATGGAACTTGCGTCGGTTGCAAAGCACCTTACCTGCTGTTACTGCTCCCCCCTCCAAAAGAAATTCGTTTTTTTGTTTAGGGTCCCCACCTGTGGTGCTAGGGCATTAAACTCAGGCCCTCTGGTGTACAAGAATAGTGGCTTGCCTGGCCTGGGGGCTGGACCAGAGTGCTCCTGAGGGTGGGGACGTCGTCTCCTGCTCTGGGACTGAGTGCAGGGACTGCGTTTGTGTGTGTGTGTGTGTGTGTGTGTGTGTGTGTGTGTGTGTGTGTGTTGGGGGGAGGTCCTTTTCTTGGAACCAAACACTTGAACTGATTTCCATAGGCAACCAAGTGCAGCGTTTCCGGGGGAACAGAATCCTGGCCCCAGTGGGTCCCTCCCTCCAGCCTGTGGTTGGTCCCCAGCTGGGTTCTCCCTGCGGGCGGTTGTGGTAACACATTCTAGTAACCAGGAGTGTGGCTGGCCTGCAGGTGTGCGTGCATGTGTGCATAGATGTGTGTGTTTGGGAGGGCATTGACCTGGCGTGGGATGGGCCCCCTGCCCTGGCACAGGCACAGTGGGTGAAGGTGAGCGTGGCAGAAGTTGGCATGCTACCTTCCAGCTGCTGGCAGTCAGTGACCTGGAGGCATCCCTGTAGAATGAAGACAGGGAATTATTGGCAAAGTGACTTCGTTGAGGCCCATTAAGACTTTCACATACCTGGTTTGAGTTTGCATAGTGGGGAGGATGCTGGCCTTGCATGCGGCTGACCCAGGTTTGATCCCTGAGCACCGCTGGGTGTGGCTCATGGAACAGAAACCGAGAAAGACGTCCACAGATTACGGAAGGTCATTATGTATGTTTTGAGGGAACCCCCTTACCCAAGCTTCCTTTGTTTTGACTGAGCCTCATTTTACTGTTTCGTTTGTTCATTTTTTTGGTTTTGGGCCATATATCTGGTGAGGCCCAGAGATCACTCCTTGCTGGCTCAGGGGATTCTATGGGGTGTTGGTACCAGACACAGCTTGGCTGTGTGCCAGGCAGGTGTCCCCCCCCCCCACCGCTGTACTAGTGCTCCGTTTCCCGAACCTCATTTCCCCCCCCCCCCCAAAAAAAAAGCTTCTATTTATTTTTGCTTTTGGGTCACACCCAGCAATGCTGGTGGTGCTTGGGGAACCATATGGGATGCCGGGGATTGAGCACGGGTCGGCCACGTGCAAGGCAATCGCCCTACCCATTGTACTATTGCTCCAGCCTCCTGAGCCTCATTTTAATAGATTTTTTTTTCTTTTTGGGTCACACCCAGCGATGCTCAGGGGTTACTCCTGGCTTTGCATTCCTGGCGGTGCTCGGGGGACCATATGGGGTGCTGGGAATCGAACCCGGGTTGGCCGTGTGCAAGGCAAATGCCCTACCACTGTGCTATTGCTCCAGCCACTAATAGGGATTTTTTAAGCTAAGTTACCTTAAGAGGAAGCATGAGACCCAGGTTCTAAGGGGAAAGTAGTTTCTATGATTGAACCATAGACCCTTTCCTGGCTTGGCAATGCACGCTTTTGCGATTTTAAAACAGAAATGTCAGGGGGTGGGATGGTGGGGAGACTGGTGTGTTGTTCTAGGATTGTAGGCCGGGCTCTGTGTCTGCTCTGTGCAGGCCGTAGGGCTTTTGTAAAAGAAATTGTCTCCAGACAGGTTTGAGATTTTGTGTTGGGAAACAATTGCCTTTCTCTGTCCACAGATCAGGACGTAAGTGTGAAAATTGTCTTTTTATCATTTTTTTTCCTTCTCTGGGGCCACACCTGGCAGTGCTCAGGGTGTGCTCAGGGCACCATATGGGGTGCCAAGGATCAAACCCTGGTCAGCTGTGTGTAGGACGTGCAAAGTACCTGCAAGTCCCTTATCGTTGTTCTGGTACTTTACCTTTTTGGGGCGTGGTCAGCCCCAGCACCCGGATCCCTCCAGGTGTGTGCACTCGGGTGTCCTGGTGATGCTGTGCTACGCTGCACAGCATACTCGCTGTCAGTCAGGCCGCACCCTGGTCCCTTATACATTGTTTTTTCGGGTGGTTGGGCCACACTCTTGGCCGTGTCCATGGCTTACTCCTGGCTCTGCACTCTGGGATCACTCCTAGTGAGGCCGAAGGACCCAGTGGGGTGCCGGGGCCTGGCGCTGTGCACTGTGCTGTGGCTCGGGCCCCAGGTTCATGTTCTCAGTGATGACGCATGAGGACTCCCTACTTTTTGCTGATGCTTCGTCTTCAGTGTCCATGAACCATGTGTTGATGTGCTTAAAATGTGTCCTGGTATCTCCTGCCGGGTCCCAGGATATTTGCTGGCGCGGGTGTGTGTGTGTGTGTGTGTGTGTGTGTGTGTGTGTGTGTGTGTGTCTCCGTCCTGCCCACCTGCCTGCCGCCAGCCTGGCCCTGACGAACCCGTCGTGGGTGAGTCTCTCTCCTGCTTCAACGGTCACGGAGTTGTGAACTGCATTACCTCTTTCTCCAACTTGGGAGAAACTGTAACTTCGGGTGTGCTGTGTGAGTGAGTTTGAGGGGCTTGGGGGGCTTGGGCCAGTTTTCTGGAAACAAGGCGAGAGAAGAAGTCAGAGTAGGTTACTGGATGGGGTCGAAGTTACTTGGGGGCCCGCGGAGCGTGGGACTGTGGAACCTTGTGTTTGCTCACGTGCAGAATCTCATTCCGTCAGTGCTCCCTGTGCTCACTGTCCCCTCTTCTCGCCCAGGGATCATGGCCCAGGTCGCGATGTCCACCGTGCCCGTGGAAGACGAGGAGTCATCGGAGAGCAGGATGGTGGTAACCTTCCTCATGTCCGCGCTCGAGTCCATGGTGAGCCGCTTGCCCCCCGGGAACCGGGCCTGTGGCGTCATTCTTACTGACTGGGCTTGGGGCCACGCTTGGCGCTGCTCCAGGCTCACTCCTGGGGGCTCGAGGAGCCACTGGGGGGGGGGGGGGGCGGAGGGCAGGGATTGGACTCGGGCTGGCTGTGTGCACGGTGGGTGCCTTCCCTGCTGCCCAGTCTCTCTGGCTCCTCGTTATTTTATTTTTATTTATTTATTTATTTATTTATTTTTGCTTTTTGGGTCACACCTGGCGATGCACAGGGGTTATTCCTGGCTCTGCACTCAGGAATTACTCCTGGCAGTCGTCAGGGGACCATATGGGATGCTGGGAATCGAACCCGGGTCGGCTGCGTGCAAGGCAAACGCCCTACCCGCTGTACTATCTCTCCAGCCCCTCCTCGTTATTTTTAAACAATTAAGTTTATTTTGGGGAGGGCGGCTGGTTGGGGCATACCCAGCAGTGATCAAGCATTGCTCCTGACTCAGTACTCAGAGGGCACAAGCATGCACTTGGCCTGCTGGGAAGGTTCCTCAAGAGTGTTTGTTTCTGTCAAATATCTGTGTGTCTGTTCATGCCTCTAATCTAATCTCCCAAGCAGTGGCCCAGAGGCTGTTCACCAGGAATCTTGTTCCACTGGTCCAAAGGTTCAGTGTTAGGCCTGAGGGCGTCCTGGTGTTCGGGGCCTGGTGGACCATCCTGGCAGTGCTTGGCCAGCCGCATGGGGCTGGGGGTGGAACTTGGTCAGCTGCGGGCCTGACACTCGCTTCAATCCCTGGACTGGCTCTTAGCACCATTTATTGGTGGTTGTGTTTGTTTCTGTATTTTGGGTCATGTCCAGCAGTGCTCAGGGTTTACTCCTGGCTTTGTGCTTGGGGTTGTTCCCGGTGGGACATGGAGGACCATGCTGGGTGTCCAGGATTGAGCCTGGGTGGGCCACGTGCGAGGCAAGCATCTCCTGTGGTCGTCGCTCCGGCCCACCTATTTATGGTTTCACTCCATGGTTGGCCAACCCGGGTTTGATTCTCAGCATTCCATATGGTCCCTCGAGCATCTCCAGGAGTAATTTCTGAGTGCACGAGCCAGGAGTAACCCCAGGAGTACACCGCCGGGTGTGACCCAAAATGCAAAAAAAACAACAAAACAACAACTCTCCATGGTGTGCTCGGGAGTGGGAGTGGGGAGTCCAGGCTGGTCTCTATTGTCTAGATCCTCTAGTGGTGACTTGGTGGTCCTTGGCGGACACTGTGCTCCGGGACTGTTCTTTAGTTTTAATTAAGAACAGTTTTGGCTGCCAGAGAGATAATTTGTGGGCACATGCCTTGCATGTGATCGATCCCTGGTTCAATCCACAACACCACTTGGTACCCTGAGCTTCACTAGGTCCAGTCCTAATACCCCACCCTCACCCCAAACCCCCTGCAAGCACTCCTGGGGAACTCTGGGTCATTTGAGTCTTTGGGCCCTGAAAGTTAATGGGAGTACACCTCCCCCCCATGTTAGGCCTTTCAAATAAATTAAAGTTTACTTTTACATTTTTAGAATTCCTAGTTTAAATTTTTTTTTTTTTGGTGGTTGCTGTTGATTTGGGGGTTGTACCTGTGGTACTCAGGACTCAGCCCTGGCTCTGTGCTCAGGTACCTTATGGGATACCTTACGCTGATCTCAGGTCGACCGTATGCAAGGCAAGAGCCCTACCCCGCTGTGTTATCTCTCTGACCCCCCTAAAGTAATTTCTAAACATACACTTAAATTCTTCTGTTTGGTTTTGGTGGAACCTGAAACCAACAGGACTTTCTTTGGACGCAGTTTCCAGTCAGAGAATCCTCAGTGTTTGCTCTCAAAAGTTTTTTTGTTTTTTCTTTGTGGCTCACACCTGGTGATGCTCAGGGGTTACTCCTGGCTTTGCACTCAGGAATTACTCCTGGTGGTACAGGGGCACCATATGGGATGCTGGGGATTGAACATGGGTCGGTTGCATTCGAGGCAAATGTCCTCCCTGCTGTACTACTTACTGCTCCGACCTTCAAAGGTTTCTTTTTCTTTTTTAATTTTTTTTTATATCTTGGACTCCTCATCCAGGATGCGCATGGCTATTTCCGTGCGGGGCGTGTCCCTGCCAGTGCCCTTCCCCTGGCCACTGTGACCATCCTCTCCAGGCAGCCCTGCTCTTTCAGGAGCGACGCTCGGAATCATCAACTTTTTTTTTTTTTTTGAGGGGATGTTTGTGGTTCTGCTTCTGGTTCTGTGCTCAGGGCTGGTGCCTGGACCCCAGCTTCCAGCTTGCAATGGGAGTGCTTAGCCAGTTAGGCTTTGATCTGGCCCCATGAATGTGTTTGATATGTAGGCTCTAAGTTAATGATGCACTCCCTGTAAATGAAGTTTTGCAGACCTACTAAGGTTCGAAGACTGTGTGTACTTCAGGTGTACATAAGTCAGCCTGGGGAGGGCGCTTAGCTTGCATGCCTGGGTTTGATTCCCGGCACTCCATACGGTCCCGAGCACAGATCCAGGAGTAACCCCTGAGCACCACCGGGCATAGTCCCAAAACAAACCACAAACAGTAAGAAGTCCGCCAGTGTGATGTCAATGATCCTTGCAATGCTTCTTCTGTGGAGGTGCCCATGCTGACGTGACTTCCGGCTCCCCACTCTGTGTCTGACTCCACCAATGTTCCCAGCTGCTGGGCGCCCCAGACCTCTGGGGCCTATTGCAGCTTGGACCCTGACCCTCCTTCAGGGCCTTTATTAAGGGTGCTGTGCCAGAGTCAGTCTCTCTTGTGAGCGTCTGGCCCTCAGTGTTCTCTGGGGAGTTCTCTCCGCCCGCCTTTCTTTAGAAATGCTGTGTTCTGTTCAGACCAGGGCTCAAGTCCATTGAGAGAGACAGGCACTGGGAGAGCAAGTGGACTCTCGGGTCACTTAGTGTAACTCAAGTCAAGGAGCTCGGACTTGGGGGCTGGAGCGATGGCACAGTGGGTAGGGTGTTTGCCTTGCATGCAGCCAACCTGGGTTCGATTCCCAGGATCCCATATGGTCGCCTGAGCACCGCCAGGAGTGATTCCTGAGTGCAGAGCCAGGAGTAACCCCACGCATCGCAGGGTGTGACCTAAAAAGCAAAAAAAAAAAAAAATAAGAGCTCGGACTTGCTTTCCAGTTGTGTCTGAGTTTCTAATTTGTTATTGAGTTTAAGTGACAACTTTTTTTTTCCCCCAGCAGAAAAGCAGCCTAGTTTTGTGTTTGGTTCAGGGCTTAGGTCTGTCCAAGGGCAGGGACTGAACCTGCGTCTCAGCCCGCCGCCCGCAGGCCCATGAGCTGTCACTGTGGCCCCGGAGGGGAATTTTTTAAACATCCAAGATAGCACCTGCCTTGAAATGTCAGACTTCCATCTGTGACTGGTTCTGCGTGTGTGTTTCAGTGTAAAGAGCTTGCCAAGTCCAAGGCGGAGGTGGCCTGCATCGCCGTGTACGAGACGGATGTGTTCGTCGTGGGCACTGAGCGGGGACGTGCCTTCGTCAACACCCGGAAAGATTTCCAGAAAGATTTTGTAAAATACTGTAAGTTTGTGGACATCTTTTTGTTTGGTTTGGTTGCGGGGGGGGTCACACTCAGTGGTGCTCAGGGCTGACTCCTGACTCCTAGCTCTGCACGCAAGGATCGCTCCTGGCAAAACTCCGGGGACAGTATTGGGGTGCCAGGGGTGGAATCTGGATCTGCCATGTGCAAGGCAAACCCCACTATATTCTTGTTCTGGCCCCGTCTCAACATGTTTGTCTTTTGTATTTTATACATAGTAAACCAAAATATTTATGGTGCACATCATAAATAGTCATATCTCACATCTAAAGGTGATATTTCTGTCTCCCCACAAAAATCCATCTCGTCATTTCAGAAATGCTCAGAGTGAATCACTGAAGTGATAATGCATGGTTGGGGTTATAGAGGTAGAGCATTTTTCTTCCGTGTGAGGCTCTGGGCTTATTTGTGTTTTTTTGTTTTGTGGCCACACCTGGCGATGCTCAGAGGTTACTCCTGGCTCTACACTCAGGAATCACTCCTGGTGGTGCTTGTGGGACTGCTTGGGATGCCGGAGATTGAATCGGGTCATTCTCCATATAAGGCAAATGCCCGCGCCCTGCTCTGCTTATTATTCTGGGAGGCCCAGCACTGCACAAAGGAAAGAGTAAGCCCTGGAAAGTTCCAGAAACACCATACATGTTATTTGCTTCAGGTACCTGGCCATCCTGCCTGCCAGTCTTTCTCAGAATGGGTCCGTTGCATCCCTCCCCATTGGGATGTGGGAGAATGGTAGGGTGCATTAGCAGCCTTGGGTGCATTTGAGGTGCTTATTGTTTGCCTAAAGAAGGTAGGTATGGATTTACAATCTAGAAATTTACATTTACAATCAGGGCCATATGAGCTCGCATGATACTCAGAACGAGCAATGGAAAATAAATGAGCTAGCGTCTGCCCCGGGCAGGTAGGCTTGAATGGTGGTGGGAAATTTCGAGCAAAACATAATGTCCAAAATTAGAGAATATCGGGGAAATTGTCTGCCATAGAGGCAGGGTGAGAACGGGATGTGGGTGGTGGAAAATGTGCACTGGTGGAGGGGTGGGTGTTTCATCAGTGGCGAATCTCAAATGTGAAAGCTTTGTAATTATCTCACGGTATCAATTTTAAAAAAAAGCAAAAGTAGTGTGGGATTCACGCCCAATTCAATCAGCTTAATCAATGGCTGAACAAAGAGCAACAGTTCTACGTGATTTAAGAAAAAACGGTGGATATCGGTGGTGGTGGGGGACAACAAAGTGATTGTTTACTTGAGAAGGGCTGATAGTCAGGTGAGGTGGGAACCCTGCCAGGTGTGGCCATACTGAACAGAGGTAGCAGCCCTTCTTTTCAATTAAACATGAAAAGAAAATCTTCTAGGGGCTGGAGCGATAGCACAGCGGGTAGGCATTTGCCTTGCATGCAGCCAACATGGCCGACCCAGGTTCGATTCCCAGCATCCCATATGGTCCCCCGAGTACTGCCAGGAGTGATTCCTGAGTGCATGAGCCAGGAGTAACCCCTGAGCATCGCCGGGTGTGACCCAAAAAGCAAAAAAAAAGAAAAAGAGAGAAAATCTTCTAAATCTTTTATTTTTTTTAATTTATTTATTTTTTTTGCTTTTTGGGTCATACCCGGCAATGCACAGGGGTTACTCCTGTTTCTGCACTCAGGAATTACCCCTGGCAGTGCTCAGGGGACCATATGGGATGCTGGGAATCGAACCCGGGTCGACCACGTGCAAGGCAAATGCCCTACCCGCTGTGCTATTGCTCCAGCCCCGAAATCTTTTATAATTTTTAATTTCCGTTTTGAGATTTTTTTTTTCCAGTGCTGGGGGTCATGATTTTGAGATACTTAAAGGTCCTGCTTAGAGTTTTTTGTTTTTGTTTTGGGCTCACACCAGTGGTTCTCATGGCTTATTCCTGGCTGTGCTTGGGGGATCTTGTGGGATGCTGGGGCTCCAACCCCGGGCCAGCTGCCTGGAGGCCCCCCTGCTGTCCTCTCTCAGCCCTTCTGTTTGGTTTTCCAGTTTAGCTAATGACGTTTGGATTGTGCGCTTGCGCTGTATGCACTGCCCTTCTTGCAGCGTGTCTGTCCCCCTTCTCTGTGTTGCTGGGCTGAAGTGCTGCTTCTCCACCTAAACCAGACATTCAGAGGATTGCCCTCAGTTGCTAATCGAAGTTCCTGCTTCCGGTCCTTTTGCGCTTAGGATGGCAGGGAGTGTACCCGGTACTGGAATGTATTCCGAGTACTAGTGTCTTAAGTCGCCATTGTGTCGGACTCGGCAAACCCAGACTTTTTGGTGGCTCTTTTTCATATTCTGGTTTATAGTTGATAGATGACCATTACTGACTCTTGGTAGAGATTTTTCTTTCTTTGTGGGTTGTCCTTATTTTGGGGCCATGCTCGCCTCTGCTCAGGGGTGTCTGCTGACAGGCTGGGGGTGAGGTTCTGCTGGGGATTGAACCAGAGTCAGCCACATGCAAGACCAGTACCTTCACCGCTGTAGAATTTTTAGTTAAGTCTCTGTTATTTCTTAGAAGATACTGTTCCTTAATATTTTCGTTCAGGTTATATTTTTTATTTTCAAAAGTTCCCCTTCTTTTTCTTTTCTATCTTGAGAGCGAGTCGTAAATGTTGGAAACTAGAAAGAATACGCTTTGTAGACATGACATGATGCAGTGGTGCCCTGGGCCCTCTAAACCATTCGATAATTCCCAGGTGTCGAGGAAGAGGAGAAGGCTGCAGAGATGCATAAAATGAAGTCTATGCCGCAGGCCAACCGGATGAGTGTGGACACGGTGGAGATCGAGACGCTCAGAAAGACTGTGGAGGACTATTTCTGCTTTTGCTACGGTGAGGCTCTCGCATGACGTGTGGCTGCCACGGTGGGACTTACGACCCAGGGAACGAGCCAGTCGTGCAGACGGGTGCTCAGACTGACCCTCAGGTGCATCAGGGAGGACTGACTAGAGTTGGAGTGTGAGGGGGCTGGGAAACTGCACTGTGGGGGCTGCTTGCTCCCGTTACAGATTCCCAGTGAAAGGAGTTAGGGAGGACAGAGGTTGGCGGGCAGCCCCTGCCCCCTGCACGAAGCTTCTCCCCGCCACTCTCGGTCTCCCAAAGAATCTGCATCCGCATTCTACAGCCCCCTAAGGCAGCTGGAGGGGCTGTTACAAAGCAGCAGCTAGTGTATGACATTAGCCACAGTCCCTCTCCTTTCTGTAAGTCTTACAACCTTTCACGGGGGCCCTGGAATGTGTTTCTGGTCAGAACGTCTGCCCACTGGGGGCCAAGGACCCTGTGATATTTCCATGGTCTTGCGGTTGGATGTGGGAAAGGCAGGATAGTACGTGTGGAATGAAGGGGTGTTGACTCCTCTGTCTGGTGATGGCGTGTGATGACATGCCCTCTTTGCCCTGGCCCTTGCCTTCCCCCCTTAGGGAAAGCTTTAGGCAAGTCTACCGTGGTGCCTGTCCCCTACGAAAAGATGCTCCGGGACCAGTCAGCTGTGGTCGTCCAGGGGCTCCCCGAAGGAGTCACCTTCAAGCACCCTGAGAACTACGACCTCGCGACCCTGAAATGGATTTTGGAGAATAAAACGGGGATTTCTTTTATCATTAAGAGGTGAGGTACTTTCCCCTTGGCCTCTCAAAGTCTCTTCATATGAAGGTGAACGTTCCCTCGAAGTCTCTGCTGACGAGTTTCCTGCGGCAGGTCCTTATGCTTGGCCGCAGTCGGCTTTGACGTATTCACAGCAACTTTCTGTGTTTTATTGCAGACCTTTCCTGGAGCCTAAGAAGCACCTCGGTATGTGTTTCCTCTCGCTGTCGTGATGCCTGGGTGGGGTCTCCAGTGACTGAACTCCTTAACACAATCACTTTTGTTTTCCCTGGTGGTATGACGGGCGAAAGCTTGGAGTGAGTGTTTGACTGTTTTTCAAAGGCAAGGAAAGGTCTTAGGGAGCCGAGAAAGAGAATGGGCTTTTTTTTCTTTCCTTCACACTCCTGCTTGCTTTATGATGTATTCTTTTTTAAAAAACTGTTCTTTAGGGGGGCTGGAGCAATAGCACAGTGGTTAGGGCGTTTGCCTTGCACGTAGCCGACCCGGGTTCAATTCCCAGCATCCTATATGGTCCCCTGAGCACCGCCAGGGGTAATTCCTGAGTGCAGAGCCAGGACTAATCCCTGTGCATTGCCGGGTGTGACCCAAAAAGCAAAAAGAAAAAAACTGTTCTTTTTTTGGGGGGGGAGGGAGAGGTCACACCCATTGGTGGTCAGGGCTTACTCCTAGCTCTGTGCTCAGGGATTATTCCTGGTGGGCCTCAGGGAACCTGATGTGGTGCCATTAATCAAACTTGAGTTGGCCGCATGCAAAGCACCTTGTACTGTCGTACTCTCTCTGCAGTCCTATGTTTGGTTTATTTTTTGGGCCACACCCAGCGATGCTCAGTGCTTATTCCTGGCTCTGCACTCAGGAATTAATCCTGGTGTTGGGAACCACATGGGATGCCAGAGATGGAACCCATGTCAGTTGCGTGCAAGGCAAGTGGCCGGCCTGCTCCAGCCCCTCTGTGCTATAGATTTCAAAGGGAGACTTCCCCCGGTAGGCTGGGTCTGGCTGGGTACGGGGCGGGAGTGGGGGCTCCGGGGGGTTGGACGGAAGGCCTCCAGCTTGCCTGGCACTCACTCCCTGCTTGGCACTGGCCGCCTGGCTGGGCGCGCGGTTTCCTGCATGCCGTGCGGGGGCTCAGACTCTGCTGCTTCCCAGAACCCAGTCTCACGTATGCTCATGGGAAGTGTGGAATTGCCGCCTCCGTCTGGGGTTTGCAAGGCTCGCCTTTCTCTGCAAATCGCCCTGGCACCTGTGTCATCAGGTCATCGGTCTTGAGCGGGTTCCTGGGCTTCCTGTGTGCGGGTCGGACAGGCTGCGCTTCCCACCCCTCGCCCTCTTGGACGTCTGACCTCTTGTGGGCCCTTTTAATTTTCACTGAGATGGCCCCAATCGGCCACCCAGTGCAGTTTGATTAAGTAGCGGCCACAGAGACCCAGTTGTTGTTGATACTAAGTGGACGATGCCCAGTGCCCAGTTTCAGCTGTTCCGTTAGCTGCTGGGCTCTGGGGCTCCCACGCAGTCTGCAGGGAGCCACCCTGGGGGCCATCCCCTTCGGTGAGTGATGTGACCCAGCTGTCTGGATCTGACAGTTCAGTGCTTGGGCTCCGTGATGCTGGGACCTGGGGGCCACCCCATGCTGTCCAGGGGACCATGCACACCATACTGCTGACCTGCCCCTGACCACTGTTTCATTTGCTTTTTGGGTCACACCTGGCGATGCTCAGGGGTTACTCCTGTCTCTGCACTCGAGAATTACTCCTGGCAGTGCTCAGGGTACCATATGGGATGCTGGAAATCGAACCCAGGTCAGCCGTGAGAGGCAAACGCCCTGTTCGCTGTGTTACTGCTCCAGCCCCAGCCACTCTTTCTTTTGTAGCTGCTCTCTTTGGGCCCGAGAGAATGACCCACTTGGATTTTTGAGCCATACCTGGGAATGCCCAGGGGTAACTTCCTCCTGACTCTGAGCTCGGTGACCGCTCCTGGAGGGTTTAGGGGGGCTCTTTGGGGTGCTAGGATCCAACACACGTGAGGTCACGAATGCTCTCCTTCTGAGTGACAGCCCCAGTTGTCTGTGGCATGGGTCTCCACACTCACAGTCTCCCTGGAAGCGTGAGTCACGCCATCGCAGTCTTTGCTGGGGTCAGCTGTTGCGCCCATCTGCCTTCAGAACAGGCAGCGTCTGCTACATCCAGGCCCTGCTGGCAGCTCTCGCTGCTTTCCTGGGCCATATCTGGTCTTTGCCACCATGATTTTCAGAACTTCAGAAGCACTAATAGCCTCTCTTTGGGGCTGCTGACCACAGCCATATCCAGAGGGGCCCAGGGGCTCCTCTGGGCTTAGTTCTCCAGAGACTGTCGTGCTGGGACTGAGACTGTCGTGCTGGAACTGAACCTGGGACCCTAGCCCGCCCAGCATGCCCGCTGCCAGCGCAGCCTTGTCCCCAGCCCCGGTCCAGGGAATTAGAAGAGGGACAGACAGTAGGCTTGCTGGGCAGCTGGGCCATGCTGGATGGAAGGCTGGGAGACAGGTGTTCATCATCCTCGATCCCTCTGGGAGAAAGAGCATGAGACACCCCCTCCTCCCCCCACACCGCCCAGTCTAGTGGGGGTCGACCCGCTCTGGACAACCACTCTTCCCGGGGACTGGAGGGTGAGGGACTTTGGAACCTATTGGGACCTTTTAACGTGGCTCTAGGGCTCATGGCAGGCCGTGCTGTGGGTGGGGGAAGCCTCTGGGCCTGGGAGTCCATCCTGGGCCTTGCTGCGTGCAAAGCGTGAGCTCTGCCGCTGGAGTCTTCATCCTGCCCCTGGAGTGGCAGTGAATGTCCCTGATGTGTTGAGAGACCTAAGTCTGACTTTCTGTTGTTCTTTTTTTTCCAGGCGGTCGTGTGATGGTGCCGGATGCCGAGAGGTCCATGCTGTCTGCAGGTGGAAGGTAAAGTGTTTGTGGCCAAGGCTGTGCCTCGGGCATTGAGCGGTCAGACGTAGGGCACGAGGGTTAGCATTGACGGAGCCGTCACTGATACGGAGGCCCGGTGTGGGTGCCGGTTGGACCTCGACTCCCGAATGAAACTCGATTTTTGGGTCAGTGCAGCTGGCGTCACCAGCCCAAGGTGGGGCTAGGAGAGCCCTTGACCCACATGGCCCTGAGAGTTGCTCGTCTCCTCTCCATGTGAGGTTGATGGGCGGGGTCGGAAAGTCGAGGGTTCTGTGTATGTTGCAGTGCAGTGTGGTGGGTGAGCAAGCCTGCATGGGGAGCCCTCGGCGTGTGCGCAGGCCTGTGTGTGGACGGGTTGGGGTGCTCACCAAAGCACCTTCTTTTTCTTTCAGCTGTGGCCCCATCAAAGTGAAAACTGAACCCACAGAAGATTCTGGTATGTATCAAATGCATTTAGACTCATTCCTTGATGACATTCAAAACAAATCCCTTCTCTCCCCCACCCCCCCCCCCCCCCAAGTGTGTACAGGACTTTCTCCTGGCTCCGCACTCAGAAATCACTTGTTTTTTCTGTTTGTTTGTTTTTAACTTTCGGTCACACCCAGCAATGCAGAGGGGTTACTCCTGGTTTTGCACTCAGGAATTACTCCTGGCAGTGCTGGGGGACCATATGGGATTCTGGGAATCGAACCCGGGTTGGTTGCATGCAAGGCAAACGCCCTACCCGCTGTGCTATTGCTCCAGCCCCTCGAATCACTCTTGGCAGGATTCAGGGGACTGGGATGCCGGGACAGTGAACCCAGGTTGGCCACTTGCATGGCAGGTGTCTGCCCCATTGTGCTATTGCTCTGGCCCTTCCTTGATGACATTTATATAGTGCAGATTGGTTTATTTTTTTTTAATTTAGAAAGTAATGTTTTTGACTTCTGTGGAGAAGCAAAGAAAATAAATTTAATATATTATTGTTCCATATTAATATCACTATCACCCCGTTGTTCATCGATTCGCTCAAACGGGCCCGGTAACATCTCCATTTGTCCCTATCACATGCTAGTGTAGCCCGATGACAAACTGGGGGTTCCTTCAGGATCAGGGGATTGAGGACCATTCATGGTTACTGTTTTTGACATATCGAGTTCGCCACGATTAGCTTGTCAGGCTCTGCCGTGTGGGCGGGATACTCTCGGTAGCTTGCCGGGCTCTCAGAGAGGGATGGAAGCTTTTGGGGCAGCCTCTAATCACCTTTCCAGGTGTTCCTAGTCAGGAATATAGGCGGGTATGAAACTCTCAGTAGCCTGCCGGGTCCTCTGAGAGTGAGGTCACAAATGCGGCCGCACGCTTCTGGGAGCTTGGTTTTAGAGTCTCTGGATCCTGGCCAGCAGTTGGTGGGTGTAACTGTCTAGGTACTGGAAGGTGGGGGAGCTGGGTGGAGGAGACCGAGTCCTGAACCGAGCAAGCTTGGAGATCTCAGCCCCGGGTTCCGCACACCTGGGTTCCTCTGCCAGTTCCTCGTCCAAGCATGTGGAGAGTGGTCTGCTATGTGCAAAGCAAGCGCCCTCCCCACTGTGCTCTTGCTCCGACCCCTGAGGAGCTTGGCAAAAGTGTGCAACTCGACCTGTCCCCATGAGGGATGTGCATTGTGCTCACACGCGGGATGGCTTTGTTCCAGACCGTCATACCAATGTGGGTGAGCCACCAGTCGGTTATTCACCTGCCAGCTGCACTCTGCGTGGGGGGCCTCTTCCATCCTCGGGCATTCTGAAGAGCAGGGCCACAAGCATCCCGTGTATCTCTGTGCGGAGGCAGTCTTTCTCCTTGGTGGACACCTCACCAGTGGGCGCTGTGCTCATAAACGGTTGCCAAGTACCTGCCACATGACATTCCATGTTCTCAGAGGCAGTGGATCTGGATCTTGGTAATTCTGTATCTTGGCCAACCGGTACTTTATCTTATTATAATGAGCCATACTCGTAATTTTTACTATTCCTCTGACAGTTTTTTATTTTCCTTGGTTTGTGTTGAAACTGCAGAATATGGGACTGGAGCGATAGGGGAGCGGGGAGGGTGCTGGCCTTGATCGTGGCTAAGCTGGGTTCAATTCCCGCATCCCATATGGTCTCCAAGCACTGCCAGGAGTGATGCCTGAGTGCAGAGCCAGGGGTAGGTAACCCCTGAGCATTGATGGGTGTGGCCCCAAAACAAACAAAAAAGCAGAATGAACTGATACCATTGATTCAAATTAAAGGTATCAGAGGGAGCAGAACCTTTGAGCCTGTTGCAGCTGGGACGTTGCTGCTTCTAACACAGGACATAGATGGAGGATGCGGCTCAGCAGAGTCAGCTGGCTGATGCATGCCCGGGGTTCTGGCGTAGAGTCTAAGTGGGCAGGAACTCCGATCAGATGTGCACATCTGTGTGCGTGTGCGTGTGTGTGTGTGTGTGTGAGAGAGAGAGAGATTTGTTGGAGACATTGATAGATCCTGGGGCATGTGTGTGTGTGTATGTGTGTGTAATTGGAATAGTGGTGTTGAATTGTCCTTTTTTGTTTTGTCTTTTTTTTTTTTTTTTGCCACACCTGCCAGTCTCAGGACTTCCTGTTGATTCTATGCTCAGGAATCACTCCTGCCGGAGCTTGGGGGACCCTGTGGGATTCTGAGGGAGCGAATCTGGATTTGCTGCATGGGAGACAAGTGCCCTTCTCACAGGACTATTGCTTCAGTCCCTGAATTGTCCTTTTGTGGTAAAAGTAATTTCAGTTTAGTTCCACAAAAGGTGCTCTTTTTAAATTGAGAGTTTTGGCTTAGTCTGTACCTGATATTGAAATCCTTTTGCAGATTTTGTTTTCTACCTTTATTTGTGAGTTGTTCACACTCTAAAGTGAATGTCAACTGAGATAGTAGTGTAGCAGTGTTGTCAGAAATCTTTTTTTTCTTTTATTTTGTCAAATTATTATTTTGGTTTTTGGGCCATACCTGGCAGTGCTCAGAACCTCCTCCTGGCTCTTTTGTTCAGGGATCACTTTTTTTTTTTCCTTTTTGGGTCATACCTGGTGATGCTCAGGGGTTACTCCTGGCTCCTGCACTCTGGCAGTGCTCGGGGGACCATATGAGATGCTCAGAATCGAACCCGGGTTGGCTGCGTGCAAGGCAAACACCCTACCCGCTGTGCTATTGCTCCAGTCCCTAGGAATCACTTCTGGTGGTGCTCAGGGGATTGTATGGGATGCCAGGGAGCAAAGCCAACTTGGCCCTGTGCAAGGCCATGCCCTCCTCACTATGGTATGACTCTAGCCCCTGGCTGCCGCTCTTAAAGGCTTTTGGTTTTATTTGCGCCCCTCCTGTTCCCTTTGTTGTTTTGATATTTAGGTGCTTACCTGGGGTGATTGCAGTTTTAGTTGATTCGATGAATTATATTTATGGTGCATGCAGAACCCAGCGTGGGTGAGTGAGGTTTCATGGTGGGGCTCACACAGGTGCACGCTGGTGCAGGCTCTTGCACCTCTGTTGGTGGTGTTGGTCTCTCTTGGGGGGGTGGGAGGTGGTTCGGAAATCTGCCCGACAATGCTGGGCTCTTATTCCTGGCTCTGCTCTTAGGAGTCACTCCTGGTAGTGCTCTGGGGATCGAACCTGGGTTAGCCATGTGCATGGCAAGCTCCCTGCCTGCTGTACTATCTCTCTGTGTTGAGCTTCTGGGGTCAGCACCTTTTGTGGTACTTAGATTCAGTGGGTGTGATGCAGTCGGAAGTTGGCTGCTGTGCTGGGGATTCGTTACACGTGGGACTGTTAAGTTTGAACCCATGCTGGTGCCGCTAGTCTGCCACACTGAGATGCAATGAGATACAGAACACGATGCATCCAGGTGGCTCCCTGGCCCGCAGAGCCCGCATTGTGCTTTTTGGGCAGTACTGGGGTTTGGACACAAGGCTCACATGGCCACTGAGCCACTCCTGTCTCCATCACAGTTTTCCAATGGCACCTCTGTGCTTATTTTTTTTGTTTTCTTTTTTTTATTTTTTGTGGGGGCGATGTGTTTGGGGCCACACCCGGTGGTACTCGAGGCCAACTCCTAATTCTGTGCTTAGGAATCACATCTGGTGGGAACTGAAGGGGCCCTCTGGGGTGAAATCTGGATAGTCTGCATACAAGCTAGCTCCCTGCCCGCTGGACTGTCGCTCAGCCCCCCTTTTGCTTTCCTGAGGCATGACCGACAGTCCAGGATTCTACTGACCTGGGTTAGTCCAGTGAAACTGTATTTCTCTTCTTTCACTTGGGCTGCATGGTGTGCTCAGTCCTCACGGCCCAGTTTTCTCCTATATTCGTGCCCTTACCCGCAGGGAGCACCCTCACATCTCCACACCTGGGGCTATAGGGGAAGAACGCTTTGCCATACCTGGTGGGGCTTAGGAGGCCCTATGGGGTGCTGAAGAGTGAACCCCAGTCGGCCACATGCCAAGCCAAGTGCCCTGCCCACTGCACTATCGCTCCAACCTCAAGGAGTTTTATCTCTCGCCAGTTTGATTAGCTTGTATGCCACACCGTTATCAGTAATTATCTTTCACTTCCTTCTTTTATGGCACATGATCAAGTAAAGGTCCGCTTCACACGTGCTGTCGTGACGGGGCAGGCAGAGCATGGTCCACCTGTGCCATGTCATTGCTCCTAGGAACTTCACTGTCAAGAGTGCTGATACTTGGAGGCTGGCGAGATAGTCCAGAGGTTAGGACCACTCTCTTTCAATCCCCAGCACCACCGTGTACAGCTCCTCCTCCTGACCCCTGTCCCATGATAACATAAATGGCACTTATTAAAAAACATTTTCAAGTGACGGTCAGTGGTTTATAAAAGGGTTTGTTGTTGTTGTTGTTGTTGGGTTTTTTGTTTTTGTTTTTTTTTTTTTTTTCCTTTTTGGGTCACACCCGGCGATCCACAGGAGTTACTCCTAGCTCTGCACTCACGGGACCATATGGGATGTTGGGAATCGAACCTGGGTCAGCTGCGTGCAAGGCAAACGTCCTACTCGCTGTGCTTCCGCCCTAGCCCCTATAAAAAGTATTTTTAACAATAGCTGTGACTCAGGTTTTCAGTTTCAGGACAAGAACATGAAAAAGAGGGTATAGTATGTACAGGGAGAGGACAATAGTGGCCTGATGATGTCATCAGGCTTTCTGATAACCCAAGAATTGCCGCTGTGCCTCTGACAGACCCCAACAACTTGGGACCAAACTTCATGAGAAATTAAACGACCAAAAGTTAAATTTATGGGAGCCATGCCCATAGACCACCTCCAGCTCAGCTCTAAAGCTCATTTCCGGCCTTGCTTTAGAGACCCATAAATAAATCTCAAGAGAGATCAAAAGACACAGTTAATCTTGGATTCGCACAAGACTGTACAGACTGGGGTAAATTGGAGCAGGAGTTGGCCAACCTGGTGCCTGCCCAAGCAGAGGCCTGGGCCGGTAGCCGCTTGCCTCCACAATCCGAAGTTGCTGCCATGCCCCTGGCCTGACTCCACCGTTTTAGGACGGACTTCACCAAGATAAAATCTGCTGAAAATTCGGGTATGTGGGTTTTGTGACTGAAATCTCCACGCTTTCTCGGTCGGGATGGGCTATCTTCCCCTACCTCCCTATACTTCTGGGAGCCTCGACAGTCACATACATAACCCAAAGCCTCCACACCCGGTTAAAAAAGTTACACCAGCCTTACCATCCCGATAAAAATACTGAATGTCCTGAACCAACAGAGTGAGCTCTTAGTGTCTGTATTGCAAACTGTAATGCACAAAAATAGAGACTGGGAGTGGGGGGTGGTGGGAGGAAAGTGGGGGGCTGGGGGTGGGAAATGAACACTGATGGAGGGATGGGTGTTGGATCATTATATGACTGAAACCCAATCATGAACAGCGTTGTAATGGTCTAGCTCAAGGATTCAAGAAATTTGTTTTAAAAACCTGAAAATGAAAGAAAACCAGAATTTTAGGGGCTTTTTGGGTGGGCATTAGTTTGTATCATACCTGGTGATGCTCAGGGCGTACTTCTGATTCTCCTATCAAATTATTCGTGGTGGTGCTTCGGGGACCACATGGGATGCCGGGGATCAAACCTGGTTGGCCGTGTCACAGCAAACACCCTCTCCCCTGTCCTGTTGCTCTGGCCCTGAAACGGACTATTAATAGTGGCGGAAACTTCAGTAGGCTGGGTTGTATGTGACTTTTTGCCTAATTACTCTTAGCAAATGTTTATGCTTTTTAAAAGTTCTTTTTTGGAGTGGGAGGTGTGGGGAGATGTTTGGGCCACACCTGGTGTGTTCTTGGGGTGCCAGGGTTTGAGCCCCAACCTTTCACATGCAAAGTGTGCACTCAACGCTTGGAGCCATCTCTCTGGGCCTCAAAGTCTTAAGCCTGTATATTCATTTGTAAGTGGGAGGGCTTTTTCTGTATCATATGACTGACTGCTGTGAGTTACAATGAAAGCATATATCTTTATTCCCTCCTCCCCCTTCCTTCTCTTCCCAGGAATTTCTCTGGAAATGGCAGCTGTGACAGTAAAGGAAGAATCCGAAGATCCTGATTACTATCAATATAACATTCAAGGTAATACTGTTTAATGGCTCTTTTCTTCCTGAAACTGACAGTGACCCTTGACTGGTCTGTATTCTTTCCGGTGTCTCATCAGTGCGAGAAAGACTCTAGGGTGGGTCACAGAAGTCCGTGTACATACCTGTGGGGGAGTGTCCCTGAAGTGACAAGCAGAAACGGAGGCTCAGTTCTTCTGCCGAGTGTTCTTTGCAGGGGTTGAAGTCTCTGAGCTCTGAGCATCAGGAGACTGCCTCCGTCAGCCAGTGCTCATCATCCCGTTCTGTATCTTGTGCGCCATCATTAGGAAGGACCAAGTGGCTCTGAATTCCCCATGGGAGTTTGCCTTGAGGCGTTCCTGCTCTAGGAGGGCGTGTCTTTGAAAAACACCCGTGGGTAACTTCAATTTGTATAGATTTTCATCAGGAAACACTCACCTGCACTGTGAAACCCTGATCATTCTGTGCCCGTACTAGGGGACCACGAAGAGACGAGGCTCTGCCCAGGGGTCTCCTGGTCCCCATACAGCTCCTGCCCTTTCCAGCCACCCACCAGTGTCCTCTCTGACAGCGTAGACAGGGGATGTCGCTCCACGGTGGCGTTTTCCTCACCTTGCACCCCTTTTTACATGGTCCACCCACTGCGGGCAGGCGATGCCCCGTCCAGGTGGCGTGGTTTGTGTCTCCCTTGTCTGTCGGAAGTGTGGTTTGTTTCTGGTTTGTGTTTGCTCTCCGGGAGAGAGAACGCCTACCGACTTGTGTGTGTGGTGCAAGGAGGGTGGCCCACGGGCAGTTCCTGGCACTCCAGGGTGCGCCCTCTCCCCACTTACCTCCACCCAACACCCGAATTGGGAGTAACCCTTGGGCACTGCTGAGTGTGGCCCCAAACAAAAGCGAAACAACGGGACAACTGTGTGGAGCTTTGTGTGCAAGAAATGTCTTCGTTTCCTTGAGAAGATTAAGAAGCAATAGCTGGGTCCCATGGTAGCTATTTACCTCTGTAAGAAATAGCCTGGCTGGGAGCTGGGAGCGCTTCCTGGCTTCGTCCCTCCCCGTTGCTCATCATGCAGTGCTCTTTGAGCTGTTACACTCTCCGTCAGCTGCTCTACTGAGTACGGGTGAGTGAATTTCTCCGCCCTGGGTGGGTGGGGGAGTCGTTTGGCATTGATTGGCATTTGCCAAATAGACTCATGTCATTTAGAAAGGTGAGTCATTCTCTGGATTATCATAATCTTTTTCTTTTTTTGGGTCACACCCGGCGATGCACAGGGGTTACTCCTGGCTCTGCACTCAGGAATCACCCCTGACGGTGCTCAGGCGACCATTTGGGATGCTGGGCATCGAACCTGGGTCAGTCGCGTGCAAGGCAAATACCCTACCCGCTGTGCTATTGCTCCAGCCCCAGTTTTATTATTTTTAACAGCTGGCTCTCATGAACCCAGGCTTCCTGCATGCAAAGCACTGAGTAGTTCTCCACAAACCCTGATTTGAATTTATTTGCATTTTATTGGAAACGTTTCCTGTGCCCCCTGACTGCCCCCTGTGGCTCTGAGGGCACAGTCTGCCTGTAGCTGCGTGTGTGCTCGCCAGCTCAGTGTGACCCCCCCAAAAAAGAAAAAAAAAAGTTCGTAGTTGCTTTTTAGAAGCTAACCCCTGGCCTATTGGGCTTTCTCTTTAAAAACAGACTGGGAGTAGGGGGCAGAGCCATAGTACAGTGTACTATGTTTTTTAAACATTGTTGTCTGGGTTTGATCCTCAGCATCCCATATGGTCCCTCCAGGCCTTCCAGGAGTGAGTCCTGAGTGCAGAGCCAAAGAGTAACCCCTGAACACCACTGGGTATATGAACCCCTCAACAAAACAAAACAACAAAAAAGTAAAAACAGACCTTGAAGGACATTCAGTGGATATGTATGTATGTAGCACTGCACTGTCTTCCTGTTGTTCATCAGTTTGCTCAAGCAGGCACCACTAACGTCCCACAACAAATTGTGAGACTTGTTACTGTTTTTGGCATATCGAATATGTCACGGGGAGCTTTCCAGGCTTTGCTGTGCGGGTGAATTACTTTTGGTAGCTTGCCGGGCTCTCCCAGAGGGGCGGAGGAATTGAACCCGGATCTGCCGCGTGCAAGGCAAACGCCCTACCCGCTGTGCTATCGTTCTAGCCCATATCTGTATGTATTCATGATTTTATATGTACATGGCTGTACAGTACTGAAAAAATACTCTTTTTTGGAAATACAATGTTCAGAGTGTCGCTGCTGTGCGGAGCTCTGCCTGGGTTCTGGGTACAGATGTTTGGGGGCTGTTCTTGAGCTCCTGGACGCTCCCCCTTCAGTACATGGCGAAAACCCTTTTTCTTAGGCTCGCTTGAATTCTCGGTTTATCGCTCTTTCTCCTGACTTCATCGTTTCCTGGAAATTGCGAGTCCGTTGCAGTAATGTTTTTATGGATCCGTCGCATGGTACATATGTGCATGTGCACCCAGACATTCTGTGTCGTACATCTTCTCACTGTTGAAGCTTGGTGGGAATAGTGTTTTACCATCTACGTGGTGGTGCGTGCCCTCCATATCCTCAGCCTTTGTACCCTCTGTCTGTTCTTTTCAAGGGCATATATGTTTTCTTCAAAAGCTTCTGGCATTCTAAGTCTCTGTGTGAAGCCTTTTGCGGCAGTATGCTCGGATCAGAGTGTCTGAGTCTCCCATTGACTGGTGGACATGGCTAGCCCGACATGCTGCTTTCCTTAGGTTGAATAAAGTTGCTGTTTGTGTTGTAAAATACATAAGTGCACATTTGCCACAGATTATTAGAAAGTGTCATCTGAGGAGAGAACTATCAAAGTACAGACCAAAATAAACCAAGGTTAGCTAGCCCAGAGAGATAGTACATGGGGAGCATGCTTGCTTTGCATGGGGCCAACCCCAGTTCCAGCCCCATCATCCCATATGGCCCCCCAAGTCCTGCCAGGAATGATTCCTGAGCTCTGAGACAGGAGGAACCCCTGATCATTGCCAGGTGTAGCCTAAGAACCAAAACAAGACACTGTCACTGTCATCCTGTTCATCGATTTCCTCGAGCAGGTACCAGTAACGTGTCCTTCGTCCTAGCCCTGAGACTTTAGAAAGTGCCACATTCGAGGCTCTTTTGAGGGTCAGGAGAATGAGACCCATCATTGTTACTGGTTTTTGGCATATTGAATACACCGCAGGGAGTTTGCCAGACTCTGCCGTGCAGACAGGATACTACCAGGCTCTCTGGAGTAAGAACTAGATAATAAGATGTGGCCGCGCACTTTTGCGAGCTGGGTTTTATAGTCTCTGGGTCTTGGCCATTGATGGGATTATGTGGCGCCTGGGGCAGTTGGTGGGTGTAACGCCTACATACTGGAAGATGGGGGAATGCGGGTGGAGGAGGCCCAGTCCTGATCTGAGCAGGCTTGGAGATCTAAGCCACAGGTCCTGCACACCTGGGTTCCTCTGCCAGTTCCTTCATGCGTGAGGCTCGTCCAAACGTGTGGAGAGTGGTCTTAAGCATGGCTGTGGCTGGAACCGGAGGTCTTCAGCTGCCGGGGCTCTACTCGGGGTGGGGAGGGAAATTCAACCCGCTCTCCTCCAAAACAAAACAAAACAACTCAAAAGCTATCAAAGTTAGCAATATGAATTCAGGGTGTAAGAAGTAGAGTAAGACTTCGTAATACGTGCGCACATACAGTGACCATGGCAGTAGCATGGGTGTTAATTTGTCTATACACCTTACAGTGTAGCTTTCAAAGAATGTTAAAGGGGACTAAGTGACTCTTGGAAGGAAACTCACAGATAAAATGGCTCTGTGGCTGATAGTGAGTAAATGTCCCATCAAGTGAAGGAGTGTTTCAGGAGTTAATCGAGAACACCTCGGCTCAGGAAACTAACTTCCGGTAGCTGGCGTGTGCGGGGAAGCCTGCACCCCGTGAGTAAATACAGGCATGGCTCTCACAAACGCTGGTTTTATGCTTGCTCACAGATAGCTCAAGTAAACCCCCTGAAACTCGGAATTAAAATTCTGTGGCAAACAGGTTATTTAAAATGGAAATCCTGGGGCCTGAGCAGACAGTATGGCTGGGAAGGCACGTACCTTGCACGTGGTTACCCAGGTTCCATGCCCAGCATGCCACAGGGTCTCCCAAGCACCACCAGGAGTGATCCCTGAGCTCCGGCAGGAGTCAGCCTTGAGCACAGCCAGTGTGGCCCAAGCATAAAATGGAAATCCGAGACCAGAGTAATGGTACAGAAATACATGATTTTTTTTTTTTTGTTGGGGGTGGTGGTGGTTGGTTTTTGGACCATGCCTGACTTGGTTTGTTTTGGGATCATGTGCTTAGGGCTTACTCTTGACTCGGTGCTCAGGGATCACTCCTGGTGGTTTTTTCAGGGACTCTCCTGTGCGGTTATGCAGATCGAGCCCACAGTGGGCTGCATGGAAGGCAAGCGCCCGACCTGCTAGGCTCTGGCCCTGAAATACATGATGACTGATTTCAAAAGAGTTCAGAGAACAAAACTGATGGGAGCCAGTCAGCACCGGGCCAGTCCTATAGCCTCACTGTTGGGTTTCGGTGCCCTGGGAGGTCCGTGCCCTGGTCACAGGACTCAGATAAATGACTGGCATTTGAGTTCAGTTCTCACTCATGCAGTGTCTTGCTCTCCCTTGAGATTCTAGATGCCAGCACTTACTCGCTGGCTTTTCCTGTGATGTGCCCGTCATTCTGACGTCTGGTGCTTCTTTCACGTGTTCCCAAAGGCTATGGAGAAGGGTTTTGTACTCTACACGGCCATGGAGGTAGAACATGGTTCTATACGTTGAAAACCGTGCTTTGTTCTCTATTAAATCGGATACTTTCCATTGCTAAACCTCTTGGAAATGTGTTCCCAAACGTCACGTCGGTCACAGGGCCATTTGGGGGTTAGTCCAGCCAGCCTGGTAAAGACCGGTAGCCGGGCTCACCGGGGCATCCGCGTGGCACTGTCTGTTTGGCCCTGCACTCTCTTCCTTACTTGACTTAGGGCTTAAGGAAGCAGAACCATCTGAGCCTGCATGATGATAAAGGTGCCCCTCGACTCTGAAGTGAAAAGTGTCTCAGAAGCCGCTAGTGATGAACTGTGTACAGTTTGAAATAACCTGTATCTGTCCTTCCAGACATGCCATTACCATTCAGTCTTTATGTGTAGTCATTTTTTTAAAATTTTCTTTTCTTTTGCCTGTGCATTACATTATTTTTTCTTCCCGATTACACCTCCCATTCATTTAAGATCATAAATGACGGAACTTCATTTTGTTGTTTGTTTGGTGCATTTTTCTTTTTTTTGAGTTTTTTTTTTTTTTGTCTTTTTTGGTTAAAGAGAAAGATGTATTTCTACATATCGCTCACCCAAGTTTGTTTACTAAAGTGACCCAAAATCCATAAATAGATTTTGGGCATGACTTTTGAAGTGTTATTTTTGTATTCCAAAGCAGGCCCTTCTGAAACTGATGATGTTGATGACAAACTCCCCCTTTCGAAGTCTTTGCAAGGTATAACCTTTTCACTTCCATTTCCCCACCTGCTGTTCTTATTTAATGTTCCTTAGATGGGACAGACTGTGTTTTAATATTTATTATATCTGTTAAATTGCTTTTCTAAATGGAAAAGGAAAAAATGTATTTGGCCTTTTATTTTTTTAAAAAAAAAAGCATAAATGAACTTCACCAGCAACAATTTTTTTCAAAACCAATTTTCCCTTTTGTGAATCTAGTAATGAATCTCGAAATGGGTACATGACACACTTTCCCCTGGCAGGTAAAGTAATGCATTTATACCTTATATGAGCACAGTCAGAAGTGAGGAGTTGTTGTCTGGTCAGGAGTGTCACTCGTGAGGCGGGCACGCTGAGACAGCTTTCAGGGAGAAGGAGGGCGATGGCTTGCAGTCCCCGGCCTTATTGATTCGACTTCCCGTGGGGTGGGGGTGGGGAGGGTTTTTACATAGCGTCCCCTAATTTGGTGACCATAGACCCTTCTTTGATTGATGCTTCTGTTTCTGACATTGAACGCACAAGATGTATTTTCTTTAGCTTTAAGTGTCTGGGCAGTTGCTTCTTTCGGAATTTATAAGAGCAGAGACAGACGTACAGGCAGAGTGCTGCCGGCCCCTCTTGGGATACTTCTGAGGTGTTCTCACTCCTTATTAACCTCTGTTTGGGGATCCTGGTCTCTTCCCCGTTATCTCTCACTCCTGTGACCTTATATCGTAAGTGTCCTAGGGCCTCTGCCCTATAAAGTTAGGAGTTAAAGTCAGGAAAATGGGGCATGCTGGGCTGAGGAAAAAGTTAATTGCATAATTCATGGCTCTAGGTTTCACTTAACATTTTTAATTCAGGTGAGTTTTTATATGACCTGGAGTAAGTAGAAAAGAGCCTCAGGGCCAGCTGGAGAGAGAACACAGAGATAACGCTGGGGGGGGGGGGGGGGCGGTCACTTGCCTGGTAGCTGGCCAAGCAAGCTCTGGTTCCCTGATGAGCCCAGGTCAGGAGTAAGCACATCTGGGTGTGGTCCCCAAAACAAAAAGCCAGAAACAGAATCCCCCTCCCCCCAAGAAAACTAATGGCATCATAATGTTAGACATTGAAAACCAAATATATTTGATCTGAGTTTGGCGTTTTCAACTCAGCGCAGGCAGGAGTTCCTGTTAGTTCTTGGAACTGGGGTCAGTGTTCTTTAAAGATCACACTTTAAAGGACTTTTTAAAAAGCACCCTTTAAAGGAAAAGTAGGATGAGGCAGACATCTGACTTGTTACCCGATTCATTACTTTCTGCCCCAGTTTTCAGACACAGTCAGATAGTATTACCTGGATTAAAATGCCTTTGAGATTGAAAAGTAGCATCTGCAGGTTTAACTTGTCAGTTTCCTCTAGTTTTGCTGAGCCAGTGGGGATGGTGTTTCCATCCCTCCCACCATAGTGAATTACAGAAGCAGGAAGCGTTTCCCAGCAGAACTTGAACTTGTTCATGGCGCCGAGTGTGAGCATAGGAGTCAGCTATGATCTTGTGTGTGTGTGTGTGTGTGTGCTCGACATCCCTAGCGGGTGGAAGTAGTAGTCCTGTTAGTATCAGTGATTGTCGCGTAGGCGCAGTCGCTGAAGTAACCCCCAAACCTGCTGAGGGGTAGTCTCTGTCTGTATTTTTAAATACGTTTCTGAGCTTTCAAATACAAGTGGTATGTGTTTGGTTTGTAGGGTTTATTTATTTATTTTTTTAATTCGATTGCATTGAGTTAATTAGGGGGTTGAAGAATCAGTTTGTGTATGTTATATAAATCTTTAATTGTTTGTGTTATTACTTTCACTTCTTTACAAGTTTTCTTTACTGGCTTATTATATGTGGTTTATTTTCTTTTTAGGAAGCCATCATACTTCAGAAGGCAATGAAGGAACAGAAATGGAAGTACCAGCCGAAGGTTAGAAATAAAGGGCCTGGCTTTTTATTATGGTTGTCAGTATTGCCCTTAAAGCACCTTATTTGAAAATAAGGTGATTGTTTGACATCTCTTTGAAGCCAACAGGTGTTTTTTTTGGTTTTGTTTTTTAAAAAAAAAACCCAAAGCCCTGATGCGTAATGCACCTTTGCCTGTCCTGGACACTTTAGCCTTCAGGAGGGAAGCTTGGGCCAGTCTCCGGGTCCCAGCACTGCCTGCCTGCCCGCAGGGCCTGCCATCACCCAGGCACCCTCACGGAGCAGCTGCAGGGTTTCGGGGTGTGGTGTGCCTAGAATTGCTTACGTACTTTATTTTGCAGACTCTTGTTTTGATTTGGTTCTTGGGGCCACACCTGGCTGTGCTCCGAGGTCTGTCCCCCTGGTGGTTTGTGGGGACTTCCGGGGCATGAGCGGTGAGCGCCCCACCCACTGCACTGTATCACTCCAGCACTCTTACTGATTTTGAAAACAGTACTTAAGCCTCTTTAAGTGGGAAGCGGTTCCCAGGGGCCCTGGAATATTAGCTCATCTTTACACATTCAGTTTTATGATTAGGGTTTCTAACTGGAATATAGTTCTTGCCAAAAAATGTTAGATGTTCACTTGAGATAACACTTAGTGTCTTTTTGAACTCTCTAGAGAAGATTGTGTGGATGGCCTCTTACTGCTTTAGAGCAAGAGGTAACCAGACAGTTCCTCTCGCTGGAACCATCCTCTGCGTCTGTGGGGTTTCACGCAAAAGAAACCCTACATACCAGACACGCGTGTCGCTCACGAGACACTGTCGCTTTCCTCCCGGTTTCAATTCTGTAGTCAGAGCTCAGGTTCAAAACACTTGAATTTTGAGTAAATGTTTGTTGTCCCAGGTGCAGTGTTAACTAATAGCCGAACTTGGGGTTCTGGTCTTTATTCCTTTACTAACAAGTAAACAATCTGTGGCAAATCAATTAATCTCTCGGCCTCTGCAGAAGCTGCTGACAGAGTCCTCCAGCCGCTTCTCAAGCTCTGGCTTCGGGGTGCACTTTGGTTCTGTGCAGTAACACAAATGTTAGTGAGATACCTCGTGTTTTCAAAGAAGGGGTCATAGGAAAGTTAGGGTTTGCAGCTCTGCCCACATTTACCGTGGCCGTTATCTTGATATTAAGACCTCCTCACTTTATTTATTTTTTGCTTTTTGGGTCACACCGGTGATGCACAGGGGTTACTCCTGGCTCTGCACTCAGGAATCACCCCTGGCGATGCTCAGGAGACCATATGGGATGCTGGGAATTGAACCCGGGTCCGCTGCGTGCAAGGCAAAATGTCGTACCCGCTGTGCTATTGCTCCAGCTCCAAGACCTCCTCACTTTAAAAAAAAAAGTTTTGATTGTATTTTACAGTATAGAGTCCATGATTTTCGGCTGCGGGTCTGTGGGGTGTAGAGGTTGAAAACCTCTGATAGTAACTGCCCTTAGACTCCTGGAGAAACAGCAGTCCTGGCATTTCCAATCAGAGCCGGAAGATAACTGTGACTCAGTTATCGCCTTAGTCCTTTAAACTTAAGAATTTTATAGTCCACATGCCGGTACCTTGGTTTTATTGATTTCCTGGGGTTTTTATACCTTTTGTTTTCTTTATACCTCTGTGAGTAGGGGCAGCTGTTTTAATAAACATGAAATGAGTCAGAGTGCCAGGAAAACTCGATAGGAGGCAGCTTTTTTGAGTATCAAGTCAATAAAATGTTGGAACCTTACAGAAAGTGCTTTATAACGAATGTCATTTTAGAATTTTATTTTCTTCAAGATTCTACTCAACATGTCCCTTCAGAAACAAGTGAGGATCCTGAAGTTGAGGTGACTATTGAAGGTCAGTCCTGGGAGCCTTGTTCTTCCGGTCACGAACGCTCAGCCTGTGTCCCATTCATTCCTCATGGAGCCTGGGAAGCATCTGTGTGTGTGTGTCACCAAAGTAGCCTCCCACTCACCCCCCCAACATCCTTCAGCACAGTGACCTGGACCTCACAGTCAGGTTCTGGCTCCTGAGCGGAGCAACTATCGGTCAGGGTTCAGCCTGCCGGTGGTGGCCGCGTCCACACCAGCCTCTCCATGCTCACCGAATATGCTCGTGTCTGTGTCGCTCAGGTGGTGTCAGACATCGTTTTTCCCTGCAGGAATGCAGTTGCTCAGCCTGTCCCAAGTGAATTAAAAATGTAACTCATGTGATCCACAGTGTTCACGGCTAAAAGTTACTAAATTGGTTTTTTTCTACAAAGTAGAAAATATGCCAATATGCCAAATACCAGTAACAATGATGGGTCTCATTCTCCTAAAGAGCCTTGAATATGGCACTTTCTTAAAAATCTCAGGGCTAGGATGAAGGAGACGTTACTGGGGCTTGCTCAAGGCAATCGACGAATAACAGGATGGTCGTGATCGTCGTGATCGTGATCTCCAAAGTAGATTGCTCCCAGTTTCTTCCAAGTCTTGTCCCCTCTAAAACACGGCAAAATGCTTCAGCCATGCTATAAGTGTAAAGTTGCCTTTATCCCTGCCCAGCCCAAGTGTCTGTGATCAGTAGACCGAAGTTTATTTTGTCAGCCCCTAAATATACCCTAGAAGGTTGATTATTTTTTCCCCAATAAGCATTAAGTGTTTTCACCATTGAACATTAGAGTGAATATTTAAAATAGACACATACCACACTGCTCATATATTTTTTTTCCCTTAAGCAAGTCTTGGGCAATGCTGCTTTTCTCCTTCAGCTCCTTCCCCTCTTCTCGCTCCCTCCCCATCCCCCAGTCTCCTGTCGGTGACTTGGGTTTCTCCTTCATAAACTAGTCAGTGTTTCTTTTCTTTGCTTCTAAAATATGTTGATTGGTAGCTTCTGCCTAATATGATCTCTCGTATTCTATGTTAATGTCTGTGTCTGCTCAACTTTCCATCCTGAGTCTACTAAACCCGAAAGCCGTGTTGGCCTTGCTCGTAAATTGCCATGAGATAATTGGTGCCCCGGACGGGGAGGAGGCTCTGGGCTCAGCGTGCTTGGGAGGCCGGGTCAGTCCTCAGCCCTGCAAGCTTCGAGCCTGCTGTATCCCCTGAGCTCTGCCAGGTGTGGCCCAAAAACAAACTTAGCTGCCGGTGGCCCAGTCGGTGGGGGGTGAGTCGGGGGAGGCCCGGGCTCCAGGCTTGGCAGGAGCAGACCTTGCTCAGGGGGTCACTCCTGCTGGGGCCAGGGAGGGCCAGGATTGCTCGGCCCTGAAGTCTGTTTTCTCACACTCGGAACTTGAAGGGCACAGCTCAGTGGTTTGGAGCATGGGCTGGCCGGGACGGAACCCTTGGGTCTGAACCCTGTGGTCCAGCACCCCACCCCACAGAGCACTCGGCAATAAGGAGGTTAAGTGACTGCTAAAAGTTGTTTTTGTGTCTGCTTGGGGGGGGTTGTTTGTTTTTTTGTTTTGGGGTCACACCTGACTGGGCTCAGGGCTTTCTTCTGGCTCTGCATTCAGGGGGCTGAGGGGGCCGTCTGGGGCACCAGGGATTGAACCTAGGTCAGCCCCATACTCGATAGTTACTACCCGCTTGCTTTGTTGTTGCTCCAGCCCTGGTGACCATTAAAATTTTTAGAAATAAAGAATTTGGTGGGAGTGGGGGTTGGGGAGGGGGGATGGTAGGCAGGAGTATTCTGGGACTGTATCATACCAGAGCCCCCAACCCAGCCTGTCACATTCTGGAACTTGGGGTCTATCTCCAGCCCCAGGATAAAAGTTTTAAGTATGACTAATAAGTTGATAGACATGTATATTTAATATGTACGTCTTAAAGCAGATAAAAGTTGTGAGAATATGTATATGTATATGTATCTATGTATATGTTTTGGGGCCACACCTGACGACGTTCAGGGGTTAATCCTGGCGAGTGTTCTTCCCACTGGTGAGGGCTCGAGAGTAAGTGTTTGCCAGTAGCCGAGGCCTTTGGAGACTCACCTGATCAGAAGATCAGTGCCCGGCCAGAGCCATCTTAGACAGGTGGGGTGCCGCCATCTTAGACAGGTGGGGTGCCGGCCTTGATCCCCGACCCATAGAGGGGAAGAAGTCCCACGTCCTGTTGCCTTTTTTTTTATTTTTGGCTTTGGTTTTGGGGTTGGTTTTGGGGCTGGAACGATAGCACAGTGGTAGGGCGTTTGCCTTGCATGCAGCCAACATGGTCGACCCGAGTTCGATTCCTCCGTCCCTCTCGGAGAGCCCGGCAAGCTACCAAGAGTATCTCGCCCGCACGGCAGAGCCTGGCAAGCTACCCGTGATGTATTCGATATGCCAAACACAGTAACAAGTCTCATGGAGATGTTACTGGGCCCACTCGAGCAAATCGATGAACAACGGGAGGACCGCGACCGTGGTTTTGGGGTCACACTCAGCAGTTGTCAGGGCTCCCTCCTGGCAGGCTAAGGAACCATATGGGTCCTCAGGGGTGAGGATGGGGGTGGGGTTTTGAACCTGGGTCGGCCGTATGCGAGGCCAGAGGCCTTCCCTTCCCGTTGTCCTGTCGCTCCGGTCCCACCTGCTGCCGCTCTTACACCAAGACCCAGCCCCCCGAGGCTTGCTGGGGCATGGCTACCAGGTCACAAGCAACGGGATTTTTCTGCTTCTCCTGAAAGTGCAGGTTTCAGTAAAAGTAATTACAGGCAGCAGCATTTCCCACGGTGTGTGTGTTCACAGATGATACAGTACAAGCTGCTAAGTATTTTCTTTTCTCTGTCTGTCTCTCTCTCTCTCTCTCTCTCTCATTGGTTTGGGGCTATGTCCCGTGGTGCCCTGGCGCTTGCTGGGGGTCGGTCCCAGTGGTGCTGGGAGACTGTCCAGTGCTGGGAATGGACGATGGGGCTCCGGCATGCACAGCACACACTCAGTCCATTGAACCCTCTCTCCAACCCTGCCACTTATTTTCTGTCCATACAGTGGCAAAGTGAAGATTTAAGTGGTACTGACCAGGTTAGTCACGTGAGAACTTGGCACATCTTGTCTGATCACCCCTGTGTGTGCATCGGGATCTATTATATATCATACATACGCCATCATGTGGATGCATGGTCCTGAACAGTATTAGCTAGTTAAAAACGAAGTCTTGGCACTGGTCTCGTAATAGGAGGGAAAAACAGACATTAAAACTTTTTGTTATTCTCTCTGCAAGTGGTTCAGAAAAGATCAGATGAGTTTGGGGTGTTGGGCCATACGTGATGGTGCTTGGGACTCCCAGCTCTGTGGGCAGAGGCCCCTCCTCCCCCACTGGCAGATCAAATTGGGGTGGGCTGCCACAAAGCAGATGCCTTCCCCTCTGTAGGTTAGAGTTGCGTGGCGAAGTCTCTGCCTCTGGCCGACACTCCTGGTCAGGCTGTGCTCCACTGTGTTTGGAAGAGCCAGTGCTGGCCTCAACTGCCTCCTGACCGTCTCAGCTGCTTTTTCGCTTTGTTTTGTTTGGGGGCCACACCTGGCGGTTCTCCTGGACTACTCCTGGCTCTGCACTTGGTGATCACTCCAGCTTGGGGGACCATCTGGAATGCCAGGGGCTGAACATTGCGAGCAGCCCCCTGCACCCCGCCCGCTGCACTGCCTCTGGGCACTGCCTTCTGTGGCCCATGGGGCCTTGCTGGGAGATGCCCCTCACCGTTCACCAGTGTTGGGGACTCTTTGGGGACAGTGCCTGCCTTTGCCCCACAAGCATCTCATCTGGAGTGCTGTGCTTTCTCCTGTCCTGATGTCCTTTCAGAGGCCCTTTGTCCAGCATTTGGTTATCCCTTCTAGGGACGTGCTTGTTGGAGTCTCAGCCACCCTGTGGCTCATTCTGTCACGACGAGCTGATTGATGAGTACTTAAGTTTCCAAAAAATGAATTTTGTTTTGTTTTGTTTGGGCCATTCTTGGCAGTACTCAGGGCTTCTTCCTGGCTCTGCACTCAGTGATCACTCCTGGCAGGGTTCAGAAACTGTGTTCAGGGGTGCCATGCCTGAACTCTGGTCCCACTCTGCTATCTCTCCAGGTCAGGTTGTTCAAAAATCGGTAGAAAGTGGATTCGTTTAAAAATCTATTCATCTCCCTGAGTAAGACTTTGAAAGCTTTTCTGCTCAGACCGTCCCACGCACAGCCGAGTAGCCCATAGTCGCTTCACATTCTGCACATGGCACTTGGGCGGTGAAGTCTTTGATTTTGTGTCAGCACCACACCTGTCAAGGCTCAAGGATGGCACCTCAGCGGTACCAGGGTTCGTCCCTGGGTGTCCGGCATGCAGTGTCTTTGCTGGTCCTTGGGTTTTCTCACTGCCCTGGACTGCAGTGTGGATGATGCTGTTCCCGGCCTTTGACGGGTGGCAGGTGGGGGCGGATTTAACGCTTTGGACTTTCCTTGGTGGGCATGTGGCTAGTTCCAGCCTGTCTTCTCTGTTGCTTCCGTGATGTCCTGCAGGTGCAGGACTGGCCCAGAGAGACGAGCTCCTGGGAGGGTTTCAACAGGAGCCACAGGCTGCCCAGTCCCTGGGCCCATGCTGGTGTCTCCTTTGAGGTGGGCCCAGTCCCTGCCCTCACGCCGCTAAGCAGAGCCAGAGACCAAGTGCACACACACATATACACACCTGTATAGCACTGGTTGCTCCCAGTGCCAGCCTCACCTCTAGGCTGACCGTCACAGGAAGTGACCGCTCCGTCCTTAAGAACCCCGGAGTGTCCTCCAGCTCGCTTAGAAGAAGGGCGGGCGGTCTCCTAGGGAGCAGGCAGGCGGAGGGCAGAAGAGGTTGGGTTCTGGGCCTTGCTGGTCTGTAGCTTAGTTCTGGTGCCAACCTTGTCAGTGTGAAGGGAGATCATACAGTCTACACAGACTCTCGGGTTAGTGTGGACATTTCTGCTGGGGTCTCCTGTGCTCTCACACAACACGTACGCATGTATGCACGCACACTGCTATAGCCAGCTCCAGCCCCTCTGGGGAACTGTGAACACTTTCTAACGCTGTGTCATCTCTGTTCACCACTTTGTTGTCTTGTGAGGAAATGGACTGTCCCAGATTTCCTTTCTTCTTGGTGACCGCTGCTTCTGCTTTTATAAAGTGTATCAATGCCAGTTGGCCCTTTCTGCGACGAGACAGGCTGACAAGAACGCCCTGTCCAGGCACTGAAGGTGACCTGTCCTCCTTGCTTCCATTTGGAGGCTTCACGGTAGATTAGGATTTCTGGCTCCATTGCTGCTCCTCTTTCCCAGTCACTGTGTCTCTTTTTGGTTATATCCCTTTATTTGCCGTGTACTGTAAGATTTCCTGATGATCTGTATATTTAGGCTGCTTTAGCCGGCAGGGGAGAGACTGGTCTGGGAACCACGTCCGGCAGTGCTCAGGGCTCCTGGCTCTGCGCTTGGGCATCACTGCTGGTGGTGTTCTGGGAACCAGCTGTGATGCCCGGGGTCCAACCTGGGTTGGCCACATATAAGGTAAATGCCCTGCCTGCCTGTGTGTTGCGCTGGTCTCAGTCATGAACTCTTGCTAGGACCAGTGACAGGGCAGCTGATCAGGGGCTGTTCTCAGAGGAGCGCCGGGCGTCCCATGAGCAGAGTCGGTTGCTACAGTAGGGTTCTTTTTTTACTTGGTTCTACTCCGGGGGGCCACATTTGCCGGTGCTCAGGGATCACGCCTGGCAGGGATCGAACCCGTGTCAGCTGTGTGCAAGGCAAACGCCCTTCCCTCTGTCCTGTCGCTCTTGACTCCCCCGGGTACAGCCACCCTTGGCCAGAGCACAGGGTGCTCCAGTGCTGTGTCTCCAATAGTCTGACTCATGCATAACGTCCCATGGAATTTACATGGGCTGAAATAACACTTGTTTCACCAATAATGTCCTACCTGCTTTTCTTTAATTCCCTTATTAAGTTTTGTGTTGGTTAAGGGTGCTGAGTCCCATAGTTAGTGAGGCACCCTTGTGTATGCACAGATTCTTCATCCACAGAAATAGGTTTCCATTCAGGATTTTGTTTCCTCTATTTGTATAATTTGAAATGGCGTGCAATTCTTTTTCTAGATAGATACAGAATATAATTCTAAGGTAGTTAGATGAGTTATGAGAGGAGACCTTTAAAATGATGTCACAATAAAAATAAAACTTCTAAAAAAGATTAAACGGGCTGGAGGCCATGGTACAGCGGGGAGGGCGTTTGCCTTGTACGCGGCCGACCCAGGTGTCATCCCTGGCACCCCATCTGGTCCCTGATGCACTGCCAGGAGTAATTCCTGAGTACAGAGCCAGGAGTTAGCTCAAAACGTTCCTGGGCGTGGCCCCCAAACAAAAGAGAAGAGACAAGGAGGTTAAATAGGACAAAGGAAAATGGGGGCACATCCCAAAGGAGTAGAGTGGAGCTGGGGAGAAAGGATCCTGGAGAAGGGGCCCGGGAGTTCTCAGGGTAGACCCGCACCTCCCGGTCGCAGGAGGGCCGAGGAACAGCCCTTCCTCTCCCAGTGCTCGCAAGCCCTGTTTGTCTTCCGGATGTTGAGGCTTTGCAGCCGGAGCGTGCCCCAGCCTGTCATTCTAGTGATGACACTATTCTCTTTCAAGACGATGATTATTCTCCACCTACCAAGAGACCAAAGAGCAGCGAGCCACCGCCCCCGCCGGTCCCGGAGCCTGTCAACGCTGGGAAGCGGAAAGTGCGCGAGTTCAACTTTGGTGAGTGCGTCCGCCCCAGCCCCAGCCCCAGCCCGGCCCAGATGACACAGGCAACTTGGAGGCTTGGTGATCTCCATGGGGGCACCCCAGTGGAGCCGGGCCCCTGGGGCTGTCCCTGCCCACTATGGGCCGCTTGGTGGTCAGGCAGGTGTTCCAGACACATTTAGTTTTCAGCGAACAATATTTAGCTTGCTTCATTTTGAAACCGGGGGGATGAATACCCTGTCCTGAGTTTCACCGCTCTGTGTAATCCCACCAGCCCCCAGGACCAGCCTGTCCTTTGGACTGAATGAAACACTAGTGGTCAGATGGGTTTCTGGCTTGTACTTGGACAGATAGGATGTTTCTTATCTCTTTGAAACATTTTCAGTGAAGAACACCTTGGTCCTAGGAAGTAGCAGTTAGAATGGAGATTGTGGTGTGGGGCTGTGGGCGAACGTCTCTCCTGCCCGAGACCCTGATGAGCCCTCCCTGGCCTACAGCAAAAGGGAAAGGGAAAGGTTATGATGTGCTGTGTGGAGGATTCATCTCTGGGTATTGGGTCATGTTAACATGCGTGTCTTCACGGGGGACTTTTTTACTTTCTGTTTTCAGAGAAGTGGAACGCTCGGATCACTGATCTACGCAAACAAGTGGAAGAGCTGTTTGAGAGGAAATACGGTATGTCTGAATGGAAGCGTATCTGTTCAGTGGGGCACCTGCCCATGGGAGCTTGTCCAGTTCTCCCAAGGCAGTTCTTGGTGCCTTAGGAAGGTCCTGGCCCGTGCCGAGCCTTAGCAAGCATATTCTCCCCCGTGGTGTTTATTTTTTATTTTTTTTCCCCCTTCTTGGGTCACACCCGGCGATGCTCAGGGGGTACTCCTGGCTCATGCACTCAGGAATTACTCCTGGCGGTGCTCAGGGGACCTTATGGGATGCTGGGAATCGAACCTGGGTTGGCTGTGTGCAAGGCAAACGCCCTACCCGCTGTGGTATTGCTCCAGCCCCCTCCTTCATTATTTTAACTACCGACTTCCACCCCACCCCAAAAGCCATCACCTTGTGTGTTTGGGATTTTTATGTTAGAGTGTTGTGGATGTTGAAGATTTAGAGATTCTAATAAGGGGCCAGAAAGAGAGTCCCGCTGGGGGGGCGCTTGCCTTGCTCCTTCTGCCAGTGCCGCCTACATTGTAGGTTCGATCCTCGGCATCCCATGCGGTCCCCTGAGCACACCAGGAGTGATTCCTGAGTTCAGAGCCAGGTGTGTTCCCTGTCCCCCAAAATCAAAAAATATTCTGTTAGGAAGTGGTTGGGGCCAGAACGATAGTACAGCTGGTAGATTCTTGCCATGCATGGGGCCGTCCTGGGTTCGATCCATGGCACCCTATAGGGTTCCCCCTAGCACTAGCAGGAGAGATTCCTGAGCACAGAGTCGGAGGTAACCTCTGAGCATTGCTTGGTAGGCCAAAAAGCTTTGATCTGCTATGTTTAGCCCAGTATTCATCTAAATTTTTGTGGGTTGATTCTCTTGCTGGCTTTTTTGTTGTTGTTGTTAAATCTCATTGTTTTCCTAGTGTATCCTCCGATCTTTATTCAGGAATCTAAGAAGCAAGCAGGCCCTCTGGCCTGATGCTCTGTGTCATGTAGCGAGTCATAAAGCCCATCCAGCGTTGGCTTTAATTGCTCTTTAACTGGGGGGCTGTTGAGCCTACGTGCTGGCATTTAGTGGTTCCTTTTAGAATGAAGAGTCTGGCTCCCTGATTCCGAGCGTGTGTGTTTCCATTACTTCATTACACATTTGGCTAAATTAGGTACTGACATCTTCAGGATTTTTAATTTTGGTGTCCATTTTTAATCTAATTTCCTGAAGTAAAGGTCATGGTGTGTGGTGGTTTTTTTTTTTTTTCCCAAGTATCGAGATGCAAATTTTCAGGTTTTTGCTTTGTTTCCTGCATCCATGCTTTAATACTTGGTCATTAAATGATCTCCCCTTTCTCTTTTTATCTCCAAGCTCAAGCCATAAAAGCCAAAGGCCCCGTGACGATCCCGTACCCTCTTTTCCAGTCGCACGTCGAGGATCTGTATGTGGAGGGACTTCCAGAGGGGATCCCTTTCCGGCGGCCGTCGACGTACGGGATCCCCCGCCTTGAGAGGATCTTACTCGCAAAGGAGCGAATCCGCTTTGTGATTAAGAAGTAAGACCCGTGGACTCTCTTGTCTGTTTCCAGTAGCCACTGGGACTGCGTTGGAATTGTGGCAGCAGCTCCTGTCCCCAGCACCTCTGGGAGCGACCTCCGAGGATGCAGCCAGGAAGAGCCCCTCAGCCACGCTGGGGTGGCCCACAAGGCACAAAATCCCCCCTCCATATGTTTTTCCGTATTTCTTTTTCTGGGGCGTTTGGGTCACACCTGGCAGTGCTCGGGGGATCCTTTGGGATGCCAGAGCTCAAACCTCAGTTGTCTGCGTGCAGGGCAGGCGACCGCCCTCCCCACTGTGCTGTCACTCTGGCCCCTGTACTTCTTCCAGAAGGCTCCACATCTCGTATCTGCCCCTGTTTGGCCCAATTTTCTCTCCCTCTTGGGGCGAGTCTCTTCTCATATTTCCAAGACCCACAAGCTCACTGCCACTGTGCCATGCCAGCCGAGTGTTAAATAAGTACTGGCAGTGAATAACGTTGGCCAATACATCACTCCTTTCCTCACCTTTCAGACATGAGCTTCTGAATTCGACACGGGAAGACTTGCAGCTCGATAAGCCAGCTTCAGGAGGTGGGTCTCAGCCCGGGTCTGCTTCTGTGCCCAGTTAGAGCACTCTCCACCAGGAGTACTTGGCATCTAGGGTCTCCCCAGGGCAGGGCAGGGCTGGAGACTGGCAGCCCAGTCGGTAGGGCAAAGGAGCCCCAAGGAGGAGATAAGGCTGGAAGGGGGCCACAAGTGGAAAAAGGATGCATGGTGCAGAAGGAAGGATTTTCTTATCAGCCTGTTATATTAGCGAAATACAAACACTCTCTCCAGTCATCTGGAATAACTTTGAAATGTCCTGTGATCTGGACCTAAGTATTGACGTGTGTGTTGGCTGAGTCCGTAGTCTGTCCGTTTGCAGCTTTCTTTGCCATACCCGGGATGTGACAGACAAGATTTGCCGCCAGAGGGTCCGGAGGGTATCTTTTTCTTGGGGGGGGGGGTCACACCCGGCGATGCACAGGAGTTACTTCTGGTCCATGCACTCAGGAATTACTCCTGGTGGTGCTTGGGGGACCATATGGGATGCTGGGGATCGAACCTAGGTCGTCCGCGTGCAAGGCAAACGCCCTACCCGCTGTGCTGTTATTGCTCCAGCCCCAGAGGGTATCTTTACCCGTTGGTTAGACACATTTTGTTTCAGGGCTGGGGCATAAACCCGGTAGTGCTCAGGGTTTACTCCTGGCTCTGCTCAGACCAGTGCAGTGCCAGGATTAGAACCTGCATCTGCCAAATGCACAGCAAGTGCCTTAACTCATTTCTCTGGCCCCTGCTATGTAGGACTGGAAAGAAAATACCTTTGTGATTGTTTTGTTGCTCTTGCTCAGTTGTCATGTGAAGGGGGGAAAAATTCTGATGGGGGTGCTGGAGAAAGTATGTAGTAACAGGCACATGCCTGGCATGTGGCTGACCCCGATTGGAGCCCCCATACCCCGAGGTGGCATGGAGCGTCTGCAGTGGGACCACTTTGGGCCTTTCATTGGACCGCAGCTGGACTGAGTGACCAGAGCGTCCCCTGGGTCCCTGATCACCACTTGAGATATCCCCCCCCAACAACAACAAAAATTGCCCGCTAGTTCTTTTGTTTGGTGGACAATGCCACTCGGGCACAGTGCTCCAGCCTGTCGGGGCATGATGCCCGGGCTCAGTGCCTCACTAACTGAGACCGTCACCGTGCGGGGACCTACCCACTGCTGTCAGGTGAAGGAAGTGTGCCTCCTCTCTCTCCCAGTGAAGGAAGAGTGGTACGCCAGGATCACCAAGTTACGCAAGATGGTCGACCAGCTCTTCTGCAAGAAGTTTGGTGAGTGCCCGTTTCCTTCTAGTCAGTCTTGTCCAGCCCAGTGTCCATCAGCGATCCTGGGCTGGGCGCGGGGCAGGGGTGCTCTCTGCCCCTTCTGTTGATTTTGAATGCATGTTTCCTCATGGACATGGCAGGGGCAGGCAGAAAGGGCCCCTGTGTCCAGGTGAGCTGTGTTTACTTTGCTGGTTTTTGTTCACTGGGGGTTGTTGTTGTTTTTTGTTTTTCTTTCCTATTTTTATTATTTTTTTTTTTTAATCATCTTAATGACATCTGGTGGTTTTTAGAAATAGGTTTCTTCTATCTGTGACATATCCCATATATGAGTCCTTCGCCTTGGGTCTAGGAGTAAGGCCCATAAGGTAGAAGGCCATTTAGTCAAGAGGGAAAATCCCCCAGACAAACCAGAAACTAAAATCAAGAGTCACTTTTTCTGATGGACTTCGGCCTTGGTGCCATGCCCGGGCAGGGTATAAGGGTATACTTCAGACTTGGTACCTGGAGGGGGGGTTGGGGGGAGTCCCCTGGTGCCGGAGAATGGCCCCTGGGTCCCCCTCACGCGTGCAGAGCCCGTGCCTCAGCCCTTCTCCAGTCTCCGAGTGAGTTTCCTCCCTCACTTGATCACTTGTTTGTTCTAATACTGTGCTTCTGTTTGAACCAGTCTGTGCTTAGTTTTTCCTTCCCGTTCCGTGCCAGAATTTATTTCCTTTAAAACTGTATGCTGACTGAAGTTGAAGGAGTACGCAGCATTATTCTGTATTTGCATTAACAGATGAATGCTTAATTGTAATAAGTGTGTTCAAGCCAGTAAATATTATTAATTCATAAAATACTCTGAGGCAAAAATCTGCTTCCAGGTATTTGAAAAGGTAGTATGTTTGCTGCATTTTTTTGTTCTATTATATGATTTCTGACTGATTTTTTTCACAAAGGTATCTTTTTTTGTTTTGCTTATATTTTAGCAGTGGATTTAGGACTAGGAACCAACCCAAACTCCAGCAGAAAGTATTAGTGGGCTGGGTCTGTACCGTGGCGGCCCCTGGTCTGCTTCCAGCACCTTAGAGAAAACACATGACACGTACAGAGAATTTCATTTCCTATATTAAGTCTATTTCAGTAGTGTGTGTCTGCGCGTGTTTTGTTTCGTTTTTTGTTTTGTTGGTTTTGGGGCCGCACCTGGCGATGTTCAGGGGTTACTCCTGCCTCTGCACTCAGGGATCATTCTTGCCGGTGCTGGGGGACCGTATGGGGTACCAGGGATCGAACCCGGGTCAGCTGCTTGCAAGGCAAATGCCCTCCCCGCTGTGCTATCGCTCCGGCCCCTGTGTGTGTATATTATTTTAATTCACGTGCTTTGCTTTGCGTTTGACTATGGTGGTTTGAACAGAAACTCAGTCTCGGTCTGCTTTTATTTTGCGAAGCCGAGGCCTTGGGGAGCACCGAAGCCAAGGCTGTCCCTTATCAGAAGTTTGAGGCGCACCCGAATGACCTCTACGTGGAAGGACTGCCGGAGAACATTCCTTTCAGAAGCCCCTCGTGGTACGGAATCCCCAGGCTGGAGAAGATCATCCAAGTGGGCAACCGGATTAAGTTTGTTATTAAAAGGTAGGACTGGAATCCATCAGAGCCCAGTGGAACCTAGTCCCCGCGTGAAAGATGGATTTCCCGAGTCGAACCTCTGGTCCCTGTGGGTTGGACTGTCTGTAGGTTAACCAGGTGCTGCACGAGGTACAGCGGCTGAGCCAGCGGGGGGGACGATGGGAGAAAAGTGAGTGGAAACCTCACTGCACACTGTGGCAGGGAGCAAGAGCCCACAGAGGCCGGCCACTCACAGGGAGGCCAGGCCGGCATCCCGTCTGTCCCCTGTCACAGCCGCGCTGTGCCAACCTGCGGGTCCAGGGGGCTCTGGCCCGCTGTGCCCTGACGGGACTTAGACAAGGCAGCCGGGATGGGACAGGTCTCAGGACTTGGGCTTTGCCCAGTTACTCTTCGAGGTGTCTGGAGGGCGTGCTGAACAAGACCCTTTTTCCTACAATGAGTTTGCTGCCAGTGGAGGGCCACACTGGGGACTGTCTGCCCTGCGGCCCGGCTCTGGGGAGTTTGCCCACGTGCTCAAGGGCTGTGCGCCTGACAACGTGCTTTCGTACTCTTTCGCTCCTTCTTGCTCTCTCTCACTCTGTTTCTCTCTGTTTCTCTCTCTTTCTCTCTCTTTCTCTCTCTCTCTACAGACCAGAGCTCCTGACCCACAGCACCACTGAAGTTACACAGCCGAGAACTAACACGCCAGGTAAGGAAGCTGCGGTTTCCTCTAACAAGCTCAAATCTATGGGTTGGCTTTTTGTTGTATCAACTTTTTTTCAGTTTGGTTTTGGGCTCACACCCGGTGTTGCTCAGGGCTTACTCCTGGCTCTGTGCTCAGGGATCACCCCTGGCGGGGCTAATGAGGCCATGTGGGATGCCGGGGTTCAGCCCGCAGGCAAGGCAGGTGCCTTCCACGCTGTACTATTGTACCCCTCCGGCCTTGTTTTTCCGGCCTTTAAAAATGTTTCTGTTGGCAGAACATAAACGACTTTTTGTGAGTGCTTGATACAGGCAATTCTTATTTTATTAATAGGTTGGAGGCAGAAAAGGGAAACTAGAACTTGGGGAGGGGTTGAAATTTATTCTTTTTGGAGGCGGGGAAGTGGTGTTTAGGGCTACATCTGTTGGTGTTCAGAGGTGTCTTAGATTGAGCCAGTGTGAGACTAGAGCCTTCCCCCCTATGCTGTTTCTCCAGCCTCAGGAGAACCAGTTCTGGGGTTAAGCCTGCTAGGAATGTGCCTCATCTGCTGGCGCTTTGTGTTCCCTGCCACTATTTCCGTCGCCAAACTCCTTTTTGGCCTGTAATGAGTATCAACAGAAACTTCTGTTTTCTCTGAGGGGCTAGAGAAAGGAGTAGCAGAGGGGTTGAGGTGCTTACCTTGCAAGCAGCTGTCCCTGGTTCAGTTCTTGGTTCCACTTCCGGCTCCTGGAGCAGAGTCAGGAATGGTCCTGCCGGCTGGGGCCCCAAACAGCAGTCGCAGGGATTCCTTTCTCTTTTCTGGAGCAGCGCCTGGCAGGTACGCAGTCGCCACGTGTGCCAGCCCTTGTAGATTTGCACCTTTCGTGATGGACCCAGTGTTTAGAGAACAGATTCAGGGCTGGAGAGACAAGAGCTCAACAGGCTAGACGCCGGCTTCCCCTACAGGCAACCTGGAACTGTCAGCCTGGATGTCTCCAGACACCTCCAAGACCCTCTCTGAGCACCATGGGCTTGGGGCTGGAGGGGGGCAGCACAGTGGGCGGGGGGGGGGGTCTGGCACTGGCTTTGCACACTGCTGACCAGGTTCCATCATGGCACCCTATCCTGCGCACCCCAGGTCTGGTTCCCCCAAACCAAGAAAAGGATTATGGCATCTGACGATCATTTGTAGTAGTACCTTGGAGCACCGTTGGGAGCAATCCCGGAGCACATTTGAGTGTGGCCCCCAGGCCCCCCAAAAGTGAATGAATAGAATTTAAAATGGGGCCAGAGAAATAGGGGGTCGACACATGCCGCATGCTGCTGACCCTCGCTCCATCACCGACATGCTTCCACCGCCTGCGATGTCGCTCTGAAGGCCCCAGGCACCACCGAGGGAGGCCTTAAACTGCCTTGTGCCAGGCACCACCGAGGGAGGCCTTAAACTGCCTTGTGCCAGGTGCTGCTGGCCCAGCACCTCCTCGTCCTTGGGCCCTTGTTCGCAGTGAGGTGTTTCCTGGGCCTCCTGGGGGCCACTTCAGGGTCCCCCACCCCCTTGAATTCTTTATGGGATGTGTGCTGTATTCACGCAGCTCCACTGACGCCACGGCCCACTGGGAGAGACCTGCATCTTGGTTCCGAGGATGATTTTCTTCTTGCTTCTTTTGTTTTGGGGCTACACTCGGCAGTTCCCAGGGCTGACTCCTGGCTCTTTGCTCAGGGATCGTTCCCGGTGGGCTCGGCACCCTGTGGGATGCCGGGGATCAGAGTGGGGTCGCTGGTACCAGGCCAGCGCCTTACCTGCTGTACTGTTGCTTCGGCCCCACACCAGGTTTTCTTTTCCTTGATGTGAGGTATCAGTACCCCCTGTCTCCTTTCCTGTTCTTTCCTCATCATCTAATGCCACTGACAGGGACCTGGCAGCCTTTGGAACTTCTGTGTGAGGATCCGTGGGTGTCCCTGAATTGATGTGGTTCATTGTCCTGTGAATAACCCTACGAGGAACTTGAGTTTGGGGGTACTCGGGGCTCACTGTTGGTGTTACTCGGGGACCATCTGATGGAGCAGGGGTGTAACCAGGCTGCACAAGTGCCTTTGGCCCTGCCCCATCTCTCTAGTCCCCTGGGATGAGTTCATACATGAGCTGGTGTTTTGGGGACCAGGGCAGGAGCCCCAAATTTAGTCTTTGATGTTAGGGTGGTTCTGGTGGCCCTAATAGTGGTGAACATTGGACTGTCCAGACCAGTGGGCTGAGTTTTCACTGGGAAAAAATCAGGGGTCCACTGATTCGGAGCTCCTGCCCCCCCCCCCCCCCCAAGAAAAAAAGATGTTATTTGTCCTCTAGAACACAGGTGGGCAGGTGTTTGCCCTGCATGCAGTTGGCCGGGGTTCAATCCCAGGTGCCCCATATGATCTCCCAAGCCCCACCAAGAATGATTCCTGAGCACCATCAGGTATAGCCCCAAACCAAAAATACATGAAGTGCATTACATCCCATCAGCTGTTAGGTTACCCAGGGACAGCTCATAAAGGTTCGCTGGCGTGCAAATGGCGCGTTGATCTTTGGGCTCTATGATGGGGGGTGGGGGGAGGCGGTAGACAGTGGCCGAGCAGGGAACCAGAGTTCTCCCTGTGCGTTGGGAGGAGTGTGATTAGCGAGTCACCTCCAGGTGAAGTGACAAGGTCGGCCCAGTGTGCTCCTTGGTGTGCTTCCCATGCAGGCAGAGAAAGAATGGTAGGCCAGAATTGAAGCTGGGGGGGACCCGCGGGCTTTGATAGATTGAGCCGGAGGAGTGGCAGCGAGAGAGAGCCCTGGCAGGCAGGGGCGATGGTGGCTGCACACGAACGCGCAGGCCCTGGACGCTCCAGCCGTGCTGCTCTCCCAGCCTGCCCTTAGATCAGTGTGGGGCAGGGAGAGTGGACGACGGGCCTTCTCGAGGCCCCGCCTCAGTGCTCAGGGTCTCTGATAGCTGGGGTGGAGGGGGCCATCTCCAGTGGGGGTCTGGGCCCCCATCTTGCCTTTCTCACAGCAGCTCAGTCTCTGCACACCCCTCCCTCTCTTCTCCCCTCTCCCGTCTCCTACTCCGCCATGTTCCCTGGTCTGACACTCCCAGCATCCTCTGCTGCTTCCAAGTATTCCTCCGTCCTCTACCTTGGACAGTATGGAGAAGCTGGACAATCCCCATACAAGCTCGCGAGTATCTCCACATCAGTGACCTCATACAGATGATTGGTTTTATTTCCATTTCTCTGGCGGGGGGCATACCTGGTAGTGCTCAGGGCTTTTCTCCTGGCTCTCTGCTTAGGGATCACTCCTGGCGGGGCTCCGTTTACAGGGGTACCAGGCAAGCACCCTGCCTGCTGTACTGTCACTTCAACCCCCAGAGTTTTTGTGTTTAAGCCAGAGAACTTCAGGCACCTCATCTCAAACCAGTGCTGTTTTGGCTCTCGTCTCTGGGTTTGTCGACTCTTCACCTCATCTGACTGCACCAGTCCCGGCGGGGAGCCTCAGTAACTGGTTTATGTTTGCTTTGTAGTCAAAGAAGATTGGAATGTCAGAATTACCAAGTTGCGGAAACAAGTAGAAGAGATATTTAACTTGAAATTTGGTGAGTAAAAGATACTAGTTGTATCTCAGTACAACTAGAAGGGAAAGAAAATGAAGAAGCATTGCAGAAGGCTCCAGAAGTCTAGATCTCTATTCCCATGGAACAGGTTATTTCTTGTGGGTTTGCCCTTTGTCCAGTGGAAAGGCCGAGCAGCATTGGGCTGGATTCGACCCCACCCCTGGGCCTCCGGTCAGGCTGCTCTCTGGTGTGCGGGGTTCACCTTGGTGTCAGCCGGGATTTGTTGGTATCAGCTTTCCCGGCGGATTGAAGGGTGCCAGAGAGACTGTTAGTGGCCGATTGTTGACTTATGTGTGTCTCTTATGGAGAAGGAAGTAGGGAGTGGGATTTTTAGCAGGATTGGGACCTGCTTTGTGTCATTTTTATACTTGCTGGTCACCTAGTCGTTGTATCCTTGATCTGGGTTCATAAAACTTTACCACTAATCCCCAATTTCAGTTCTGCTTTAATAAGGTCTGTGGGTCACTTTGTGTCCAGTGACCCACAGAAGGCTTATTTGTAGGCACCACATAAAGACTGGGTGGGGGGAGCAGCCGGGGGCACTCTGGTGACCGGCCATCTCTGCCTGCACTTCTCAGCCAATTGCACCAACAGTTGGCCCCAGGATACGGTGCTGGCAGGGCCTGAGCGCTGGGTGTCAGCCCTGTGTGACACCGGGTCCCCCAGGCCGGGCATGTGCCCTCGCCCAGTGCTAGCCTGCCAGCCCCCGCAGCTCTTTTCTTACTTGAAGTATTAAAATGGTTTCTTAAAAAACACATTTCCAACTTGGAGCTATGGTACAGCGGGTAGCATGGCCAGTCTTAGTTCCATCCCTGGTATCCCATATAACCATGGGAGTGATTCCTAACCGCCACCAGGGAAGGCCCCCAAAATAAAAATGTACTTGTTATTGTCCTTGCACAATGTGCAAAGCAGAAATGCTTTTGACTGTTAACCGCATGCTGCTAGAGTGTGTGAATCTCCACACGTCACTTTTTTTTTTTTTATGGTCACACCTAGCAATGCACAGGGGTTACTCCTGGCTCTGCATTTAGGAATTACTCCTGGCGGTGCTCAAGGGATCATATGGGATGCTAGGAATTGAACCTGGGTGGGCCATGTGCAAGGCAAAAGCCCTACCCGCGGTATTATCACTACAGCCCCGTCTGTACGTCACGTTTGACATGCGGAAAGGGCATCTGAAAAGTCCCGCCTCTTACACAGGAAAACCCTCTGTCCTTCCAGCTCAAGCTCTGGGACTCACCGAGGCCGTGAAGGTTCCGTACCCCGTGTTCGAGTCAAACCCCGAGTTCCTGTATGTGGAGGGTCTGCCCGAAGGGATTCCTTTCCGCAGCCCCACCTGGTTTGGGATCCCAAGACTGGAGCGCATTGTCCGCGGGAGCAACAAGATCAAGTTTGTCGTGAAAAAGTAAGTTCTCTCCACAGAGCTGCCGCCTTGCATTGGCCTTTGGCCCAGGGAGAGTCTCAGGCTTGTGCTGGGCGCCCGCCGGGTCCACAGAGGGCGGGCAGGCCGAGTCTGGTGCGGCCCCAGTGGCGGGGGCTGAGAGAGCTGTGTGCGTTTCTCCCGTCTCTTCCCGCACGTGCTTAATTCTGTAGAATTTCAGTCGATGATGAAACCAGCCCAACCCACCGCCTTTTTATCTTTCCTCTGACTTTTGGCGTCACACCCAGCAGAGCTCAGTGGCTCCCGCATCCCCAGTGCTCGGGACCTTACAGTACTGGGGATCGGTGTGAGATGGCCCTTGTACTGTGCCCCCGGCTCTGAGCTGATCTCCATGAAGACATTTATTCTTCACAAATCAAATCTGTGAAGAAAAGGGAATATTTCTTGGTCCACGCTCATAAACATCAGTGTTGTGAGGCCAGATAATACAGTGGTGACGGTATCAGTCACACACATGGCTGGCCTGGTTCCATCCCTGGCACCCCGTACGGTACCCAAAGTACTCTCGGGAGTGATTCCTGAGCACCACTGGAGGTGGGTCCCAGACAGACAAAATTCTTCACATTCTGTGCGGATGATCCTGTGATGAGGTCTTTATGTTCAGCTTTAGTCATGTTTGGGGGTGGGGGAGGGGGGTCTCCCGCCCAGTGCTCAGGAGCCCAGGGGCCCTCCCGACAGTTCAGGGACAAGGAAGAGATTATCACTGCTCGGGCCCTGCTGTGCCCGGGGTCGGTCGCAGGCAAGGCCCAGGCAGGTCGTGAGGGCTGCTGCCCGTGAGGCCATGCGATGCTCACTGCTGGCCTCGGTCCTCTCCCTCTTCTCCTCTCCAGACCGGAGCTGGTTGTATCCTACTTGCCGCCGGGAATGGCCGGTAAAATCAACACGAAAGGTGAGCGGCTTCGCGTGCTGTCGGCTCCCACTCTTGCCTTAGATCCTTCTTCCTCGGCTGACCCGGGCCGACTTGCGGGCCTTTGTTTCTTTCTTTCTCCTTTGAGGCACTTTGTTGAATGGGCCTCCTCGTCTTCTCAGCCTTCCCTGGCCAATTCCTTGCTTGCAGTGCTTGGCCGCCCTGTTGAGCCGGGCGGGAGGACCTCACTTCCCGTTTCCGCAAACAGAGCCAGCCTGTGTGGATTCTGACCCTCTGCTTACCTGCAGCCGCCCCGACACCAGAGTAACTGTGTGCTCGTTCCACAGCGTTGCAGTCCCCGAAAAGACCTCGCAGCCCTGGGGGGAACCCCAAAGTGCCCGAGATCGAGGTCACCGTGGAAGGTGAGGCCCGAGTCTGGAGTTCTTTGTGTGTGTCTGTGAAGATGGAGTTTTGACAAAACTTGACTCAAGATGTGAATCGTCTGGGGCCCGAGCCATAGTAGACAGCAGCTGGGGCGTTTGCCCTGCAGCCATGCACGAAGCTACCCCAGGTTCAGTCACGGGCATCCCATAGGGTCGCCTGAGCACTGCCGGGTGTGGACGAAAAGGATGTGAATAGTTATCTTGGAAAGTTGAAAGTATTTTCCCTTTAAATTCCTTCATTTTTTTTTTTATTATCCTAATTTTGGGCCATGCTCAGTGATGCACAGGGTTACTCCTGGCTCTGCACTCAGGAATTATTCCTGGCAGTTCTTGGGCGACTATATGGGATGCCAGGGATAGAACCTGGGTTGGCTGCATGCAAGGAAACCACACATATGCACTCGTGCATGCACACACGCGCGTGCGCATATACACACACACACACACACACCAGGGGAACCACCCTACAGGAGTTGCTGTGCTCGCCTGTTACATGGCTGGCCTGGGTTCAATCCCCCAACACCACATAATGATTCCCACCAAGCACTTCCAGTAGTGATCCCAGAGCACAGAGCCAGGGGTAAGCCTTGAGCACCGCCAGGTATGACACCCCCCCCCCCAATCCCCAAATGAAACAAAAATAAATGAAGTCCCAAGGAAACTGTGTCCGCCCCAGAACTTCGTCATGAGTCTAGTGCCTGAAAGGAGGCATTGCTTTTACCTCGCTTGTATCTCACTCTTTAAATTGCATTTTGGAAGAATCTCTTTTTAGACTCCCCGATTAGCAACACTTTGAGCAGTGCATTGAGGTCCCGGCACATGGTTCTGCTTCCCCACACCCAGCACCCGCGTGTCAGGGTGCCCCCCACTGCTCTTTCCCCATCCCAGCCCCTCAGCAAGCTCAGGTCTGTAGGAGTTTATTTACTGTGCTTCGAAAACAAATTTTAGACTGTGGGCTGGAGCAAACTCTCAGCCAGACCCCCACGGAGCCCAGGCCCAGAGCTAGGAGGGGCTCGCCGGGTGTTGGTGTTTACCGAGTGCCCAGCACCGGTCACTCTCTGTGCGCAGGGTGTGTGCAGCCTCGGCACAGCTCCTGCTTTCCCCCGTCGAGCCGTGTGATCCCCGGGTCTCCCTGAAGGGTTTTCAGAGAAATCTGAAGGAACTTGGAAGCTCGCTGGCTTTCCTTCCGCTCTCCCCATTAAAATAAACTCACTCTCCCAGCCTTGATATCCTCACGGCAAGGTCCGCGGCCTGGCGCTGGGAACCGAACACAACGGACCTGGGAGGTGGCTCGCGCCTGTCCCCACCTGACGGCAGCTTCCTGTTCCTGTAGGGCTCAGGCTTCCCTGAAGGGTGTGTGCGCACGAGGGAAGTCAGAGGAAGCTTCTGAGTGGACATGAGTCAGCTGCTGGCTGGGGCCGGAAGGGGATGCATAGATGCACGTGGTGTCACGGAACTTTCCCTTTTTTTAAAAAAAAAATTGTTTTGGGGCCAGACCTGGCAGTGCTCAGGATTGCTCCTGCTCGGCTCAGGCGATCTTGTGGATACCGGGGGTGGGAGCCTGGTGGGCTGGGTGCTCAGCGAGCATCCTCCCCAACCCTGCCGGGCGAGTGGGCACTGTGTAGACTGGGGCTCTTTTTCCTTTCAGGTCCTAATAACAACAACCCCCAGACCTCTGCCGTGCGCACCCCCACCCAGACCAATGGCTCCAACGTGCCCTTCAAGCCTCGAGGGAGGGAGTTTTCCTTTGGTGAGTCTGGACTGGACGGTCTCTTTCTCCACGTCGTCGTTCATGCTGGTGTCTGCCTGACCAGAGCCTGTGACCCTGTGTCCTTCTTTGGCCCCGGTTCCCTCTGTAAACTGAGGCTGACGATGCTTGTCACTTCATACTCTGCTTATGAGGATTCTCGGTGTCAGAGTCTCTGAAAGGGCTGGAAAGACCCACCCCGACAGTAGCTGTTTCCATGGGCCTGGGTATAATCTCGATTGTCACTGTTTTGTGTGCCACCTCTCCCTGGTCACTGGCAGGCAGTCACTTCTCCTCAATCAGGATGACCACCCTGGCTTGACTGACAGCGACACTGTTTTGTGTCTTGCAGAGGCCTGGAATGCCAAAATCACAGACCTCAAGCAGAAAGTCGAAAATCTTTTCAATGAGAAATGCGGTAAGTGTCCTCTGTGAGCCCCTGCTGTTAGAACACGGCGAGGTTCTGTGCCCGTGCAGGGGCCACTTGCAGGGGTGCTGTCCCCAGCTGTTGGCAGGTCCTTTGTGGCCTCAGCAAGGAGCCAGGCTTGTGTGTGTCCCCTAGGGGAGGCGCTCGGCCTGAAGCAAGCGGTGAAAGTGCCCTTCGCCTTGTTTGAGTCGTTCCCCGAGGACTTCTATGTGGAGGGCCTGCCCGAGGGCGTGCCCTTCCGCCGCCCGTCCACCTTTGGCATTCCCCGGCTGGAGAAGATTCTCCGAAACAAAGCCAAGATCAAGTTCATCATCAAGAAGTGAGACGCGGGCCCAGAGTGGGGGCGGGGGGAATGGAGCGGAGCAGAACTGAGGTTCACCAGTGACCACTGGACTATATGAAGTAGAGCCACGGCCCCTTGAGACATGAGTGTTGGTCCATACCCAGTGATGCTCAGGGACCACTCCTGCTGGTGCTCAGGGAACCATGCCAGGCAGGGATCGAATTGGAGCCAACTACATACAAGGCAGGTGCCTCTAACTACGGACTGCTGAGACCCAGGGCTACAGTACAGCAGGGAGGGCATTGCCTTGTACACAACCGACCTGGGTTTGATGGCCAGTCTCCCATATGGTTCCCCAAGAACTGTCAGGGCTAAGCCCTGAGCACTGCCAGGTGTGGCCCAGAAATGCACACACACCCCCCAAAAAAACCTCCATGCAACCTCTCTGGCCACATGCAACCCACAGCCATGTTCTTAGTGGTCGAGAAAGAGTGTGGTTCGGTTTTATGATGGTCCCTCTCTTCCTGACTTACAGAAGGTATTTTGAAGTTTCTGTTGGCCTCAAGATCTATGGATTAAGCCAACGCAGTTGAAATAGGAATAACTGTAATTTTTAAATAGGGGCTGGAGAGATGGTACTGTGGGTAGGGCACTTGGTACCCGTGGAATCCCCCGAGCCACCAGGAATTCTCGCTGAGCTCATAGTCTGTGTTGTATAAATTAGAGTTAGGGGCTGGAGAGAGCACAGGGTTTAAAGCGCTTGCTCTGCATGCGACCAACCCCCGGGACCCCAGTTGGTCCCCAGCGCCTCACCAGGAATGATCCCGAGCACAGAGCCAAGAGTCAGCATGACTGGGTATGGCCCCCGAACCAGGCAGAAAGCAGTAGCTCAGAACCTTACCCTGCACAGCCAGAAGCCAAACCAGGAAGTGACGGTCGCTGGGAATGGTGACCGTGCAGGCACCTCTGGCCACCTTGGCAGGTGCGGGGCGGTGTGAGGCCACTCGTGGGGTGCCCCGTGCTACTGCACGCCCGCTGCCCTCCCAAACTGCCCCTTCTTGCTGCGGCACTAAAGCCACGGGAAGCTGCGTGGGAAGCTTCCCAGGCAGTGTGGGTGTGTCATCACAAGGGGTGTCCCAGTGAGGGGTCGTGTGGGGCGTTTCACGAGGGAACAGCATTCCCTGTCTGCTTCAAGGAGGTTGCTGCTATCAGGGGTGGCAAATAGCGATGTTTCCTGCGTGTTGTGAGTGGTTGCTGAGTGCGTGTTTTTCCCCTCTCGTTTTCAAGACCCGAAATGTTCGAGACGGCAATTAAGGAGAGCACGTCCTCCTCCAAGAGCCCTCCGAGTGAGTGTCCAGGCTGTCGGTGGCCAGAGCAGTAGCATAGCTGGGGGGGCGGGGAGGGCGGCTGACCTGGGTTTGATCCCTGCCACCCCTTAGGGTCCTCCAAGCCCTGCCGGGAGTGCTCCCTGAGCACGGAGCCAGGACTCCCGTGGTCCCACAGAGCAGATGAAACTCGAATGATTCCCAGCACGGTACAGCCTCTGGAGCACCAGTTCGGCTAGTACCCTTGAGCAGTACTAGATGGGACTCAAAAGCAAAATTTAAAAATAATGAAGAATGGGGCTGGAATGATAGTACAGTGGGTAGGGCGTTTGCCTTGCACGTGGCCGACCTGGGTTCGATTCCCAGCATTCCATATGGTCCCCTGAGCATTGCCAGGTGTGACCCGAAAATCAAAATAAATAAGTAAAATAAAATTCACTAAAGATATTTTAAAAAAGTAAGGAAGAACGGCTGTTAAAGTTACAACTAGGGAAAACCCTTTTGAGTCACAGCTGTGACCAGTTTACACTTGCTCCTTCACAGCTGAGGCTGCGGTCCTGTACTGAGCACTTGGGGAAGAGTCCGGCCTGACCGTTCCCAAGGCAGCAAAGGGAGGGGGAGGGGGAAACAGACACTGCTGCCTTGGGCTGGACAGGGGTGGAGGGTGGCCCTGTGGTGACTCTCTGGGTGCTGAGTCTCCGTTTCTCCTTGAAGGGAAGATAAACTCGTCCCCCAGTGTCAACACCACTGCATCCGGCGTTGAGGATCTCAATATCATCCAGGTGACCATTCCAGGTGCGTCCCTTGTTGGTGGCACCCAGCCACACCCAGCGCCTCATCGGGTCTCGGGAGCATGCTGGGCACCCACGTGCCTGAAGCAGGCCCCGTGACAGGGGTGAAGCCCTGTTGTCTTCGTCCATCTCTCGTGTCCCATTCACAAGACTCCCATGGTCCCAGCATAGAGCGGATCCTGCCGAGCAACTGAAACTCGGGGGGGTGATCCCAGCACGGCACAGCCCCTGGAGCACCAATGGCTGTGGCCCCAGAGACCACACACACACACACACACACACACACACACACACACACACACGGCCCCTAGAGCACCAATGGCTGTGGCCCCAGAGACCACACACACACACACACCCCACAGGGTCCCTCGAGCACTCCCAGGGGTGATTCCTGAGCAGAGCCGGGACTCAGCCCTGAGCACCATCGGGTGTGCCCCCAGACAGAACAAATGCAGTGGCATCGTTCAGCTGTGCGTCTCCTGTGTTTCAGATGATGATAATGAAAGGCTGTCCAAGGTGGAGAAGGCCAGGCAGCTGAGAGAGCAGGTCAATGATCTCTTCAGCCGGAAGTTCGGTGAGTCTCCACGAGCGGTGTTGAGCGAGGCCATGGGTTCAACACCATCTTACCATTAACCACTCTCAGGTACTCGTGACGTCCTGTTTGAAAAGTGGAGAGGGGCCGAAGCGATAGCACAGCGGGCCGGGCATTAGCTTTGCCCGGAGCTGACCCGGGCGGGGGGCGTCCCTGAGCACAGAGCCATGAGGAAGCCCCGAGTGCTGCCAGACGCGGCCCAAAAGATGTTAACAAAGTAGAGCAGGTGGTGGAATGCCAAGTTCATCAGGTCCTCGTTTGTATTGACGGCTGCTCGGAGCGTGCCCAGACCCTGGCTCGCTGCGGTCTGGAACGGGTGTGGCTGTGCTTTGCAGCTCTTCCGGTTGGGATGGGCTCGTTCATATTCTCCCCCACCTTCTTTCCTGTCTTTTTCCTCTCATCAGGTGAAGCGATTGGCATGGGCTTCCCCGTGAAGGTGCCCTACCGGAAGATCACCATCAACCCTGGCTGCGTGGTGGTGGACGGCATGCCCCCCGGCGTGTCCTTCAAGGCCCCCAGCTACCTGGAGATCAGCTCCATGAGAAGGATCTTAGACTCTGCAGAGTTCATCAAATTCACGGTCATCAGGTGGGCGGGCACCCTGGGACTGGCCATGTCGAGGACTGTTTTGGCTGCCAGGTGGGCGGGCACTCTGTTTTCAGAGACCCTTGAGCAGCAGGGCCCATGCCTTGCAGCCAGCCAACCCAGGTTCAATCCCTGGCACCCCATATGATTCCACGTTGCTGAGCCAGGAGTCATCCCTCAGCATCACCAGGTGTGACCTGAAATTAGATTTTAGAGAAACAGCATCTGGGCTGTGGACCAAATCCAGCCTGCAGCTGGTTTTTATACGCACTTACTGGATTGAGGTCTTTGATTTGCGCGCTCCCAGCTGTGTTGAAACGGAGCGACTCAGGCAGAGAATTCCGCCAGCTCAGACACTGGCACTGCCCCATCCAGTGAGCACTGTCCCAGACTTCACGCATGCGGGTGGGCCCCATTCCATGTCAGTGTTGGCCAGAGGGCAGCACGCGTGTCTCACGGCCGGTGATGCGCCTAGTGACTGTCCCTTGAGGGCGTCGGCCGCAGGCCTGAGATTGGGGTGCTGAGTGGCTCTCCCTCGACTGCCTCGGGACTGTCCCATCTTCTTCCCATGAAAAGCACAGGCCCGCATCATATCCCCTTCACTGCAACAACTCCAAACACTTTGTTGTATTGGGCGTGGGGCCACGCCGGTGCCTGGCTCCGTGTGTGGAGGTGGGGGGGCGGTCAGTCAAGCCAAGGGCTCCCGCGCCGCCGTGTCCTCTGGCCTCTGGCGTTCCTCCCCGGCCCAGCTCCCAGAGCCTTGTCGGCTTGTCGTCACGCTGCATGGACTGTGGTTCCCGCCCAGCTGCCCCCGGAGCTCGCCCCCTCCATCTTCACACAGCCCCTGTTCGTGTCTCTACCTGCAGGCCGCTGCCTCTTTCCTGGGTTTCCTGGGTGACGTTTTCTAGTCTGTTAGGATGGAGGGACAGACAGACAGTGGGAGAGATGGGAAAGGAGCGGGTCCCCTGTGGAGAAGCAGCCCAGGAGCTCAGGCATGTGTGGTCTGACGATTGAGCCACCAGCCCAGCAGACCAGAATCTCTACCCCACCCCAACAAACACAGGATACATTGTAGCAGCTGGGCAGCAGGGACTGAGGGGGCCCAAACCGCTGAGGCCAGTTCTACTCACACTCTGTTTCCCTCCTAGACCCTTCCCGGGGCTGGTGATCAATAACCGTGAGTATTTCCTGGGCTCCCCTCCTCTTACCTGGGCTGGGGTATTGGCACACTCTTGAGTAATGCTGGCCGACACCTCTGTGGCTTAACTGTGCCGGGCCGGTTTGGCTGTAATTAGAACAAGCAGGCACTTTTTTGGTATAAAATGAGCAGATGCCTTCAATGTTTAAAACCTTAGTTTATGGACTGGGGAAATAGCACAGCGGGCTGGGTGCAAGCCTCGCACGCAGCTAATCTAGGGTCGAATCTCAGCACCCCATATGGTCCCCCAAGCCAGGAGTGATCCCTGAGAGCCACTGGGTGTGTCTCAGAAAGGAAAAGAAAAAAAAAATCAGTTTCTCAGTCCTGCCTCTTGGGGGCCTCACGAGTGTGTTTGCCTGCCTTTGTGGAAGGGCGTGTCTTGGTCTCGCCATGTGAGTGAGCCCCCACCCCACTGGACCCTCAGATACTGTTGTCTGGACAGATGCGAGTGGTCATTCAGGTCCCTGGGTTCCCTTTTAGTCAATTCTGACCCCTGCTGGGTACCAGGGAGCAACAGGGCCTCCTTGTCACTGGGCTTCTGCCTTCCCCGAGAGCTGCAGCCCTGGCCCAGCCCAGAATTCTCAGCAGAAGGAAAATCTGCATCAACTAGAGATTGCTTGTTTTTTTTTTTCCAAAAAAATAAAATCACACTATTTAAATGTAATAGCCACGTGTCAGGAAGCTACTTATTGTAACTCCTCTGCCTTGTTTTCAGAGCTGGTTGACCAGAGCGAATCTGAAGGCCCAGTGATACAAGGTAAACGAAGCCGGGGGAAATGCGCCATCTCAGATTGGACCTGAGTCTCTTCCCCTCCCTGGCCCTCCTGCACCCCCGCAGGGAGGACGGGGGCGCTAGACAGGAGCGCGCGTTGTTTGAGGATGAGAAGGCGTCTGCCCCTGTGCCACGTGTTTCTGAGAGCATGTCGGACAGGAATGCATGTAGTGTGGTTATTTGGGAAAATTCCTTCGAGAAAAATGCCCCGGCCAGCGAGCTGTGGCTCGTTGAGGGTGGTGAAAAGTTTTTCTTGAGTGGGGCAGCAGAGCGGGTGTCTAGGGAAGGGGTGGCAGGAGGGATGAAAAGGAAGGAGGAACTTGCCCGTGTCTGAGCCCTGGCTCTAGCGCTCCCGCCCCGACCAGCCTGTGATCCTTTGGCCACTTGCGGGAAAGTCCCTTTCGGAAAGTTCCATTGAGGAACCACATGTTGACCCAGAACCCCTGGTCTTCTGGCTTGTTGGGACTTTTGCTTTTTGGGGAGCTTTCTCTCCTCTGAGTCACTGAGAGCAGCCTGAGTAATGGTCAAACCTTCCTGTGCTTCTCTTTAGAGTCGGCTGAGCCCAGCCAGCTGGAGGCACCGGCCACAGAAGGTACCAAGGGGCAGCCTTGTCTGAGGCCCGGCACTGCGTGCCTTGCCCTGTGCTCTCTGGGGGTGGGCGTCGGTCCTGGCGGGGCGCGGGGAGCCGAGTGGGGGGCCGTGTGCAAGGACAGCGTGCCCCCGTTCCCCCCGGTCCTGAGTCTGTTCAGCCTGTAGTTACGATCAGAAGCAGAGAGATGGCGCGTGCGTCTCTCTGGCTCCCTTCTCCCTGGCTGACCCTGATGGGGTTCAGAAAGAGCCAAGTTCCTACAGCAACCCCCAGATTGTGGTTCCAGTCCGCTCACACCTGTGGGCCTGTGGGAAGAGGAGAAATATTTCGCCAGCTGTAGGGCAGGAATTAACAAGCACATTCTTTGTGATCGTATTTTGTGTGTCTGTTTTTAAATCTGAAACTACAAAATGAATCTTGTCGGGACTGGAGTGCTGGTACTTCGGGCTAGCGCAAGATCGATCCCTGGCATCCTGTATGGTCTCCCGAACACCACCAGGGGTGACTTCTGAGGGCAGAGCCAGGCCGCCCAGTGTGGCCCCCAAGTGGGAGAAAAGTGGAGCTGGGGTGATAGGACAGCGGGGAAGGCGTTTGCGTTGCACTTCGTCAACCCAGGTTCAGTCCCCAGCATCCCTTATGGTCCCCAGCACCGCAAGGAGTAAGTCCTCAGGGCAGAGCCGGGAGTAACCTAAGTATCACCAGGTGTGACCCAAAAAGCACCTTCCAAAAAGGGAAATGTGGAGACGATTCTCTCTGTACCAAAATTTGCAGTGACCAGGCTGGGGGTGGGGGAGCCAGTGTCCACGATGGGACGTTCATCAGCAGAAAGCGGTCAGTTCCTGTGAGGCCACTGGTAGCGAGCCGTTGGTGCCAGCGCTGCCATTTGGCATGGTTGGTGATCCCTGCGTCATTCCTGTCGTGGCCTGGCTGGGGCAGGTCCCTGAGGGGGCGCGCTGGCTCAGGGCCTCCCGTTGTCTCGGCAGAAGCCAAGGAGACTGACGGGAACTCGCAGATCAAGCAGGAGCCGGACCCCACGTGGTAGACTCGTCCTCCTACGGTAAAGCCCCCTCCTCTCCCCCCCCACCCCTGGGTGGTCTGTGCTGGGGCCACACGGGTGCTTGGGACGCGCGGCCTCAGCGAGGCTCCCCCACACAGCCTGACGGGTCGGTCACCCTTGCCTGGCACAGAGGCTCCATGTTGTGTCCCCCAGTGCCATGGCGGACCCCAGCACCACATGGACGCCCCAAACACGCGGTTGGATGAATGGAGGGACGCTAGCCTTGGGCAGGCGGGAGGGCTCCGCGTGTGCCCATCACACGTGTCTTCCTGCCCCCCCCCCCCCCCACGTCATGTGACCTTGGTCTTCTCTGTCGTAGCTTCCAGTATCGAGGTCGAGAAGAGTTTCCGGACCTGCGCCCGCCCCGCTGTGTAATATACTTGTATAACAGAAATACCTTCTATACAAACCTTTTTTTCTACTTTTAGATAGAAATGTCTACTTTTTCAGCAGTTCTGTGAATTGAATTAAAGAGCAGAGTGACTGTAGCTTTGGAATGGCTGGTTGACTTTGGAATGTATTCTGCGGATCTGACGGCAGTGCTGGCGGTGGACGGGAGACGCCAGGGACGGCCCCCGGCTCCTCCGTGCTCCCGTGGCGGCCGACTCGCTCCTCCCGGGACAGCTCAGCTTCTGCGTGAAGAGAAACACCCGTGATAGTTCAGTTCTTGAGTTTTTCTATTTGAAAAATCATTTCGATGATCCTTTTGTTCACAACTCTCCTTAATGACTGAGCGAACAGTTAGTATCTGTATATTTGACTAAACCCTTTTCCGAAGCTGTCTGTCTATCATGGTTCTCTGGTTTTGTTTTGGCTTTTGGATTTTTTTGGTTTTGTTGTTTGTTTTTGTTTTTGTTTTTTTGTTTTTTTAATCATAATTAAAAGCGAGCACCCGGTCACCCAGCAGCCACCTGCGAGGTCAGTATCTCCACGTGTGCTGAGAGATGATGGGCACGACCCTTCTCATCCCCTCCGCGTGCTGTGTGGGGGACGGGAGTCCTATGCGGTGGCTTGTGTGGGCTGCGGGGCCGCTTTCCCGGCTTGGATCAGGTTCGGGGGGTGGGGGGGTTCGTTGCCTTCATTCTTGTATCATTCTGCTTGTAACACTGAGGCCCCAGCGCAGGGCGGGAGGGGCCCCGCTGGGGTCCGGCCGTCTCGGGCGCCTCGTCCGCACGGAGATGGCGTGAGCAGGAGGGGCCGGTGCGGCCGCACTCTGACGGCGGGAGGACTGGACGGCGTAGTTCCCATTAGCTTTATCACGATATTCACAATGGAGAATTATACTACATGGTAGCAGAAATAGGCCTTTTTACGTGTTGCTTATATTTTACCTCAAATTAAATTGTAGATATAGGGTAATAAATAAAGATCCATCCATGCCTTTCACACACTAACTCCTTCCTGGTGGAGCTGTCTGAGTGTCTGTTGTCAGGGGTGGAGTGGCGGGGGGGGGGGGGGCGTCATGCCAAGGGGGCGCTCCGAGACTCACCCTGGGCATCAAGTCAGGCTGGTGGTGTGGATGGGAATGTGGCTTAGGACGGAACCTGCCCTGGGCCCCTCTGGCTGGGAAAGCAGTGGGGGGCAGTCAGGGGCGGGGGGCCAGGATGCAGCAGGAACGAAAACCCTGTGCATCAGCTGCTTTCTGCTGTCAGACTGGGGGGCTCTGCTGGGGTGTCCAGCGTGTGAGCCCTACTCCAAGCCCCACTTCTGGCTGGGCTCGGATCCACGTCCGGGAGGCACTCACACTGCCTCTGAACTGGGGGGTGCAGAGACCCTGTCCTTCCTTTCCGTCTGCCTTGGAAGCGGAGGGTGGCCCACCCTGCTTCCTGGGCTGGGTCACAGCCAAGCCTGCCCCTTCAGCTGTTGGGTCAGCAGGGACTGGACTGGGGACAAATTCAACTCTAGCCGGGGCTCCGGAAGCCTTGCTTGCCTGTGTGTGCCTAAAGACCTCACCACTAGGTGTGCCCTGCGTCCTGTGGCCCCTCACATCCAGCTCTGACCCGATTGACGACGATGGCCCTGCCCCCTGAGCACTGCTGGGTGAGAAGCACCTGGCTTCAGCCGCCTGACATGCAGTGTCCAAACCAGTGACCCCGTGACAATGAACACTGCAGAGAGCCAGGAGCAAGTGAGCCCACCTGCGATCCAACCCAGACAGCCAAAGGTGCCCCAGCACAGCGCAAGAACACTGTCCTTACACAGCTGACCCGGTTTCTTCCCCGGCGTCCCAGATGGCTCACCCCCACCCCCACCCCCCAACACACCAGGATTAATTCTTGAGTTGCAGAGCTGCCAGTAAGTCCAGAGTGTCTCTGGGTTATGGCTCAAAAACAGACACCTCGAGCCCAGGCCCAACGTGGAGGGGCCCGCACCGTGGGCCTGTCTCCCCTACTCCCTGGTGGGCTGGGCAGCTCCCCTCATTACCGGCTCTGTCCCCAGTGCCCATAGGAGGAGGGAAGGGGACACCTCGTGGAGGGGGAACCCCAGTCCAGCCGGTTGGAGGGGCTGGGGCTCATGTTCACTGAAGGACCCAGTTTGGTCCTCACCACCACCCAAAAAAAGTCGTCACCCAGGAAATAGGGCCAGAACAAGATAAGGGGCTCCCCGGTTTCTCTGCTTAAGTGCACACAAAGGTACCCACGTCCAGCCCTTGCATGCACGCTGTGGTCTGGTTCTGAGGAAGTTGGGGTGCAGAGTCCTGAGAGCCAACCCCGAAGCAATCCCCGCTTGCGAAGGTGTTTCCTGAAAGGACACCTGTGACGGGAAGGAGGGTGATGGGGGGGGGGGGTGGGCAGCGTTGCACCCTCGAGACACCCACTTGAGTCCCTAGGTAAGCCATGAAGGGAGGCAGTGGGTCTGGAGTGATAGGACAGCAGGGAGGGTGTTTGCCTTGCATGTGGCTGACCTGGGTTCAATCCCCAGCATCCTTTATGGCCCCCTGAGCACCACCAGGAGTAATTCCTGAGCATCACTGGGCGTGACCCAAAAAACCAAACCAAAGAAAGCAGCTCCCAAGAGAGCAGCGGAGGGGCCTGCGTGGACGGGAGGACAGTCAGGGTGCAGCCAGAGAGCTGGCCAGCAGCGTCCGTTCAGAGTCAGCACTGTCCAGGGGACCAGCGTCCCCGCCCCTCCATGTCCAGTGGGGCTTGTTAGCACTGAGCTTCAACTCACCCTCCACTGCGTAGCAGGACCCAGACACAGGAGGGCGTGCTGGCGAGCAGGAGGTGGGAAACCCACAGACACTGGCCAGGGCATTGGGTGCTGCTGGACACTGCCAAACCATGTCCCAGGCCTTGGCTGCTGACCATCTGCCAGCCATTGTGTGCCTGCCCTGCGTCCTCAGAGCCAGTCCGGGGTCAGCTTCCGAGTGTGGCAGGGAGGTGTCCCCACTGGAGGCCCCCAGGGAGGGTCCAATAGGGTGTTTGCCTTGCACACAACCGACCTGGGTTCGATTCCCAGCATCCCATATGGTCTCCTGAGCACTGCCAGGAGTAATTCCTGAGTGCAGAACCAGGAGTAACCCCTCAGCATCGCTGGGTGTGACCCAAAAAGAAAAACGGCATTGGGGAGGGCCTGGAACAATAGCACAGCGGGTAAGGTGTTTGCCTTGCACGTGTCTGACCCGGGTTCGAGTCCCAACATCTCATGTGGTCCTCTGAGCACCGCCAGGAGTAATTCCTGAGTGCAGAGCCAGGGGTAACCCCTGTGCATTGCCAGGTGTGAGCCAAAAAGCAAAATAAAGCAAAAAGTCAGGGAGGGTCCAAGCCCGCCCCTTGGATCCCCGACACAGCCATTAAGGGCAGGCAGGTCCCTGGTGGAGGCCCCCACCTCCCTGACCTCTGACCACAGCACGTGCCCCTCTCCAAGCTTGGGTCTGTTCTGCGTCCCGGACCTAGGGGCTTCTCTGCTCCCCGTTTCTTTCCAGAAAACACGTCGGGCTGGGGAAGGCTTGTCCAGTGGGAGTCATACTGATGGGCGCCAGAGGGCACCGCCTGGCACTAACACTGTGCCCATCCCCACGCCTGTCCCCATGGCACAGCCGGGCCTTTCTAGACTGAGGATCTGGAGCCCAGACACGGGGGCCCCACACCTGCTGGGGACCCAGGCGCCTCACCTTCAGCTGTCAACTGCTGCTCGCGAAATGAGCCGGTTCCAGCTCTTCACTCACCAGAGGGGCAGCAACCTGCCTCTAGGGGGCTCTTGGGGCCCACTGGGGCCCTCTGGTGTGGGCAGCTCTTCAGCTGGCCCTCCAGGGAGGGCCACTGTCCTAATGCCATCGCAACTTCACACCTAAATGTCGGGTGGTGGCTGGAGCAACAGCACAGCGGGTAGGACGTTTGCCTTGCACGTGGCCGACCCAGGTTCGATCCCCGGCATCCCATATGGTCCCCCCAAGTACCACCAGGAGTAATTCCTGAGTGCAGAGCCAGGAGTAACCCCTGAGCATCGCTGGATGTGACCCAAAAAGAAAAAATTCGGGGGGTTGTTTTTGGACCACACCCAGTGGTGTTCCAGCTTTGTGCTCAGCGATCACCCCTAGCGGGGCTCGGGGGACTATTTGGGTTCTGGGGTTGAACCCAGTTGGCCACATGCAAGGCCAGCGCCCCCGCCCAGTCCCCACACTCATCTGGCCCAAGGAGTCCGAGTCCGGGCTGGTCCACCCCCCACATCCTTTGAAACTTTAGAAAGCTCCTTTCTGACCCTTTCCCAGCCCACAAGCAAACCCGCAGCCGCTCCTGACCTCACGTCACTTGCTTCCCGCTGCTCAGTGACCTGGCCCCGGGAGGAGCCGCGAGTGGGAGCCCTGGGCTGGAGACTGGTTAGCACACCCACGGGCTGGCGGGCTGACCCAAGAGTGGGAAGTTTGGGGCTTCCCCAGTGGGGAGAAAGGGAAGGAAGAGCCTGGCGTCCACAGGGGACAAACGGCCGGTTGTCCCTGCCCACCCCATACAGGGCTGACGTGCTGCCGCCGGCGGGTGGGGTCATCCTGCAGGGAGTCGGCCTGGGAGCACTGGAGGGGGAGCCCAGCAGGTGGGAGCACTACAGGGAGTGGGAGTGCCGCAGGGGTGATAGCTGGACGTGCTGGGCGTCCACGCGGGCCCCGAGTGAGCCATTGCAGGATGTCTCCCCCACTCCCTCAAGTGCCCCTTCCCCTCTCAGTGGAGGTGACCCTGAGGGGGGGAACCCGTGTCTGACCGTGAGCCCAGAGCCAGTGGAGAAAGGACTCCAGTCCCTGTCACAAGTGTCCGGGACAGCCTCCGAGGGCCCTGGAGTCCTGCAGTCACATCCTAGCTAAGAAGACACAGGGTGAGAACAGTTCCGTGGCCCATATGCCTGTCCTGAAAAGTCACTTTGAGGGAAGGAAAAAGAAATGGAAGCAGGGAGGGAGCAAGAAGTTGTGCTAGTATGTTATTGTATCAAAGCAGGCTTCTTGGAGGAGGTGGCTAGGCTGAAAAGAGGGAAGTGAGGGCGGAACTTGCAGCTGTGAAAGTTGGTCCAGGTGTGAAGGCTCTGGGTGGGGGATGGAAAGGAGAGAGACGAGGGTGTGAGTGGACACCCCCAACCTGCACGCGGTCCGGGTCGCCAGGAGAACGACGGTCAGTCTGAGAGTGTTTGGGCATCTGAGGATCCCTCAAAACTGAAAGGAGCCCCCGAGGCTCCTGTGAGCCCTCCCCACCCCAGCCCTGCCGCCTCCACCGCCCACTTCCCCTTTCCAGGGCATTTAAGGCCCAGCCCCCAGGGCCCCAGAAGCACAGCGCGGGCCATGGGGGACACGTTCATCCGCCACATCGCCCTCCTGGGCTTTGAGAAGCGCTTTGTCCCCAGCCAGCACTATGTGAGTGGGGGCCACGGGGAGGGGGGAGGCGGGGAGGACAGGGTGCAGGGGATGGGGGACTGGGACAGGGCAGGGGCGGGGGGGGGGGCAGGGGCGGGGGGCGGCAGGCGAGGGACAAGGGGCAGGGGTGGGGGGTGGCGGGCAGGGGACAGGTGCTGCGGCTGGCTGTGCTCTGACTTTGCATCTCCCCTCCTGACCAGCTTCTAGGGTGGTCGTCCTCTCAAACACCCTGGGGGGGGGGTCACATGCCACCCGTATGATGCCAGGCCACAGGCCCCCCAGAGCCCTATTCTGCCTGGGCTTGTCTGCACAGGCGCATACACACACACTCAGGCGCGCGCGCGTGCACACGCACACACACACACACACACACACACACACACGGGCCGACACCCACACCCACACACGGGCACTGCACTCAGCACACTGCACTCTGGGAGCACTGTCTTGGGCACCTGAACCTGTCTTCCTGTCTTCGTCTGCCGTCTTCTGGGACTTCTGAAGGTGCTCAGGGTACCCTGAGGGGCAGGGCGGTGGCCCAGGATTCCCTCATCATGACATGTGCTCAATCAGCCCCCTTAGCCTCTTCTTCTTTTCGTTATTATTATTTTTTTTTTGGCGGGGGGTGGGGGAAGGGCGGGGAAAAGCCACACCTGGCGGTGCTCAGGGCTGACTCCCAGCTCTGTGCTCAGGATCACTCGGGTGGGACCCAGGGGCCATATGGGTTGCCAGGATGAATCCTGGGTCAGCTGCGGTCTGGTCAGCGCCTGCCCACTGTGCTCTCTCCAGCCTTCGGCCCCTTTTTTCTCCTTTCCCATTTAACTTTACATTTAGCAATAAAATTCACAAACGGTTTTTCCAGATGCCCCAAAACTCCAATACTCCTTCCCCGTCTCCTCAACTCTCTCTCTCCCCTACCTTTGGACCCAAAACCAGAAATTTTCTGAACTGTTTGTTAGTAAGTTGGAGAAGCTTGTTTGTTTCTGTTTTTTCACAGGGATGGGGTGGGGGACTGTTTGGGCCACACTGGGCAGTGCTCAGGGCTGACCCCTTCTGGGCTCAGGGTCACACCTGGCAGCGCCCAGGCTGGTCTGAGTCCAGGGCAAACAACGCCTCTCCCATCCCTGTTTCTTGGTTTGTTTTTGTCTTTTGTGGAAAGTGCCGAGTGGTTGGTTCAGCCACTTCCCCCTTCCCTTCCTTGTGGTGACCTGGGGCTGCCCCCCTCACCCCCCCACCCCGTGGTGCTCCCCAAGATTGCACATCCGGTTGCAAAGTTCCCCGTGGCCCAAGTGACCCCAGGGGTGCGGAGGGGGGGTGCTCCCTGTGGGGCTTCCCACGCTATGGCAATATCAGAGGGCCAGTCTGCTTGCACACGTGCTCCCAACACTGTTTGGGGTTCGCTCAGACTGGCAACGCCGCAGATCATGTGTGTCTGTGGGTGCCCCAGGGCAAGTGTGGGCGGCACCGGGCGCTGGTCTGGCAGGGCGAGCACCCTGGCCACGAGTCACCCCCACTCTGGTTCTTCTTTTTTTTTTTTTTCTTTTTGGGTCACGCTTGGTGATGCTCAGGGGTTACTCCTGACTCTGCACTCAGGAATTACTCCTGGCAGTTCTCAGGGGACCATCTGGGATGCTGGGAATCAAACCTGGGTCGGCCGCGTGCAAGGCAAACGCCCTACCCGCTGTGCCGTCGCTCCAGCCCCACTCTGGTTCAGTTTTCCAGCTTTAATTACCACTTCATGTTTCTTAGAATCTCTGATTTACCCAAGCCCAGAAACCACGAAACCCAAGCCTGGGTTCTGCACACTCCCCAGGGGTGGGTCTCCAAACACTGCCCTCTTTCAGGTTCAGGGACCCCCAGTGCTCTCTGTGACCCTCGTTCCCCACCCCCTGGAAGCCCACCCAGGGGCACCACTGGACCAGGATCTGATTCTGCAGGCTTCTTTTTTGTTTTATTTTTGGGCCCACTGCCAGCAGTGCTCAGGGCTGACTCCTGACTCTGTGCTCAGGATCATTGGATGTCAGGGATCAAACCTGGGTCAGCCATCTGCAAGGCAAATGCTCCCCCTACACGATGGCCCCAGCCCTAATGATGAAATAACTTTACAAGAAAACAAAAGGAAAGTAAAAGTCCACAACTCACATAGCTGTCACCAGCAGATGACTGTCCAGACTCCCTCCCTGCCAGCCTTCCCAGGGCCTTCTCTGCCTTGACCTTTTATTTATTATTTGTTTCAGATGACACCCAGCGGTGCTTAGGGGTTATCCCCTCATTCCTGATTCCTCACTCCTGGCAGGCTTGGAGGATCAGATGGGGTGCTGGGGATGAAACCCAGGTCTGCCATGTGTAAGGCAAACGCCCTCCCCGCTGTGCTATCAATCCAGGCCCTGTTTTTTTCATTTTTTGTTTTGTTTTTTGAAGAGTTGGGTTCTTATTTTGGTTTTTGGTTCTTGGACAACACCCAGTAATGGTCAGGGGTTACTCCCAGTGGTGCTTGGATGACCATATGGGGTGCTGGGAATCAAACCCAGGTCAATCGAGTGCGAGGCAAGTGCCCTGCCCACTGTGTTATAGCTCTGGCCCTTCCAGCCCCTGTTCTGACCTTTTAAAAAGAAGAGATGAAGGGCTGGAGCAATAGCACAGCGGGTAGGGCGTTTGCCTTGCATGCGGCCAACCTGGGCTCGACTCCCAGCATCCCATATGGTGAGCACTGCCAGGGGTGATTCCTGAGTGCAGAGTCAGGAGTAACCTCTGTGCATCGCTGGGTGTGACCCAAAAAGCAAAAGCCAAAAAAAAAAAAAGAGAGAGATGAAGATGAATCAGTTAAATATATTTATTTATTTATTTTTGATTTTTTGGGTCACATTCAGCGATGTACAGGGGTTACTCCTGGCTCTGCACTCAGGAATTACTCCTTGTGGTGCTCGAGGGACCATATGGGATGCCGGGGATCGAACCCAGGTGGGCCGCATGCAAAGCAAACGCCCTACCTGCTGTGCTAGCGCTCCAGCCCCAAATCAGTTTAATATTAACCATAAAATAACCATATTAATTTTTTGTTTTGGTGCTCAGAACTTTTTTCTGGATCTGTGTTCAGGGATAACTCCAGGCAGGGCTATGAGGACCACATAGGGTGCTGGGGATTGAACCTGGTTCTCACAAGACAACTGCCTTACCCCTGTACTGTCTGGTCTCTAGAAACTTTTTTTTCTTTTTGGGTTACACCCGGCGATGCACAGGGGTTACTCGTGGCTCTGCACTCAGGAATTACTCCTGGCGATGCTCGGGGGACCATACAGGATGCTGGGGATCGAACCTAGGTCGTCTGTGTGCAAAGCAAACGCCCTACCCATTGTGCTATCGCTCCAGTCCCCTAAAAACTGTTCTTTATTTTTGTTGTTCTTATTTTCCACTCACACCTGGCAGTTTTTAGGGCTTACTCCTGACTCTGCGCCCGGGGACCATGTGGGGTACTGGGGATCGAACAGGGGTGGTCTGCCTGCAAGGCCAATGCCTTCCCCACCCCACTCCCAGACTATCTCCCCATCCTGGGTGATGGCCCCTTGGGAGGCTGGGTACCCCCTGCAAGTCACACTCAGAGGTGGCTCCCTGTTTCAGCCCGGGTCACCTGTCACTTATTCATATGGACAAGCCATTGCAGATTTGACCTGAGGGATCAGCCTGTGGCCACGCACTCCCTGCTGCCTGGTTCCCTGGTTCTTTTATGTTCGGTTTTTTTTTTTCTTTTTTGGTTTTTGGGTCACACCCGGGGATGCACAGGGGTTATTCGTGCTCCGGCCCCGTGGGCCAATTGTTTGCTTTGCAAGACTTCTGTTTTGTTTTGATGGGGCCACACCCAGTGGTGCTCAGGGCTGACTCCTGGCTCCACACTCAGGGATCCCTCCTGGTGGAGCTCAGGGGATCAGTCCCACTCTCTGTTTGCTCCAGTCCTACTCTGTTTCTCTCTTAAAGGGGCTGCTGGCTTTAAGATATCACAAAGCATGGACAATGAATTTCATTTGAAGGTCAAAAATATCCTGGTTCAGGGGCTGTAGAGATAGCACAGCAGGTAGGGCGTTTGCCTTGCACGCGGCGGACCCGGGTTCGATTCCCAGCATCCCATATGGTCCCCTGAGCTCTGCCAGGAGTAATTCCTGAGTGAATGAGCCAGGAGTAACCCCTGAGCATCGCCAGGTGTGACCCGAAAAGCAAAAAGCAAAAAAAAAATCGTGGTTTGGTTTCATTTCTTTTTGAAGTATGTAAAATGCAAACTCGTGATCAGACATCAGACAGACGCTTTGCCAGCAAATGTGTTGGAGACGCGTTCTGATGGGCCTTTCTTCCATCTCTTTGTAAAAAAGAAGGACACATGTGCACTGTATTTCCTTCTTGGTTAGCACAGCAGGAGAGAAAGGTGCGGTGGGGTCTTGTTACCATGTTGTCCTTGTCCTGGGGCCCTCTGGTGAGCCCCTGGAGTCTCTCCACCCTGGAACAATCCAGCTCCTTTCTGCGGCCGCTCGGTGTTGGCTCATCTGTAGCGGCCTCGTCCGCCTCCAGGGGGCGCTAAGCAGGGCTCTGCCTCTGTGCTTCTGGATCGCAAACCTTTTCTCCCACTTCATCACCGTCCTGTGGCTTTGCTGCCAGACGGAGTGAGTGTGAATGTTCTGACAGTGCCCTGCGGTTGCCATGGTGACCGCGCACTGCTTTGGCGTCTGAGTCAACAGCCCCTCCCTTCTGTTTCCTTCCCTGGTTCCACGTGGTGGAATCAGATGGTCCCCGCCCCTCTCTGCAGTGCTGGGGGTGGCGGGTGGGGGAACCACCAGGTGCTGGTGCCTGAACCAGGGTCGGCCACATGCAAGGCAAGAGCCTTAGCCCTGTGTTTGCTCTCTAGCCCCACACATCAGGTTTTTTCACTTTTTTTTTTTTTATTGGATTTGGGGCCATACCTCACAGGGGTTACGTCTGGCTCTGCACTCAGGAATTACTCCTGACAGTGCTCCGGGAATCATATGGGATACGGGGATCGAACCCAGGTCGACTGCATGCAAGGCAAGTGCCCTCCCCACTGTACATGGCTCCAGCCTTGCTCTGTTCAAAATTATTATCATGTGGCTGAAAGAAAATACCAGCCTAGGTTCCATCCCCCCCCACCATATGGTCCCCTGAGCGTTGCTAGGAGTGACCCCCAAGGATCTCTGCATCCCCCAAACCTGAAATAAACACAACAACTAATGTTGGCTGTCTTAATAGGCACTAAACTTTTCATTATAAAGGCTTGTGGTCAGTTTTGTTTTGCTTTTGTTTTAGGTCCTTAGGGATTACTCCTGGCTCTGTGCTCAGGAATTATTCCTGATGTAGGTCAGGGCACCATATGGGATGCTGGGGATCAAACCCGGGTTAGTCACATGCAAGGCAAGAGTCCTCCCTGCTGACTACTTTGGTCCTGGAGTTGGCCTTCTGGAACCTTCTTCTCAAAACTCCAATCACTGTTCTCACAAGTCCAGGAGGGGTCACCTGCTTCCCCTCACTCTTCACAGATGAGACTTTGGGCCAAGCCTGGCCCTGAGCCCCAAACACTGGCAGCTGCAGGGTTCCTTGAAGTCGGTACTTTTCCTCATCCCTAGTGCCTCATGAAGCCATTCTGGGGTGTGGGGCTGACCTGCACCCCGGATTCACGGAGCTCTCTCCCAGGTGTACATGTTCCTGGTGAAGTGGCAGGATCTGTCTGAGAAGGTGGTTTACCGGCGTTTCACTGAGATCTACGAGTTCCACGTGAGCATCGGGGCAGAATGGGGCGGAGTGGGGGGGAGCACCACAGGTCGCCTGCGGGGGGGGGGTGCCGAGAGGTGGGGGTGGGGGTGGGGGGAATGTCAGTCCACCTGTGGCTCCCAGGGTGAGAAGACTGCTTTTGGTATTATGGGCCACACCCAGTGGTGCTCAGGGCTGACTCCTGGCTCTGCATCAGGGATCACTCTTGGTGGGGCTTGGGGGACCCTATGGGGCGCCGGGGATTGAACCTGGTGAGCCGCTTGCAAGGCAAGTGCCCTCCCCACTGTACTCTCTCTCCAGTCCAACATTATTCTAATTTATTTATTTATATCTATTTATTTGCTTTTTGGGTCACACCCATTGATTCACAGGGATTATTCCTGGCTCTGCACTCCGGAATCACTCCTGGCGGTGCTCAGGGGACCAGATGGGATGCTGGGAATTGAACCTGGGTTGGCCATGTGCAAGGCAAACGCCCCACCTGCTGTCCTATCACTCTGGTCCCACATTATTATTCTTTTTTAACTTGGTCGTGTTTTTGTTTGCAGGGGCTCAGGATTTTATGGGGTCCTGAGGCTAGAACTTGGGCCCTGGGAAATACCTCATTCATTCATTCATCATCCTGTTATTCGTCGATTGCCTCGAGCAGGCCCCAGTAACGTCTCTTTCATCCTAGCCCTGAGAATATATTCAAGGCTCTTTAGGAGAATGAGACCCATCATTGTTACTGGTATTTGGCATATTTGGTGCGTCACGGGGAGTTTGCCAGACTCTGCCCTGTGGGCAGGCTACATTCGATAGCCTGCAGGTTTGTCCAGAGTAGGAATGAGATAATATGATATCTTATTATCTCATTCCTACTCTGGGAAATACCTAATTTTTTTTTTTTTTTTGCTTTCTGGATAACACCCAGCGATGCACAGGGGTTACTCCTGGCTCTGCACTCAGGAATCACCCCTGGTGGTGCTAAGGGGACCATATGGGATGCTGGGAATCGAACCTGGGTCGGCTGTGTGCAAGGCAAACGCCCTACCCGCTGTGCTCTCTCCAGCCCCGAAATACCCAATTTTGATCAAGGGCCCCAAAATGCTTTTTTTTTTTTTTTTTAGTTTTTTTGGGTCACACTTGGCGATGCACTGGCTCTGCACTCAGGAATTAATCCTGGCAGTGCTCAGGGGACCATATGGGATGTTGGGAATCGAACCTGGGTTGGCCGTGTGCAAGGCAAACGCCCAACCCGCTGTGCTATTGCTTCAGCCCCCCCCCCCCCCAAATGCTTATATATATATATATGCCCACATCCAGTGGTGCTCAGGAATCTGCACTCAGAAATCACTCCTGGCAGATCTTGGGGGACCAAGGGGAGGCCAGGGATTGAGCCTGGGTCTGGTGTGTGTGCAAGGCCAGCCCCTTCCCACTTGTACTCTCTCTCAGCCCTCCTGGTTCTTGACCCACCAAGTTGGAGGCTGAATGTGGTGGCGGGGGAGGGGGGGTCGAGGAAGCTCCCCTGCTTGTTCCCAGGGACGCGGCAGTCCCCAGGGCCCCCTCAGCCTGCTCCCGGCCCTGCGGCCCTGTGCTGCATCTCAGGCCCCAGCCGCTCCCTCTCTGTCTAGAAAATGCTGAAGGAGATCTTTCCCATCGAGGCGGGGGACATCGACCCCGGGAGCAGGATCATCCCCCACTTGCCTGGTGAGCCCACCTGCCCGCCCCCCTGCCCCCCCTACCCCCACCTCACCCCGGTGCTCCCCTTCATGGTTCTCTGTGCCCTCGCCAGCCCCACGGTGGTTCTACGGGGGGCAGCGGGCAGCCGAGAGCCGCCAGGGCACACTCACGGAGTACTGCAGTGCGCTCATGAGCCTGCCCCCCAAGATCTCCCGCTGCCCCCACCTCCTGGACTTCTTCGAGGTGCGCCCCGAAGACCTCAAGCTCCCCGCCGCGGACAGCCAGTGAGTGCCTGTCCCCGCGCAGGGGAGGGGAGATGCCGCAAGCCAGCCTGGCCTGTCTGCAGGGTGGGGGGAACTGAAGCCCAGAGAGGGAAGGTCACCTGCCCGGAGTCACACAGCCTGGAAAGGGAGGAGGCAGGACGCCAGCTCAGGGGCGGCTTCCACATCCTGGGCCATGTCAGTGGGGATGGGGGGGGGGGATCCCTTTCCTTGCGAAGGGCTGAGGGTCAGTTCCTGCGGTCCCCCCATGAAGGGTGAAGAAGCCAGAGACCTACCTGATTCCCAGCAATGGCCAGAACAGCGTGGCGGGTGAGTGGGGCGGGGGGGGGGGGGGGGGCGGAGCAGGGCGGGAGCCTCTGCAGGAGGGGTGAGTCTGCAGGGGCGAGCGTGTCCTTCTCACCTCCCCCTGCGCAGACATCACGGGGCCCATCATCCTGCAGAGCTACCGCGCCATCGCCGACTACGAGAAGAGCTCGGGCTCCGAGATGGGCCTGACCGCGGGGGACACGGTGGACGTGGTGGAGAAGAGCGAGAGCGGTCAGCCACCCCCCCACCCCACCCCGCAGACATGGGCGCTGTGGGACCCCACCCTCGGGACACTGCCGTCTGCAGCCCGTGTGCTGGGGGGGCTCCCGGAGGGGACGGGGAAACCCCCACAGGGCGTGTGTGAAGTGGGGTCCGACCGAACCCCGGGAGGGTGTGTGACCTCCGGTGGGGCGTAGGGGATGTGTCTGAGCTGCATGCTGGGGGTCTGTACCCGGGGGGGTCCCTGACGGCCGAGAGGGGCTGCCACACTGCCCAACTCTCACCCCGTGCCCCCACCCCAGGCTGGTGGTTCTGCCAAATGAAGATGAAGCGTGGCTGGGTGCCCGCATCCTACCTGGAGCCCTTGGACAGCCCCGACGAGGCTGAGGACCCAGAGCCCAACTATGCAGGTGCCTGAGTGACCGCTGCGGGGTGGGGGTGGGGGGGTAGGAGTGACTGCTGCGGGGTGAGGGGGATGGGAGTGACCGTGGCAGGGTGTGTGGGGGGCAGGCACAGGGAGGCCACTGTGGGGCATGATGGGGGCAGGGAAGGAGGCAAGTCTGTGCCTGGCAGGAGCTGGTGCCCTAGAGGCGCCAGGGAAGCAGGAGGTGGAGTTGAAGCCAGCCTGGAGGTCAAAGCCGAGTGATGAGCAGTCCCCGGGTGCAGGCTGGAGGGCTTCCTGGGGGTGGGGGCATTACAGCTGGTTAGAAGTGAACACAGGCTGTCCTGGGCAGGATGGGGCCAGTGAGGAGTCTGAAAAACTCTGTATGTTTCAAAACAAATTTTAAATCTATTAGAATCGAGTATTTGGTTTTGTTTTGGGGCGACACCTGACAGTGCTCAGGGCTTCCTCCGGGCTCTGTGCTCTTGGATCACTCCTGGTGGGCTCCGGGGACCCTCTGGGGTGCTGGGGATGGAACGTGGTTGTCTGTGTGCAAGGCCAGCGCCCTGCCCACTGTCCTGCCGCTCCAGCCCTGCATCGATTTGAAGGGTGTTGGAGAGAGAGTACAGCAGGAAGGGAACTCACCGTACACACGGACAGCCCGTGTCCAGTCCCTGTCCCCAGATAGTGTCCCCGGAGCCCGCCAAGAGTGACCCTTGAGCCCAGAGTCAGGAGGAAGACCTGAGTACCGCCAGGTGTGGCCCAAACACACAGACAGACAGACAGACAGACAGACAGACACACACACACACACACACACACTGTGTGCACCGAGCCCCCCAGGCAGACAGCTCACCTGGGGTCGCCGGAATGCTTCATGCTCAGGTGTGGCAGCCACTTACCATCTCACCTCACTGCACCCCTGCAAATGTGGGGGGGAGCCCGGTGTGAAAGGAGGGGGTGCAGCAAGATTCCCAGGGAGAGGAGGAGAGGGCAAATGTCAGGGGTCCCCACGGGGTGGGGGTGGGGGAGGGGAAGCTCCAGGCCCCCTCCCCCCCCAGGAGAGGTGAGGTGTGGCCACTGACCCCGCCCCCTCTGGAGCAGGAGAGAACTATGTCAGCATCCGAGCGTACACGGCTCAGCAGGAGGATGAGATGTCCCTTGAGGAGGGCGAGGCCATCGAGGTCATTCATAAGCTCTTGGACGGCTGGTGGGTCATCAGGTAAGGAGCCCCTTCCTCCTGCCATCTGCTGGGGTGGGTGCTGTGTGACTCTGGGTACACTGCTGGCCTTTCTGCCACGTGGTGTGCCGGGGAGTGATAATCCCCGCCTGCCAGTCTCAGGAGTTCAGGGTTCCTGTCTGAGCGTATTTGGGGGCACGTTCCCTTAACACCATCACTGAGTTCTAAGTGAGAGCCGCCATGCCCGAGTCTCCCAACCTCTTCTAGACCCTTCGCTGAGGTTCTCTAAATGCAGGAAAGCACTGCCTTTTTCTGGTTCCGGGGGAAGTAGAGTCCAGAGGCTCACAGAGCTCCTTACTGGAGCCCTCCAGGTCCTTGCCTGTGTCCAGAGCCAGCCCAAGACCCCAGCAAGCTTGTGGCTGCGACACACCCTAACTTTGGTGAAAGGATTTGAGGCTTGTCCAACTGTAAAAAGTTTCCTTTTTCATTTTTGTTTTGTTTTGGACCACACCTAGTGCGCTTGCGGGACCATAGGGCCCCAGGACAGGCTGCATGCAAGGCAAACACCCGACCTTGTATCTCTCTGGGTAAAAGAAAGATTTTTCAACAAATGATGCCGGAACTACATAATGTCTAATGTGAGGTAGAGGGTGCCCCCAGCCCTCACTCGATCCACACCACAGACAAAATGCAAACGGGAAAAGCTATCAGAAGGAGGAGCCCCAGCAAAGGCTCAGAGGGCTGGAAAAGGGCTGGAGTCTGGGCTTGCCCAGCTGGGCCGGATCCCTGGCACCCCATAGGGTCCCCCCAAACCCACCAGGAATAAACCAGGAGTACTTGCCAGGTGTGGACCCAAGAGAAAAACAGGAAGCCAGGGAGAATAGGTGACCTGCTGCCCGGGTTTCCCCGGACAGAAAGGCACGGCCAAAGGCACTGCACATGTCCGGGAAGGCGCCCACTTCCCAGGAAAGCTGATGCCGATGGGTGCCGGTTTACTGCCCCCTCGCGGCGGGTTGGAGCCCCCACCCCACCCCTCTGTCCTCTGCTGCAGGAAGGAAGATGTCACCGGTTACTTCCCGTCCATATACCTGCAGAAGGCGGGCGAGGACCAGGCCCGCGTCAAACGCCAGATCAAGGCTCGAGGGGCCCCGCCGCGCAGGTGAGCGGGTCGCCCATCCCCTCTGCAGTCGCGCCCCAGTCCTGCGGGGCGTGGGCGGCAGCTCCCTCAGGAACGTGCTGCGGGCTGCCGCCCACTGGCTACTTCTCATTCCCGGGGCGAGTCGAGGGCCTCTGGGAGGGTCGGCATGGACGCTGGGGCGCTGACCAGTTGCCCCGTTTCGCTGGGACCAGGTCGTCCATCCGCAACGCGCAAAGCATCCACCAGCGCTCTCGGAAGCGCCTCAGTCAGGACACCTATCGGCGCAACAGCGTCCGCTTTCTGAAGCAGAGCCGGGGCCAGGTTCGGCCAGGGCTGCAGCGGTCCAGGAGTCCACTGCGTGAGTGCCGTCGGGGCGGGGCCCGGCCGGGTGTGGAGGCGTGGCCGGGGAGGGCGGAGCCAGTCTGGGGGCGGGCCCAGGGCGGGGCCTTCCCAGGGGCGGGGCAGGGAGTTATCTGCAGCGCCCCAGGGTCCTCTGAGTACTGCTGGTTTCTTGGGCAGGGCCTAGTCAGGAGGTGGAGACTTTGGGTCGGGGCTAGCCAGGGGCAGGGGCTAGGAGGGACCTAGCCAGGGGCGGGACCAGGAGGGTGGGGCGGGGCCTAGTGAGGGGGCGGGGTCAGGAGGCTGGGCGAGGCTAGGAGGGGCCTAGTGGGGGTGGGGTCAAGAGGGTGGGTGGGGCCTAGTGAGGGGGCGGGGCCAGAAGGATGGAGGGAGGCTAGGAGAGGCCTATTAAGGGGCGGGCCCAGGAGGGCGGGGTGGGCGGAGCCTGGTCAGGGGCGGGCCAAGGTGGGTGGGGCGGGGCCTAGTGAGGGGGCGGGGTCAGGAGGCTGGGCGAGGCTAGGAGGGGCCTAGTGGGGGTGGGGTCAAGAGGGTGGGTGGGGCCTAGTGAGGGGGCGGGGCCAGAAGGATGGAGGGAGGCTAGGAGAGGCCTATTAAGGGGCGGGCCCAGGAGGGCGGGGGTGGGCGGAGCCTGGTCAGGGGCGGGCCAAGGTGGGTGGGGCGGGGCCTAGTGAGGGGGCGGGGTCAGGAGGCTGGGCGAGGCTAGGAGGGGCCTAGTCAGGGGCGGGACCAGGAGTGTGGGGCGGGGCCTAGTGAGTAGGTGGGACCAGGAGGATGGGCGGTGCTAGAGGGGCCTAGTGAGGGGTGGGGTCAAGAGGGTGGGTGGGGTCTAGTGAGGGGGCGGGGCCAGAAGGATGGAGCGAGGCTAGGAGAGGCTTATTAAGGGGGCGGGCCAGGAGGGCGGGGTGGGCGGAGCCTGGCCAGTGGCGGGCCAAAGTCGGTGGGGCGGGGCCAAGTTAGGGGCGGGGCCAGGAGGGTGTGTGGGGCGGAGCCTGGTCAGGGGCGGGCCCAGGTGGGCGGGGCGGGGCCTGATCAGGAGGCGTGTGCTGCTGGGAAGGTATTCAGGTGGGGATGCGATCTCACCCCGTCGCTCTGTGGTTTTGTAGCGGAGCAGCGGCAGAAGCCACAGCCTGCGGTGCCTCCGCGGCCCAGCGCGGACCTCATCCTGAACCGCTGCAGTGAGAGCACCAGGCGCAAGCTGGCGTCCGTCGTGTGAGGCCCGGGCGCGATCCCGACTGCACCGTGGCCCCTCTGCTTCCTCCCGCCCCCATCCCTGTACATAAGGTGTATAGAGCCCGGTGTCCGGGCACTGAGGGCAGCCTGAGCTCTCCCTCATCTAGCTGTATCTTTAATAAATGTTGCCGGAGCGGAGAGTGTGCAGGCCGTGAGACAGCTGACCTTCGCCCTTGGAGGTACTTCTAGAATTTGAACTGAGGGTTGTGAGCGCTGCTGCAGGAAGTTGCAAGAACTGTTCTGATTGCATATCTGGTCTTGGTCAAGATCAGATTTGCACAAGGCAGAGTGCAGGAGGAACTCGCAGGCCCTGCTGGTGGTTCATTTGGTCAGAGGTTGCACTCTGGACCTCTGGCCTTTCTAGAGTGGACCCAAGGCACAGCCAGCGAGTCTCCTGGTGTGAGCACTTTAATTTATTTTTATTTGGGCTGGAGCGATAGCACAGCGGGTAGGGCGTTTGCCTTGCATGCGGCCAACCCGGCTGACCCAGGTTCGATTCCTCAGCCCCTCTCGGAGAGCCTGGCAAGCTATCGAAAGTATCTTGCCCGTAAGGCAAAGCCTGGCAAGCTACCTGCGACGTATTCGATATGCCAAACACAGTAACAAGTGTCACAATGGAGACGTTACTGGGCCCGCTCGAGCAAATCAATGAACAACAGGAGTCACAGTGACAGTGATTTTTATTTGGGGAGGGCCACACCCAGCGATACTCAGGGCTTACTCAGGCTCTGTGCTCAGGAATCTCTCCTAATGAGTTTGTGGCACCACATGGGATGCGAGGAATTAACCTGAGTCAGTCACATGCAAAGCAAGCACCCTAGCTGCTGTACTATTGCTCTGGCTCCAGCGTTTTTGCAAAGTGTAAATAAGAATAGAGATAGTGCAAAGGGTCAGGCCTTGCATGTGGCTGACCCAGTTTGACCCAGCACTGCATGTGGTCTCCAAACCCCACCCGGCATGACCCGTGATCGCAGAGCCAGAGTCAGCCCTGAGCACTGCTGGGTTGATGTCCGTGAGGTAAAAAATATGATTGAGGCATGGGATAGTGGTCTAATCTGATGTTTTCCTGACCGCCGGGGAGCTGGCCAGGATAGGATAGTCATCTCTTCACCGCAGACCCCCATCTGGCTGCTGGCCGTGGCTCCAAGTCTCTGCTCAGGGCAGACCCAGGGGCCAATTGCAGCTGTGAATCTTGCAAAAGACAAGATTGGGGGCTGGAGCAATAGCATAGCGGGTAGCATGCTTGCCTTGCATGTGGTTAACCTGGGTTCAATCCCCAGCACCCCATATGGTCCCCTGAACCCACCAGGAGTGATAGCTGAGTGCAGAGCAGTAAGAGTAAGCAGTAAGCCCTGAGCACTGTCAGGTGTGGCCCCAAAACACTTTTTTTCCCCAAGCTTCACTTTGTTTTTAAAAACAACTTAAAAAAATTTTTTTTGTTTTATTTTGGCTTTTTTGGGGTCACACCCAGTGATGCTAAGGGGTTACTCCTGGCTCTGCACTCAGGAATTACTCCTGGCAGTGCTCGGGGGACTGTATGGGAAGCTGGGGATTGAACCCGGGTTGGCCATGTGCAAGGCAAACACCTTATCCCCTGTATTATTGCTCTGGCCCCAGCTTCAGGTTTTCAAGTATATCTTCTCCTGCAGGACCACCCCCCCCCCAAAACACACACCCTGTTGTGACCCCCTGGTAGGGGCCTGGTGCCGGGCCCATTGTAAAATGCGGGGATGAGTTCTGGGGACACAGGGGTGCACAGGGTGCCCGTGGGGGAAGGCTGCTGGCCACCCCCGGCACTGTCTGCTCTCTGTACCCGCGCTGGGCACAGCCGCACTCACAGCTTTGCTCATCCTCAGGCATCTCACGTCAGCAGGGTTCAGAGGTGGACGCAGGTGTTTCTCTCTTGACTCCAAAGCCCCAGGCCCCTTGTCCACTTCACCCAGACCCACCGCCCCCCGGAGCTGGTCAGCTGTCTGCCCACAGGGCGGATGGCTGGCTGAGGGCGCCCAGAGCTGGTGCTGTGGCACGGTGCCTGCCTGGGTTTGGCTGGGGAAGCGCCAGCTCTTCCTGGGTCACAGGTAGCTGCACCCCCTCAGTGCTCCTGGGGGCTGGCAGCTCCCACACCACCCCTAAGTGCTCCCCACCACCGCAGTACCTACATGACACCAAGGGCCCACGCCAGTCCCCTGCTTAAAGCAGGACCAGCAGGCTCAGTGATCACTTTGCAGGCCAACCCTGGGCTTGTGGCCTTGGGCCAATCACTCCACTCTGGTCCTGGTTTCTTGTCAAATGACTGTTAGGGATATTTTCCGCTGCTCATCACTTCGAGCTAATCAAAGAATCTGTGAGATCGCGGAGGGTGGGGAGCCTCAGGTGAGTCAGGCCAACTCACAGATTCAGGGTCAGCACCTGTGTGGGCACACCCAGAACTAGCCCCCCCCACCCAACTCCGGCTCTCCCACCCCCCAGGCCAGCCCAGGTTACTGGTCTGGGAAATGGGCCTTGGGACTGACTACGGCAATGACACAGCCTGTAGGAGTCCAGGGCTAGACGTCGAGCTCACTCTGCGACTGGCCCCCTGCAGTTTGCCTAAGATCCCCCCCCCCCCCCCCCCCCCCCCGCTGCTGCTTTCTGACTTGGACGATCTGGCTGGGACCCAGGGCTCCTGCATCCTGGCAGATGATTCCTCAACCTGGAAAGCATTCCCAGCCAAGGGGTCTCTGACTCCAGCGCTGACTAGGGATTCAGGAATTCAGGAGGGCACTTGCCTTGCACATGGCCCATCTGCGTTCCTCCCCAGGACCCTCATGGTCCCCTGAATCCTGCTCAGGATCCTTGAGTGCAGAGCCAGGTGAGTGCAAGCCCCAGAAGAAGAAGAACACAGAGGATACAGCTGCCCCCAGATGACAACCCTGCAGGGCTAGAGGGGCTGGACCTTGCCTTGCACATGGCCGGCCTGGCTTCCTTCCCTGAGAATCCACATGGTTCCCAGAGCCCAGCCAGAGACGGTCCCTGAACACAAAGCCAGAAGTCAGCCCTGAGCAAGAGCACAGCACCTAAAACCAAATAAAGAACCAAAGGAGAAACAATACACAAAACCCTCAGGCAGAAAAAAGAAAGGAAAGGGCATTATGGGTTTTTTTTTTTTTTGCTTTTTGGGAATTACTCCTGGCGGTGCTTGTGGGACCATATGGGATGCTGGGAATCGAACCCGGGTCGGCCACATGCAAGGCAAACACCCTACCCGCTGTGCTATCGCTCCAGCCCAGGAAGGGCATTATGGACCCTCGGACAAAACCACAGTGTCAGCTGGATGAAATAAAGATAGTAAAGATCCAACTTATGCACTGGATCCCAAAGGTGGAGAGGAGGGATAATGTTCCAGGCACCGGAAGCAGCAATTGCTTGGGAGACCAGACAGTAACCCTGGGCCGGGGCGATCAGACAGGGAGGAGGGTGTTTGCTTTGCAGGTGCTGACCCAGGTTTGATTCCTGGCATTCCATAGGTCCAAGCACTGCCAGGATTAATCCTGAGTGCAGGGCCAGGAGCAGCATTGCCAGGTGGAGTCCAAAAATTGAAAATTAAAATGGAAAGTATATCTGGGCCAGAGTGATAGGACAGTGGGAGGGCACTTGCCTTGCATGCTGGCTGACCTTGGCTTGATCTTTGGCATCCTATATGGTCCCCCGAGCACTGCCAGGAGAGATTCCTGAGCACAGAGCTGGGAGTCAGCCAGCCCTAAAAACCACCAGGTATGCCCCCCCATTCTCCCTCCCCAAAAAATATCCCTGAAAGATGTGGTAGTGACCAGTGTCATTTTCAAATGGGTCTGAAGAACAGTGACACATTTATACACACTTTATAGGTACTCAGGGATGTTCATTTTTCTGCAGGGCAATGCCGCACACAAACACGCGTGGAGGAGGAAGGGGACGGCAGGACACAGGGCGGGGGGGGGAGTGGGGTGTGGCTTGGGCAGGACCCAGCACCCGAGTCTGTGTCCTTGCGGGGGGTCAGCACCCTCCGACTCTCCCAACACACGCCTGCACGCTTAAGGCTCCGGGCTCTATCCCCGGCCCCGGGAAAGCAGACAGGACGGAGGAAGCATGTTCACAGTTCGCACCAAATGTTCTCGACTCTCTCCGTATCTGTAGGTCTTCTAATACAGCTGAAGTCGTCTTAAACTGAACTCCAAAACTCACAGTTTCCAGCCCCCCATACTCTGCCTTTTGAGGCTTCTGCTGTGGGTTTTTCCATGTGGAATTTTATTTGGATTCTTGTAGGGGCGGAGCGTGAGAAGACAGGCACGGAGCACGGACACTTGGCCACGGGTGCACTGCAAACCCGGGGCATGCTGGACGCAGGGGACATGGGGTAGGGACACACAGGTGCCTGGGTCTCTCCACGGAGGGGCCCAGTGTTCTCTAGTCTGTGGGTTAAAGTCAGCCCCAGCACCCACAAGTTACGGGAATGAGCGACACAGTCAGGTATCAGGAGGGTCAGCGGGGCCAGGGAGAAATGCCACAGGGCCGAGCCTGGGTTTGCATGCGGGGGGCCCAGGTGCCATTCTGGGCACAGCACAGTTCCTGCAGCACCACTAGGTATGACCTCAAAACTAAACCAAATCAAACAACAATAAAAATAGAGAGAGAGAGAGAGAAAGGGAGGGGATTCGACCCCCAGCACCCCATATGGTCCCCAGAGCCCCAGCAGGCGAGATCACCAAGCACAGAGCCAGGAGTCACCCCTGGTGAGCACTGCCAGGTGTGCGCACCACAAAAAACAATAACACAACAACAAAAAAAGAAAGTTAAAAAAAAAAAAAGGAAAAACCGGTGACTGGAAAGAACAATTCATCTTTCTTGATTTCTGTACTGGACTCTCGGGTGAAGCCTAACAGGGCACACAGACACGATACTGCAAGTTCTCTATCTGTGTCCAAGTGGGAAAAAGTGGACGGAAAAAAAATAAAAAACATAATAAAAGATCTCCGGGGCTGGAGCGATAGCACAGTTGGGTAGGGCGTTTATCTTGCACGTGGCTGACCTGGGTTCGATTCCCAGCATCCCATATGGTCCCCCGAGCACCGCCAGGAGTAATTCCTGAGTGCATGAGCCAGGAGTAACCCCTGAGTATCGCCGGGTGTGACCCAAAAAGAAAAAAAAAAAGCTTCTCAAGAGCCCCCGTTGGCCCGTCTCACGAGCTGGGGTCAGGGGCCGTGGCGGGGGCGTTTCTCCGGGCGGGGGCCACCGCCCGCCCTCAGGTGGCCACGTGGAGCACCGACTCCCACGGCGCCTCCTTCAGCTGCGAGCCGAACTTGGTCTTGCTCAGCTTCATGATGGAGAAGAGCTGCTCGCAGATGTAGGTGCTGCCGAACATGGACAGGATGTTGGCGCAGTGCTGCCGGTACCGGGGGTAACTGCCGCACAGGTGCCGGTAGAACTCGGGGATGCCCACCTGCTCGAACTTGGCCTTGAGGACCGTGTTGCACTGCAGGTCGATCACCTCCATCTGCAGGGCCTCCTGCACGCGCTCCACCGTGGCGGAGAAGGGGGCGCTGAAGAGGCTCAGCTCCGCCTCGTAGCGCTGGAAGTCGCCCAGCCGCCGCTGGAACTCGGCCTTGAGGTCGGCCAGCCGGGGGATGTAGTTCAGGCTGTCGCTCTCGCTCCGGGACACCGACTTGAGCGTGGGGAAGTGGGCCAGGTTGTTCCGGGCCAGGTGAGCTTCCCAGAGGGCCAGCTTGGTCAGGAAGGCGCGGAGCAGGTCGTGCATCTGCGTGACCAGCTGCGAGTGGCCCTGCAGGGACAGGGTCAGCGTGTTCAGGTGCGTGGTCATGTCCACCAGGAAGGCCAGGTCGCGGATCCAGTCCGGGGAGCTCAGCTGCGGCACGGGCCTGCCCCGGGATGACATGAAGGCGTCGATCTCCTCCAGGGACTCGAAGAAGCGTCGCAGTACCAGCCCCCGGCCGAGCCACTTGAGCTCGGTGTAGTAGAGCAGGCTGCCGTACTGGCTGTCCAGCTCGTAGAGCAGCGTGGTGAACCCGCTGTGGTTCAGGCCCCGCGAGCAGAGCCAGTTGACGGCGCTCAGCACCACGCTCATGACGTGTTCCATCTTCAGCTTCTGGGCGCACAGGGCCTCCGTGTGGATGATGCAGCCCACGGACTTCAGGTCGGAGCCCTTGCAGGCGGCGGCCACCTTGCCGCGGAGCTTGGTGACGAGCCCGTCGCTGGGGTCCAGCATGGCCGGGGTGCCCGTGGAGGCCACGCTCACCAGCTTGGCCCAGTCGATGTGGAACTTCTTCAGGCTCTTCTCCACCCGCAGGAAGGTCTCGTGGCCGGACCTGGCGCCCGTCATGGGCACCGTGTCCAGGAGCTCCTCCGAGACCTCAAAGTTGTCGTCCACGCCGCGGATGAAGATGGCCAGCTGGGCGGTGTTGTTGATGTCCGTGATCTCGTCGATGGCGATGGAGTAGGCCACCAGAGACCGGATCTTCTCCCGCAGCTTCTCCCACAGGTTCCCGGCCACGTCCTCTGGGGGTGGAGGCGGCGGCGGCGGCGGCGGCGGTAACACGCCGGCCTCCTCGGCAGCGTGGGCCTGGGCAAGCTCCCGGCGGTGCTCGGGGCACATCATGTCCTCGTTGCCGAGCAGGTACTTGCGAAGCCCCTTCTTGAGCTCCTGCAGCTTCTCGTCCCGCATCTGCTCCGTGTACTGGTCGTAGTGCTTGCTGTGGTTGGTCTGGTAGTGGCGCCGCAGGTTGTACTCCTTGGACACCGACATGCTCTGCTTGCAGATCAGGCACGTGGGGATGTTCTGCACCTCCACGAAGAAGTACGCCCGCTCCCACTTCTCCTGAAAGACGCGGCCCTCCTGGTCGATCTTGCGTTTGCCCACTTGGGAGGGAGACAGGGAGACAAGAGAACGGTTCACGGGGGCTGGAGTGACGGTACAGCGGGCAGGGCGTTTGCCTTGCACGCGGCCGGCCCGGGTTCGATTCCCAGCATCCATCCCATAGGGTCCCCCGAGCACCGCCAGGAGTAATTCCTGAATGCAGAGCCATGAGTAACCCCTGAGCATCGTGCGACCCAAAAAGAAAAAAAATGGTTCACCTTTTCTCTGAACTCGGCAGCAACGAAAAAACCAAACCAAACCCAAACCCCTAGAGGGGAGGTGAAGCGGCTTGGGGACAGAGGGCCAACAGCTGGAGAGAAGGCCTGGGCCATTGTGGGCACAAAGTCTGGGGATGGATTTCTGCAAAAAAAGGTCCTTGGTAGGGCTGGAGTGATAGCACAGCAGATAGGACTTTTGCCTTTCACGTGGCCAACCCGGGTTCAATTCTCAGCATCCCATATGATCCCCTGAGCACCGCCAGGAATAATTCCTGAATGCAGAGCCAGGGGTAACCCCTGAGCATTGCTGGGTGTGACCCAAAAAGGGAAAAAAAAAAGTCCTTCGCTCTGGGGCCAGAGTGACCTACAGTGGGTAAGACACAGTCTAGATTCAGCCCCGGCACCCCATACCACCGAGATTCTTGCACAGACAGGAGTAAGCCCTGGGCACAGTTAGCTGTGACCTTAAAAAAAAAAATCCCCTGGGCTGGAGCGATAGCACAGCGGGTAGGGCGTTTGCCTTGCACGCAGCCAACATGACCGACACAGGTTCGATTCCCAGCACCCCATATGGTCCCCTGAGCACTGCCAGGAGCAATTCCTGAGTGCATGAGCCAGGAGTAACCCCTGAGCATCGCCGGGTGTGACCCAAAAAGCAAAAAAAAAAAATCCCAGCTTTTCATTGGTCACTTTTGTTTGTTTTGCTTTGTTTTTTGGGCCATCGCCTGTGATGCTCAGGGGTTACTCCTGGTTTTGTGCTCAGGAATTCCTCCTGGTGGTGCTGAGAATCTCACACAGGCACAGCAAGTGCCAAGCACTGAGCAGTGTCCCGGCCTCTCTGTCCGCCTCCCACAGATCCTGGTCACGTCATTCAAAGAGAATCTGGAAATGACAGGGAAGGGACCACGTGCAGAAGGAACAGGACTGGACAGTCTGAGTCATACAAGACTGTGGTCAGAGCCACAGAACTGCACAGAATTCATTACAGGAGCCGGAGTTGAGGCTGACCTGGGATCGATCCCCAGCATCCCAGAGGGTCCCTGAGCACTGCCAGGAGTAAGTCCTGAGTACCGAGCCAGGAATGATCCCCGAGCACTGCCGGTGTGGCCCAACAACCAAAAAAAAAAAAAACCCAAAAAACTCTTTCTCACTGTTTATTTTATTTTACTTTTTTTGGTATTTGGGCCACACCTAGCAGTGCTCAGAGCTTACTCCTGGCTTTGCAATCAGGAATCACTCCTGGTGGTTCTTGGGGGACCATATGGATGCTGGGGATCGAACCCGGGTTGGCTGCATGCAAAGCAAATGCCCTATTTTTTTTTGCTTTTTGGGTCATACCCGGCAATGCTCACAGGTTCCTCCTGGCTCTGCACTCAGGAATCACTCCTGCTGGTTCTTGGGGGACCATATGGGATGCTGGGAATTGAACCCGGGTCGGCTGTATGCAAGGCAAACATCCTACTCTCTGTGCTATCGCTCCAGCCCATCCCCTGTACTTTTGCTCCAGTCCCTCGTTTTACATTTTAAAGACCCGGGCCTTGGGTCAGGTATGCTTGACTTTAAGAGAACAATTTTTTTTTCTTTCTTTTTGGGTCACATCCAGTGATGCTCAGGGGTTTCTCCTGGCTTTGCACTCAGGAACTATTCCTGAGTGCACTGGCGGTGCTTGGGGGATCATATGGGATGCTGGGGATTGAACTCGGGCCGGCCGCATGCAAGGCAAACGCCCTACCTGCTGTGCTGTCGCTCTAGCCCTTTGAGGGAACAGTGACATACAAACTCCCTTTAAGCTCCACCAGAAGCGGTCCCTGAGCACGGAGCCAGGCATAGACCGTGAGATGAGCACCACCAGGTGTGGCCCCAAAACCAAAACTGAAACCAAACCAAACTGCACACGCCAGCCCAATTTCCATCCCTGGAATCCCACAATGGTCCCCTGAGTCCGTCAGGAGTTGTTATCCCTGAGCATTGCCGGGTGTGATCTCCGAACCAAACCAAAACAAAACAAACTGTAGGTAGAGAGAGAAAATTCGTTGAGTGCTGGGCTGGGCAGTGATGGAGGTGAACACCGAGGGGAGAGGGAGAGGTTCTTGTGGGCCCTGCCCAGGGTGCTCACTGTGGGGCTCCTAAACCCGCCCAGAGAACTTTTCCATCCCGTTAGAATTCCTGCCACAGGGGCTGGAGTGATAGCACAGCAGGTAGGGCGTTTGCCTTGCAGGCGGCTGACCTGGGTTCGATTCCCAGCATCCCATATGGTCCCCCGAGCACCGCCAGGAGTGATTCCTGAGTGCATGAGCCAGGAGTAACCCCTGTGCAACGCCGGGTGTGACCCCCCCAAAAGAAAAAAAGAATTCCTGGCACAGAAGCTTTCCTCTGTGGGAACGATCTGTGTAGGAGCCCCTCCATCCTGCCCCTCTGCCCCTCTGCCTTGGAGGCTGCCCTGCAGCCCCACTTGGGCGGGCACGACTCACTGGCCACTGTAGAGACTCGTGAGCCCACCCGGGGGTGCCCTTTCCTTCTGCCAACAACCCCTTTCAGCCTGATTCCTCTTGGTCTCAGTTTCTTTCTCTCTGAGCTCTCAGTTCTGGCTCCAGGCTGCTGGAGCGCAGCCACCCGAAAGTCCCTGGGAACGACACGTCTTGGCACGTGGGTGGCAGGCACCATCGCTGACGCCGCCACCAGGCTTGTTTCTGAATTTCTTCATTTATTATTTCAAGGTTTTGGGGCCCTGTCTGGCGCTGCCCCAGGGCTTACTCCTACCTCCTTGCTCAGGGGCCACTCCTGGTGTGCTCGGGGGAGCCTATGGGGTGCTGGGGACTGAACCTTGGGTCGGCTTGTGCAAGGAAAGCGCCCTACCTGTTTTATTATTACTCTAGCCCCGTGTTTTCTTCTTTCTTTCTTTCTTTCTTTCTTTCTTTCTTTCTCTCATCTCCCTCCCTCTCTCCCTCCCTTCCTCCCTTCCTTTTCTCTCTCTCTTTCTTTCTCTCTTTCTTTCTTTCTTTCTTTCTTGCTTGCTTGCTTGCTTGCTTTCTTGCTTTCTTTCTTGCTTTTTGGGTCACACCGGCGATGCACAGGGGTTACTTCTGGCTCTGCACTCAGGAATTACTCCTGGCGGTGCTCGGGGGACCATATGGGATGCTGGGAATCGAACTCAGGTCGGCCACGTGCAAGGCAAACTCCCTACCCGCTGTGCTATAGCTCCAGCCTGCTGTTTTTTTTTCTTTTTTTTTTTTAATGTAAAAGAAAAAGTATTGAGGGTTGGGGGGACAGCATAGCTGGTTAGGGGGTTTGCCTTACATGTGGCAGACCCGGGGTTTTTTTTGCCCTGAATCCTTAGGGTTCACCTGAACCCTGCAAGGAGTGACCCTGAGCACAGAGCCAGGAGTAAGTCATTGTGGGCTGACCCCCTGCAAAAAAAAAAAAAAAAAAAAAGCAATGAGTTTCCAGATGAGTTCCAGAGTGAGGGGCTTAGGACGAGAGTGATAGCACAGCCGCGAAGGCGCTTGTCTTGTATGCAGTCAAGTGGGTTTGATCCCTGGAACTCCATATGATCCAATTCCCGGCACCCCCATCTGGTCTGCCGAGCACCGCCAGGAATGATTCCTGAGTGCAGAGCCAGGAGGAAACCCGAGCATCGCCAGGTGTGATCCAAACACGAAACAAAACAAAAACATAAAGTGAGGGGCTGGAGAGACGGTGCGTGGATAAGGCGTTTGTTCGCCTTGCACTTAGCCAGCCCAGTGCCATGCTTGGTCCCACATATGGTCCCACTCACGCACCGCCGGGAATGATCCCTGAGCAGAGAGCCAGGCAGAGGCCCTGAGCACAGCGAGTGTGACCCAGGAAAACAAAACAAAAGCAAAAACCAACCAAAAAACAAAAGAAATGAAGAAATACACCTCGTGGGGCTGGGGAGATGCTCGGAGGGCTGGGCTTAGGCCCGCGACACTCCAGGGGCAGAACGAAAGAAGGACCAGGGCAGCAGAGTGATCAGAGCACAGACCCTGTTTGCACGAGGGTGGGACATGCAAACACCCCTCGGCCACCACGCAGATACTCACCGTTGCTGAGCTCCAGGCCTGGCAGTGGTCTGTGGGGGAGAAGGGGGGAAGAGAGAGAGGGAGAGAGAGGGAGGGGGAGAGAGGGAGAGAGAGAGAGAGAGAGGGAGGGGGAGAGAGGGAGAGAGAGAGAGAGGGAAGGGGAGAGAGGGAGAGAGAGAGAGAGAGAGAGGGAGGGGGAGAGAGGGAGAGAGAGAGAGAGGGAGGGGGAGAGAGGGGGAGAGAGAGAGAGAAAGAGAGAGAGAGAAGAAGGAGGGAGGGAGGGAGGGAGGGAAAGGGAAAGAGAGGAGAGGGAGAGAGAGAAGAGGAGGGAGGGAGAGAAAGAAGGAAGGAGAGAGGAAGGGAAAGACAGAAAGAGAGAGAGGAGGGGGAAGGAGAGAGGGAGAGGGAATGAGAGGGAGGGAGAGGAAGAAAGACGGAGGGAGAGGAGAGAGAGGGGTAGAAAGAGGAAGAGAGAGGGAGAGAGGAAAGGGGAGAGAGAAGGAGAGAGGGGGAGAGGGAGGGGGAGAGAGGGAGAGCGGGAGGGAGAGAGAGAGAGGGGGAAGAGGGAGAGAGGTGGGGAGAGAGGGAGGAGGGAGAGGGAGGGGGAGAGAGGGAGAGAGGGAGAGAGGGAAAGAGTGGGAGAGAGGGAGGGAGAAAGAGAGGGAGAGAGAGAGGGAGAGGGAGAGTGGTTAGTGCACGGGCTCCATTCCCATTCTCATGCATGGTCTGTTTGTGAGCTACACCGTGTGCAGAGGGAGATGAGCAGGCCCTGGAGTGACCGCAGGGAGCCATGTCCAGTAGCTGTGGCTGGCCCCCCTCCCCATGCTGGCCAGCTGGGATGGGGCCGAGGGACCCAGCACCTCCCTTCTTGGCCTCCCGACCTACCGGAGGACCGTGAACTTGATAAACTCGGCCGCGTCCAGGATCCTTCTCATGGAGCTGATCTCCAGGTACCCGGGGGCTTTGAAGACCACGCCGGGGGGCATGCCATCGATGACCACGCAGCCAGGGTTGAAGGTGATCTTCCGGTAGGGCACCTTCACCGGGAAGTCCACGCCGATGGCCTCGCCTGGGGGCGGACATGGAAGCCAACGGCCTTTAAGTTTCTCACCCAGACCCCAAGCCCCAGGTTCTGTTCTGTATTATTATTGTTGGTATTATTGCTTGGGTTTGGGGGCCACACCCAGAGGTGCTGGGGGGATTTGAACCTGGGTCAGTCGCAGGCTATCTCTATCTTTCTGGCCCCGAGCTGACTGTGCTCACACACGGCCACAGTTCCTCTCCCCTCCTGAACGCCTTTCATTTTACTGACTTTGAAGGTCAGTGACGGGGTGTCAGAGTCACAGCAGGGCAGGGAGTCAGCCCTGGTACCACTGGGTATGGCCCCAAAACCCGAGGAAGAAACTGTGTCTGGGAGATGCGGCTGCCTCTGAGTCCAGCCGGGAAGTGACCGAACTGGCCCCCAGGGGCTGCTCCCGACTGGGCCCCTCAGGGCAGTGCTGGGCTTATGGCTGCCCTCGGGAGGTCTCCACTGCACACGTCCGGCCAGGGGCAGGGGCCTGGGGCTTGACCTCACACTCTTTCTGCTGCTGGGCAGGTGCTTTTGATCCCTGTCCCCCGTGCCCCCCACCCCCTGCCCCGGTCTCTGTCAGGAACAGCCCAGGAATGGCCCAGTTACCTGCCCACCCCCGCACCTGTCCCCCCTTCTCTTTCCCCCCACCCCCAACTGGCTTAGGGTGTCCTTGAAATGGGGCTGCCCCTTCTCAGCAAGTTGTGCGTTTGGGAAGTTCTGCTTCTGGTCTCTCCTGCTGGCCACCTGCAAAGGCCCCAGCCCCTGCCGGACACTCCACCAAACTGGGCTCTTGCCTTTGTTCTGGGCCACCCTGTCACATGCACTTGGCTGGGCTCCCACGTGTAAATAAATTCCGCATAGTCGAGGGCTTTGTGGGGGGACAGCTTTGCTCCTCCCGGTCTAACGGTCTAACCTGCCGGAATTCTGCAATGCCTGAAGGCCGGGAGCCAGCTGGAGGCCCTTAAGTTTCATTAGCTGTGACTACACTGGGTTCCTTGTAGGTGTGCAAATGGGGATTTGAGGATGACCGTTTTTTGGGGTTTTTTGGGGGGGCACACTCACACCTGGTGGTGCTCAGGGATTACTCCTGGCTCTGTGCTCAGGGATTATTCCTGGTAGGCTTGGGGGACCACATGAGGCCTGGGATCGAACCTGGGTCATATATGTGCAAGGCGAATGCCCTGCCCACTTCCTATCTCCCCACCCTCCGGAGACAGCTGCTATTCTGGGTGTTGTCATAAAAAAGCTCTAAAGGCTAGAGAGACAGCAGAGCAGGGAGGGCGCTGGCCCTGCACGTGTCCATCCTGGGTTCGATCCCCGGCAATCTATACGGTCGCCTGAGCCCGCCAGGAGTGACCCCTGAGCTCAGGGCCAGGAGGAAGCCTGAGGATCACCCCCTGTACCCCGGACCACCAAAAAGGACACAAAGTTATGTAATGATATAAATACTTACCAAATTTCCGGCTAAAGAGGTCATTGACTTGTTCTCTTAGTTGTTTTATTTTCTCGATGCTTGACAATCTTTCCTTTTCATTATCTGAAAACAGTGAAACCAGTGAACTCTGATTACTTATGTATCTGCCCCAGAAAATGCACCCAGAAGACAACAAAAGACAACTGGTCTCCCAGCCACTTGGTTTTGTTTGAGCAAGGACCGTGCCTTTTGTGTAGTGAAATCCTGACAGCTGGTGGAGAGCATGTGGAGAAGAGCTTGAGGTCACCACATGAAACACTGCTTCTGGAACCTTCCATCTGGGTCATCAATAATATCATGGAGCTCTCGCCAGCAAAATGTGATGTGGGACAGAAATAACATGACCTGTGATTGAAGAGCGGTCATGTCTTTTTCTCCTTTGAATTGTTGTTTTTGGGTCACACCTGGCAGTGTTCGGAGCTTACTCCTGGCTCTGTGGTCTGGGATCACTCCTGGAGGGATGACACGCGGTGTTGGGGCCCAAACCCAGGATGGCCAGGTGCATGACCAGCGCCTTACTCGTCACTTTCTCTCTGGCAAGGGGTCAGCCTGTGCTCAGGAAATTGGGTTTCTTGGGGATTGGAATCTAGGACTCCTGCCACCTCTACGGCCAGGAACAGCGCTGACTGCTTGAAGCTTTGACTGGGCTTATTTCCCAGTGACTCCAGCAGTGACAAGGTTCCACACTCCCCGGCTGTGGGCGGCAGGTGAGCGGAATGCCTGGCTCGGGGCTCTCCCTTCCTGGGGACACTTGGCGAGCAGCCAGGGCAGGTGACAAGGTTCGTCTTTTGCAGAAGTTCTACTTAGACACACTCAGGAGAGCCTGACAGGCAGCAGGTCAACTGTCCCCTCTGCGTCCAGTCCCCAATCAGCAGTGGCTGGGAGTCTGGAGTCACCGCACAGCAGTGGTGGGGCACTTGCTCTGCACACTGTTGGATCCCGGGGGGGGGGGATCCGGGGCGATTATGGGGGGGTGATCCCGAGGGGATCCCAGGGGGTCCCGGGGGTTTGATCCCAGGGGGATCCCAGAGGGTTTGATCCCAGGGAGATCCCTGGAGGGATCCCAGGGATTTGATCCCAGGGGGGACCCGGGGGGGTATGGTCCCCGAGCCTGTCCCAAGAGTGATCTCTGAGCACAGAGTCAGGAGTAAGACCTGAGTATCACCAAATGTGGCCCCTAAAACAAACAACCCCCCCAAAACAAAACCAGCACAATCAAGCTGAAGCAATAGTACAGCAGGTAAGTTGCTTGCTCCGCACACGGCTGACCCAGGTTTGGTTCTCAGCATCTCATCGGATTGCTCCCCGAGCCCATCAGGAGTAACTCCTGCGTGCAGATCCAGGAATAAACCATGGGCCTCACCAAATGTGACCCAAAAAGCAAAGACAAAAACCCCACAATCGCTGGTGCTGGGAGCTGCCCACTCTGAAGGGATTTCCAGGTGCTCAAGGCGTGGCCGAAGAAGCTGACTGGCTGAGATCATGTCTGGGAGAAGAGGCAGCATCTGTTAGATTCCTGGGCCTTTGTTCCTGAGGCATCACTATTCCCAGGCATCGTCCCTTAGCCTGGGTGAGTCAGTAGAAACGAACTTCTCCAATGGTCTCACCAGGTCATAAAACAAATGATTAAAATTTAACACAAATGGAACATGAGGCCCCCATAGCCATGTCATTGGACCCTGCACAAGGCTGTTTTCACTCAGGGCACCCCAGAGTGGGGTGGGGGTTGAGAGCCCTCCCCGCCCCAAGGGACCCAGCCCTGGCAGCCGAACTCCACTACCCAACCGCCGCCATGTTCCAGGCTGCTCCCCCCACGCTCTGGCCGAGCCTCACATATGAGTGAACAAGTTCCTGGATCAACACATCATAAGGCACTCCCTACCCATTCTCCATAATTACCACACCATATTTGATGGGGTTCAGACAGTAGGCAACAAATCATCACTGTCACTGTCACTGACCTCCTGTTGTTCATCGATTTTGCACGAGCGGGCCCAGTAACATTGTGAGACTTGTTACTGTGTTTGGCATATCGAATACGCCCTGGGTAGCTTGCCAGGCATTCCGAGAGGGGCGGAGGAATCGAACTCGGGTCGGCAATGTTGGCTGCATGCAAGGCAAATGCCCTAGGATGCCCGCTGTGCTACTGCTCCAGCCCACGCAACAAATCATAGAGGGAAATATATATATATATATATTTCAGATATATATGCCAAAGACCACATCACCCAAACTTTAACAACATGTCAGTGATATTCTATAGAATATCTTAATATCTCCTGCCAAAATAGAACAATCTTCATACTGTTTCCTATATGAACACCTTTTTGTAAGCATGTTCAGCAGTTCTTCATAACAGACAATACAAAATATATTCTTTCGGTTGCGTTTTGGGACAGGGATTGGGGTTTGGGATGGAAACACCCTGAATTTTGTGGTGGGAAGGTGGAATGGTGATGGGATGGGTGTTTGGATATTAAATGTAATCAAACATTGTGAACTAACTTATAAAATAAAAAATAATTTAAAAATAATAATGATAGTAATAGAAAAAAGAAAACAAAAAAAAACCAAAAACATTTAACACAAATGAAAGCTATATAAACTGCAGGACTCTGCGCTGGAGTGTCCTGCATGCGCCAGGTCCAAGTCTGATCCCGGACCCCTGCTTGGCCCCCATCACCTCTGGGTCTGAGTGCTGAGTCCTCCCTCTTGCGTGACACTGGATGGCCCCAGCTGTGGAGTCCCTCCCCCCAGACAGAAACTGTGGCAGAGTCAGGAAAACATCCGTACCTGGAACTGTTACCTGGACGATGTTAAGATCCTCAACCCCTGCTGCAGAAGTTGCACTGTTGGCGGAACTGGTGTTTCCTTGAAAGAGAACAGGGAGTTCAGGGTCTGCATGAAGTCAGCTCTCTCAAACTGTCAAAGGGCCCTTTGGATTCGAAGCCCAGAAATGTCTACCTGTGGGCACACCCAGCTGTGCTTAGGGCTAACTCCTGGCTCTGCACTCAGGGATCACTCAGATGGTGCTGGGGGACACACACGGTGACAGTGACTGAAGGCTGGGTGTGTCAAGCAAGCACCTTACCCATTTATATGTCTGGACCTTAAATTTTTTTTTTCATTTTTAATTTTTGTGTGTTTTGGGCCACACCTGGCCATATTCTGGACTTACTCCTGGCTTTGTGCTCAGGGATCATTCTTGGCAGTGCTCAGGGAACCATATAGGATACTGGGGACGGAACCTGGGTCAGCCACGTGCAAGGAAAGCGACCACCCTGCTGTCCTATCACTTGGGTTCTCCTTCCTTTTTATTTTTATGTGATGGGTTGAACTCAGGGTCTCGTGTATGCTAGGCATGTAAGTGCTCTACCATTGAGCTCTAGAAGAAATGGCCTCTCAGGAGGTTGTGTTTAGTTTCTTTCTAAAAGAAAAGAATCTTTATCATTTAGATCACCTCTCTCTCTCTCTCAGTTACATCCAGCATGCTCGGGGGTTAGTCCTGGATCTGCACTCAGTAATTACTCTTGGCAGTGTTCATGGGGACTACATGGAAGGCCATGGATTGAACCCAGGTCAGCCACATGCAAGGCACCCGCTGTACTATCGCTCCAGCACTAGATTGCATTTCTTTCCATGATACACAGGCTGGAGTGATAGCACAGCGGGTAGGGCGTCTGCCTTGCACGCAGCCAACATGGCCGACCCAAGTCCGATTCCTCCGCCCCTCTCGGAGAGCCTGGCAAACTACCGAGAGTATTCGATATGCCAGACACAGTAACAACAAAGTCTCCAATGGAGACGTTACTGGGCCCGCTCGAGCAAATCGATGATCAACGGGAGGGCCTTTTTTACTTCCATGATACATCACAGGGTCTGAATTGGCTCTGTCATGCCTGTCTGAGGGAGTTTTAAGATTTAATGAATATTTCCAACCTATTGGATGCTTCCATTATTCTTCCTTTTCTTGAATTCTAAAATTGGATTTTAAATTAAAAAAAATTTTTTTTTGGTTCTTGGGCTACACCTGGTGGTGCTCGGGGGCCCACATGGGATGCTGGGGATGGAACCCAGGTTGGTCGGATGCAAGGCAAGTGCCGCCCTTCCCACTGTCCTGTTGCTCCAGCTCTTCAATGTTTTTATTTATTTATTTTTCTATTTTTATTTTATCTTTTTTGCTTTTTGGGTCACACTCAGCAATGCACAGGGGTTACTCCTAGCTCTGCGCTCAGGAATTACCCCAGGCGATGCTCAGGGGACCATATGGGATGCTGGGAATTGAAACCAGGTCAGCCGCATGCAAGGCAAACGCCCTACCCGCTGTGCTACTGCTCCAGCCCCCAATGTGGTTTTTAAACTAGCCAACAGGGAAAAAAACATACATACTGGCTTTTATTTGAAAGAAAAGGACCTCAGGGATCGAGGATCCTGGAGCAGCGAAGGGGACCATAAGGGATGCTATGGGGATCAAACTGGGTCAGTGGTCTGCAAGTACCCCGCGGTGCTACTGCCCTGCCACTTCCATCACAACTCTTTTTTTTTTTGCTTTTTGGTCACACTCGGCGATACTCAGGGGTTACTCCTGGCTCTGCACTCAGGAATGACTCCTGGCGGTGCTCGGGGGACAATATGGGATGCTGGGAATTGAACCTGGGTCAGCCGCATGCAGGGCAAACGCCTTACCCGCTGTGCTATTGCTCCAGCCCCTCCATCACAACTCTTTAGAAAAAAATCTTGACTAAATCTCACTTTGAACGTCACTACTCCTAGATATCTACACGTAGAAATGAGTTTACAAATTTCAGCCAGGATGTGATTATTTCTGGACTGTAGCACTTTGAGCCGAATGTGACTGATGAATCTGGTCCTTCAGCCTTAGTCCCCGCCCAGACCCAGCTTTTGGCCCCACCTCTTTGGCCCCGCCCCCGCCCACCCCTCCCCAGGGTCCTGGGTATGGGGCGGGTTCAGAGCAGTTTGGGCTCCAGGCCCTTGCTAACCTGTACTCCCTAGGCTGAGATCTGGGCAAGCCTGGGGTATGGTCCACTATGGTTCACTCGGGACTTACAGGCTGGTTTCTGGCCCCCAACTCCCTCAAGGAAGAATGGAAATTACATTCCGCAGGGTGCTGCCTGGAGGGAAGCTCGGCTACTCACCTTCAGTTTTCACCTCAGCTTCCAGGTCCTCACTCGATTCAGATGGGCCATGCTGAGAGGAATCTGGGGGAAAATTTTTTTCTAAAACAACATCATCTGTTATGTACCTTCATGTCCAATGTTCAATGGCTCTTATGCCCATGAGGCTCGGAATCCTAGTATTTTACTTGTTTTTGCTATGGGGACCACCACTGGCTCTGTGCTCAGGGGTTACTCCTGGCAGTGTTAAGGGGATCCTATGGGGTGCCGGGGATCGAACCTGAGTTGGCTGCAGGCAAGGCAAGCAAACACATCACACCCTGTGCTATCCCTCCAGCCCCAGGAAATCTGGCATTTTAAATCTATCTCATGTTACAGAGAAAGATATAAAACCAAGGTGGTCTTACTGTGAAAGAGATGGGAACCATCCTAAAGAAGCCACTCGTAGGAGAATCTTCCAGAGAGATTTACTTGTCCCAGAATCACCCACACTAGCAGGCTGGGACCTCCCTCCCTGGAGCTCAGGGAATCCCTGTGTTCATGTGACAAAAACACTCAGGAGCATTCTTGGAGGCATCAGGAATCACTCGGGTCGGACACGGTCGTCGGCTTGCTGATGGAGACTGTGTTTATTTATTTATTTTAATTTATTATTACTATTATTATTATTATTATTTGCTTTTTGGGTCACACTTAGCGATGCTCAAGGTTTACTCCTGGCTCTGTACTCAGGAATTACTCCTGGCGGTGCTCGGGGGGACTATAGGGGATGCTGGGAATCGAACCCGGGTCGGCCGTGTGCAAGGCAAGCGCCCTACCTGCTGTGCTATCGCTCCAGCCCTGAGACTGTATTTATTACAAGGGAAGCACGAACAATTTTTCTGGCGGGTAAGAATTATGACACACACACACATACAACGATACAATGAGATAGACAGACAGACAGACAGACCACACACACACACACACACACACACATACACACGCACACACACGCACACACGCACTCCTGGCTGGACCAGCCCCTTAATGCAGGCTCATTTCAGCAAGACTCATCGAAGCTCACATCGGCTGCCCGGGAAGGAACCTGCCACAACTCAGAGCAGCCTGGGGGAAGCCTTGTGGTTCCGCAGGCTCTGTCTGTGCTACTTCTACACTCCCCTGTGCAGCTGTATTATTCCCAAACCAGAGCAGCTCCACTGTGAAAGGGTTTCCCTCTCTGCAGCTTAAAAAAAAAAAAAAAACTCTCTTCCTATATCAAGCATCTCCCGATACCCACGGACATCCTTCTGACTCATCGCTAATTCTCCGACTCAGAGTCTCGCATAGGATTTCTCCCTAAGTACCATCGGGCCCCCTGGAAAGTGGACAGACAGTAACTCAACAGCAGGCTGGCCGCCAAGGGGAGGGAAGGAACACGAGGCAAGGGGAGACCAGGCTGGAAAGGAATTCAAAGGAACTGTCTGCCCTCACATCTCACGTTGGAAGGTCAGAGACTTGCTGACGGGGAATAAAACAAGAGCAGATGAAAGGATCTTGTCACAGACAAGCCCAGGAAATGGGGCCACACGGGGCCAGCCCCCGGAGACTCCATGGACAGATGACACCCCTGGACAGCAGGAACATTCACCGGGCAGAAAGGGACCTGGGTAGGGACCAAAGCGACAGGGCAGCGGGGAGGGCGCTGGCCTTGCACACTGCTGAGTGGGTTCGATCCCCGGTACTCCATAGGGTCCCCTGAGCACCACCAGGAGTAATTTCTGAGCACTGAGCCAGGAGTAACCCCTGAGCACTGCTGGGTGTGGCCCAAAAAAGACAAAAAAAAGGTGGAGGGAGGGGGGCTCCAGGGGGGGCCCAGGAAAGCAGGGAAGGACAGTGATGAATGGGGACAGAGTTGCCAGAGGAGAATATTCTGGATTTGGCTTCCACCACAGAACGAGCATGAGTGTACTCTGAGCACTGCTGCCTTGGCAGAATGGAGCAATGAATGGAGGCTGTGACAGGACATTTCAGGGGTGTGGTTTGAGCACACTTGATTTTTTTGGCTTTTTTGGTCTTTGGGCCACAGGGCTTACTCCTGGCTCTGTACTCAGGGATCACTTGTGGCAGACTTGGGGACCATATGGGATGCCAGGGATCAAACCCAGGTCGGACACATGGAAGGCAAGCGCCCTCCCTGCTGTGCTCTCGCTCCGACCTCAGCACCCTTGAATATATGGAATTCAGTCCGTGTTCTCCCTTGAACAGCATCTTGCTTGCTTGTTTCTCTGTTTCTTTCCTTGCCTGTTTTCTTTTTTTCTTTATTTTTTTTTGCTTTTTGGGTCACACCCGGCGATGCTCAGGGGTTCCTCCTGGCTCATGCACTCAGGAATTCCTCCTGGCGGTGCTCGGGGGACCATGTGGGATGCTGGGAATCGAACCTGGGTCGGCCATGTTGGCTGCGTGCAAGGCGAACGCCCTACCCGCTGTGCTATCGCTCCAGCCCCTCCTTGCCTGTTTTCTGGAGAAGCTCTTGTTCTAACACATACTTCTTCTCCCTCCCCTTGCATCTTCCTAAGTAAGTTCCAATAAAAACTATCTTGTTTCAGGAAGGGAGGAAGGGAGGGAGGGAGGGAGGGAGGGAAGGAAGGAGAAAAACAAGCTCAATAATGACTGTTAACTTTTTGGATTAAAGCAATTAAGTTCCAAATGACTAATGTTAGGGGGGAATGGACCATTTTTGTTTTGGGGATACTCAGGGGTCACACCCCACTCTGCACTCAGGAATCACTTCTGGTGGTGCTCGGGGTACCATATGGGATGCCAGGGATCTAACCTGAGTAGGCTGAGTGCAAGGCAAGGGTGCTCCTCATTGTACTATCACTCCAGCTTAAGGCTGGGCTCCATCAGTGTCAGCTGGGAAGATGCTATCGGGAGCCACGGAGACAGCTCAAAGGAACATGGAGTGTGTTTCTCATGTCGGAGCCCCACATTTGATCTATGGCACCAAAGGCCCCTCAAGCACCACCAGGAGAAACCCCTGGGCACCGCTGGGTATGGCTCAAAAGCCAAACCAAAACAAAACAAAAAAAACATTATTTTAGGGCTGGAGCCACAGCACAGCTGGTCGGGTGTTTGCCTTGCACGCGGCCAACCCAGGTTCGATTCCCAGCATCCCATATGGTCCCCCGGGTAACTCAGGGATACTTCCTGAGTGCAAAGCTAGGAGTAACCACTGTGCATCGCCAGGTGTGACCCAAAAGCCAAAACAAGCAAACAGAAATTTCAAAAAACAGAAAAAAAAACATTCTTTTACATCAGAGAATCAAACCAAGGAACTTCAGAGCCCACAGCGAAGAAGCTATCTAATAGGACAAGAATAATACCCAGAGACAGTGGAAACAAGGACCACATGGGCTGGTCTGTGGCAGGAAGCCTGACACGAGGGGTGGGGACAGGACAGTCAGGACAGAGAAGAGAGGAGAGAGAGAGAGAGAGAGAGAGAGAGAGAGAGAGAGAGAGTCTGCCACAGAGGTGGACTGGGTGGCCAGGGTAGGAACAGAGAGGGTGGAGGGAAAATGGGGACATTGGTGCCCTAGAGAAGGGACAGATGTTGGAACAGTGTATGACTGAAATCCAATCTTGAACAACTTTATAACTGTGTATCTCATAATGACTCAAAAAAAAATTTTTTTTCTTTTTTGGGTCACACCCGGCGATGCTCAGGGGTTACTTCTGGCTCATGCACTCAGGAATTACTCCTGGCCGTTGTCAGGGGAACCATATGGGATGTTGGGAATTGAACTTGGGTCGGCCACATGCAAGGCAAACGCCCTACCCGCTGTGCTATCGCTCCAGCTCTGATTCAAAAAAATTTGAAAAGCTATTTATCTGTTTATTGGTTTTGGGAAGATGGGGGGGTTGTCACACCTGGTTATGTTCAGGGGGTCACTCCTGGTGGAGTGCCCTAAGTGGTGTCAAAGATCAAGCCCGAGGCCAGCCAAGTGCAAGGCAAACGCCTTCCTTCATGCACCGTCTCTCCTGGCTAAGACCTTGTTTAAAATGACAGCAAAGGGGCCAGGCCTGGAGCACATGCGCAGTTGCTGGTTCAAGCCCCAGCACCCTATAAAGCACCCTGAAAATCAGGTGTGCGCCCCCCCCCCCCACTTCCTCAAAAAAAAAAAGTCACAAATCAGTTCCCGGGCAAAGGTCTCCTGACTCAGGGAGAAACCAAGCAACCACAGAGGTGCTGAGGCCTTTACAGCCCGAGACACTTGGGTGTGGAGAGCAAAGCCCCTGGCTGGGCTGTGGACAGAGGCTTGGAGAGTTTAGGCCTTATGGGGGGAGGGGGATGGGTCGCCCCGCTTGGCCTCTGACTCCAGACTTCCCACGGCTCTCTTCAAAGGACACAGAAGACAGGGAAAAAGCAGCCGGCTGAGCCTCCTCCACCCGGGGGCTCTCCAGGACCCTCCCAGCAGAGCCAGGCCTCCTGCCGGGAAAGCAGGGACAAACCTGCCCGACTGACCTTCCATGGGCAGGTCCACGTCCGGGGCTTCACCGTGGCAGGGAGAGCGCTGACCGCCTGCAACGAGAGAGAGCGGATCAAGAGGCTGGAACAGCGTCCAAAGCGGCGCTTGGCGGGGACACCTTTCCCTCCAGGACAGAGAATTCCAGGTGGTCCCTCGCATCTCCTCTCTGGTCATTCTAGTGCACACTGGGCCTTTCTCTGGGCACAGCAGGGCACAGCGACAGCCTGGGGCTCGCCCCCCACTGTCCCCGCCACCGCCCCACTTGCCCGGATGTCGCTAAATGCCCCAAAACACTACTGACCCCGAGGATCGACTGTCTCCGGGCTACAGACAGAGGCCTGGAGAGTTTAGGCCTTATGGGGACAGACAGGCCGTACAACCTGGCAGCCAGAAATCTGGCAGTGGGGGGGGGGGGGGGTGCGATGGGGGGGTCAGTGAGGGGGTGGGCCACACTGAGCAAGTGCGGGCCTATTCCTGGTCTGGTGCTGGGGGGGGACCACATGGGGTGCTGGGAATTGAACTGGGGTCAGCCACAAGCAGAGCGAGCACTTTAACCCCCAGACTACCTCTGCAGCCCCCAAGACTCTTCACTCAAATGAGAAACACTGAGGTCAGTGGTGGAGCTTAGCAGGAGATCAATTAGTTTGACTCTGTGGTGCCCTGAGTTTGATCCTAAAACTGCAAAGAAGTAAATGATTACCAGGTAGACCAGCAGGGGGCTGGAGTGGGGGGGTCACACCAGGCAGGCTTCTCCTCCTTCAGGAAGTGCCCCCATTCCAATACCTGACCCCTTGCAGCATCTGAACCTCGTTGACCTGCCAAACGGTCCAGCTCTGCCGCGAGCGCTCAGCCTCACCACATCCCCAAATTTCCCAGTCCCGACTTCCCTGCAGGGCCACAGCAAATCTGATGGGAAAGTTGTGTAGCCACCAAGCTCCCCTCCCCCAATGAAATAGTAACACTGATGGGAAACAGTAACACAGACAGGAAACAGTAACATAGACAGGAAACAGTAACATAGACAGGAAACAGTAACATAGACAGGAAACAGTGGCACTGCCGGGAAACAGTAACACAGAAACACAGAGGGCTCAACTGGCACCCACCAGCCCAGGAAACGCTCAGTGACTTTAGCAACACCATCCAGAGATGTGAAGATAGTCACAAATGGACTTTCATGAAACAGACTTGTTTGTGCCTTCTAAGGGGGCAGACACGGGGTGGGGGGCGGATTGTTGAGAAACAGGGGCAGGGCTGGAGCGATAGCACAGCGGGTAGGGCATTTGCCCTGCACGCAGCCGACCCAGGTTCAATACCTAGCATCCCATATGGTCCCCCCAGCACCACCAGGTGTAATTCCTGAGTGCAGAGCCAGGAGTAACCCCTGTGCATCACCGGGTATGACCCAAAAAGAAAAAAAAAATTTTTTAAAGACCCGCAGGAAAAAAAAAATAAAACGCATGCATGATTAGGATTCTCGATCCCTTTAGCTGCCGCTGCACACCTGGCTGCAGGATGCTGGAGACCCCAGCGTTGGGGCCCCAGGGAGGTCACACGGGGAGCCCTGGGACCTCACTGGGGAGCCAAGTTCAGGCCACCTGCTTTGTCTGTCTGGTTTCTATCTCTCCCTCTACCTTCCTGCCCACCGGAACAATCTCCCCTGTGGCCTGGGGGCCACTGCTCTGCATCACTTTCCACTGTTCCCGGTATACTCGGGGGCCTGGTCCTGACACCCTGACAGCCCAGTGCTTCTCAAGCGGTGCAGACAATTGGATCTGGGGCCCCTGCAAGGCACATGCTTCGTCTTTTAGGCTCTCTTTCCCGCTCCTTACTCTTGGGGGGAGACAGGGGGGCCACACCCGGCAGTGCTGAGGCCTTCCTGGTCTGCACTCAGGGATCACTCCTGGCGATGCTCAGGAGACCTTATGGGATGCTGGGGATTGAACCTGGCTTGGCTGCCCACAGGGCAAACACCCTCCCTGCTGTACTATTGCTCTGCACCCCCCCTTACTTTTTTTTTTCTTTTTGGGTCACACCCGGCGATGCACAGGGGTTACTCCTCGCTCATACACTCAGGAATTACTCCTGGCAGTGCTCAGGCGACCATAAGGAATGCTGGGAACCAAACCCATGTTGGCCATGTGCAAGGCAAACGCCCTACCCACTGTGCTATCGCTCCAGCCCCCCCCCCCCTGCTTTATTTCTGCAGCTCGGGGGGACCCAGCCCAGGCCCTTCAGTATTTGAGGCATGTGCTGTCCAGCTGAGTGACATCTCCAGCCAGGATGATCTCTGCTTCCTAGCAGAGGGCTACTCCGCTGTTAATCTATGAGTCTCCACCCACTCACCCACAGACAGGCTGAGGGCATGCACTGGCTATGACAGCAATGTCGCAGTGTACACCGGTGTACAGCCCTGTTTCCCTTGGGGGAAGGCCCTACACCTGGCGGTGCCCGGGGAGTGTGTGCTCGGTGCGTGCACACAGCGAGTATCGCTGGGTACTTGTGTTCTTTCGCCTTCAGATAAACACCCTCAGTGGAGTTGTGGGGTCACATGTGTGGGACGTGTGGTCCCAATCTCCCCCTGCTGTGATGGGGTATGGTGGGGGGGGGTGTCACACGGTTGTGCGGCACATTCTGGCTTGCAACGCTCATTGGGATGGTTCCACTGCTGTGCCCACACAAATCTGCCAGCAATCCGCCGGCACCAGGCTCTTGGCAGAGCCGCTGGCACGTGGCACGTTGTGTCCAACGCCCGGTCTCATGCCCATCAGCCATGTCCTGAAACACAGGACCCTCACTCCGTTCCCAACACATCCCTGGCAACGTGTGCTTCTGGGTTACAGCAGCGGCAGGCGGGGAGGGCTGGGATGCCAGGCCCTGAGGTTCCGGGCTGCATTTCAGAGACACGAACGGACAGACAGGAGAGCCACAGATGGACGGATGGGAGAAGCGTCTACGCGGGTCCTCTGCCCGTTTTCTTTCTTTTTAATTTTGCAGGGGGCTGGGACGGGGGGATCACACCTAGTGATACTCAAAGGTTACTCCTGGCTCTGCCCTCAGGAATGACTCCTGGCGGTGCTCAGAGGACCCTATGGGGTGTTGGGGATCGAACCCGGGTCACCCGTGTGCCAGGCCAATGCCCTCCCCACTGAACTATCACTCCAGCCCTTCTGCCCATTTTCTAAGACACTGCTTTTGTTGTAGATGCTGAATTGTTGACATATTCTGATGTGAACCACCCCCTCCTTTTATTTTTATGTTACTTTTGCCTTTTTGGGTCACAGCTGGCGATGCTCAGGGGCTACTCCTCCTGGCTCTGTACTCATTGGTGCTCAGGGGACCCTATGGGGTGCCGGGGATCGAACCCGAGCTGGCTGTGTGCAAGGAAAATGCCCTCCCTGCTGTACTGTCGCTCTGGTTCCCCTGCTGTTTTTATTTTTTTTAGACTTGGTTGATTGAGGTTCTGTGATGGACAACACTGTTACTGATGGCTTTCTGTGTGCGCCATTCTAATACCACACCCCTCACCAGTGCACCCACTTTCCCAAGGGCCTGCCCCGCCCCGCCCCTTCCTACTCAGATGTGTGGGCCAGTTCTCCTGCTGTGCTGAGCTTTTGCCCTTCCTTGCTCCCTCCCTCGCTGTGTTATTTCGAAGTCCCAGGCGTGGAGTGGGGGTGTCGGTCTGTGTCTGTCCCTGGCCTCTGACGTCACCCAGCAGGGCACCACCAACCCCAGCCATGAGGTGGCAACCTGCACGACTGTGCTGTGCCAGAGAGCTGTGCGCTGACCGCGGCTTCTCCGTCCGCTCACCCCTCTGGGGACAGAGTCTGTGGAAGCCATTTCCCCCATGCCAGGCGTCTGCTGTCTTCTCCTTCTGTTGCCGGCTTCCTTTTCAGCTCCAGGTTCTTGTTTGGTTTTATTTTGCTTTGGGGGCCACACCTGGCGCGGCTCCAGGGCCCAGAGCAGGGGGGAGTCCCCCTGAAGCGCCTTCCCGGCCCTTGTCCACACCTTTCTTCACTGGGCAGCAGCTTCTGCACTCGTGGGCGCCCCGTCTCACTCATGCTCCTGATTTTGGTCCTGAAGCAGAGTCAGAGATGCCCCCCAGCCGCTGGCTGCCGGCTGTGAGCAGAAGCTGAGATGCCGACAGCGCCTGATCCTGCCTGGCAGCCTGTGGATTCCTGTTCCCAGGACTTCGGTTGGAGCTTTCAGCTTCGTCTCTTCTGCCGGCTCAAACCAGCAGCTGGCATGACCCCATCAGAGCCCAAAATGGCCAGAGAGGAGCCAGAGAGCCTGGCTTGGAAGTCACCGGTCCCCAAGGCCAAGAAACCCGGGAGGAAACTACCAACCCCAGTCCCCGAGAAAGCCACAGGGGGTGTCCGAGGTACCTCCCTGCCCCTCACCAACAGCCCAGCCGCCCCTACACTGAAGGCCCGCTTCCAAAGTCTGCTGGAAACTGCCTGGCTCAATGGCTTGGCACTGCCCACGTGGGGCCACAAGGCCCAGGGGCCAGACCAGACTGCTCTCCGTGCTCCCATGCTGGGCGGCCAGGGTCATCCCCTGTAGCTCGGGACGCCAGTGCTGTTCCACAGCTGACTGTCGGGGTCACTGCACAGCTGGTCCCAGGGGCAGGAGGGCCCCGTCTTGGGGTGCCCTGACCCTGGAGCTGCCTCACTGATTCTGCAGTGACATGAGTGGGGAAAGGCAGGCATCCCTAGCCCTTCCTAGCCTTCCACCCTGTAAGTGGGTCAAAGAGGAAAGAAAGGGAGCAGGAGGGAGGTTGGGCTGAGGCAGACGCTGGCCAGGAGTGGGTGGGAGGGATGAGTGGGGGGAACGGGCACTGCCCTGGCCCGCAGCGCCTCTCATGCCCTGTGAGGCCATGCCGGGCCCTCGGTGACATCCAGAACATTCTGGGGTGCTCCAGGGGAGAAGAGCACACAAAATTGTTTCCCAGTGACTGACCCGGCCCGCTGGGATGGCAGGACCACGCAGGAACAAGATGTGACCACCAGGGGGCAGCCTGGGGCTGAGCGTGGACAGGCTGGCTGGCTGGCAGTGGGGAGGGGGCACCCCGGGGAGGAGAAGCAAGGGAGTTGGGGGGTCAGGAGGTGAAGTGAACAGTGTCTAATCTGCACCTTGACCTTCCTCCACCCAGACCAGCGCCTGTCCTGCCCGACAGAACCCTGGCCGGAGACCAGGGGTCTTGGACCTTCCTACGCCCACACGCACCAGCGCTCTGGAACCTAGGGGTGGGAGTCCACTGCCCGGCCCCAGATGACACTGAAACTGCCCTTCCGTGCTGGAAAGAAAAAGGCTGGGCTGGAGCGACAGACAGTCCAGTGGAGAGGGCACTTGTCACCCGCGCAGCCGACTGGGTTTGATCCCAGCATTCCGTACCAGTCCCCGAGCGACCCGAGTGCAGGGAAAGAAAAGGGCCCAATTATTCTTGTTTTGGGGCCACGCTGGTGCCGCTGGGTCTAGTCCTGGCCGCTCCCCCAGCAGTGCTGGGGCGTGAACCCGGGACTCACGCTTGGAACAGTGAGTAGCTTGGTGGGTGTGTGTGTGTGTGGGAGGGGGCAGGTGAGGAGCACCAGCACCCAGGAAGCCCCTTCTGAGGCTCCGGGGCCACAGACTGCCCTGCTCAGGTGCTCTGTGCTGGTCCTGGTCTGGTCTGCTGTGTAGACCGGCACACCCAGCGGGGTCAGGGAAGACTCCAGGCTTTGTGCTCAGTGATCACGCTTTGCGAAGCTCAGGTTCAGGCTTCATACACGGTGTCAGGAATTGAACCCGGGTTGGCCCCATGCAAGGCAAACGCCCTCCCTGCTGTGCCACCGCTCAGCCTCCACCTGAACATCCCATTCCTCTCCCGAGCCCACTGCACTGAGTCTGTTCCACGGGGGCACCAGGGGTCAAACCCAGGGTCTCAGGCAGGCGAGCTGGGCCACATCCCTGACACAGCTGCCTGTTTTAATTAGGTCGTTTGCATTTTGACTGTTTGATTTTGATTTGGGGGCCATACCTAGCAGTGCTCAGAACTGAGTCCTGGTTCTGTGCTTGGGGATCACTCCTGGCTGTGCACGGGGACCCTGTTCAGTACCAGGGATCGAGTCTGGTCAGCTACATGCAAGGCACCTGCCTGATCCGCCATTATCTCTGGCTCCTGGATCCTGGAATATCTTCCTCTTCCTCCTCCTCCTCCTCCTTTATCATTCTGGGGCCACACCTGGCAGTGCTCAGGGCCTACTCCTGGCTCTGTGTTCAGGGATCATTCCTGGTGACACTTCGGGACTGTTTTTTCCCTCCTCCTTCTCCTCCTCCTCTTCTTCTTCCTCTTTATTTTTTTTTTTGTTGTTGTTGGGGAAACATCTGGCTCTCCTGGGGGGACTGTGGGGATCCTATGGGATGCCCGGGTTCGAGCCTGAGTCAGCCACATGCAAGGCAAGCACCCTCCTGACTGGATGATTGCTCCGGCCCCTGATGATGAAGACAAGTCTTTTTCTTTTGTTTTTTTGGGCCACCTCGATGACGGAGCTCAGAGATCACTCCTGGAGCTGCTCGGAGACTTGATGTGGTGCCCAGGATCGAACCAGGATCAGCCATACACTAATTTTTTTTTGGGGGGGGGGTTGGGGTTAGGGTTTGGAGACTACATCTGGGAATCTCAGGATTTACTCCTGTTCTGTGCTCAGGTATCACTCCGGCGGGGCTTGAGGGCTCACATGGATGCAGACATTCAACTCAGTCAGCCTTGGGCAAGGCAAATGCCCTCCCTACTGTCCTACTACTCCAGCCCTGCACTTTCTTTTCTTTTTCTTTTTCTTTTCTTTCTTTTCTTTTCTTTTTTGCTTTTTGGGTCACACCCAGCAATGCACAGGGGTTACTCCTGGCTCTGCACTCAGGAATTACTCCTGGCAGTGCTCGGGGGACCATATGGGATGCTGGGAATCAAATACGGGTTGGTCACCTGCAAGGCAAATGCCCTACCTGCTGTGCTATCGCTCCAGCCCCCCTGCCCTGCACTTTCTATACTTTCTAAGTAACTTTAAGGGACAGGCTGCACAGGACAGGATTGGGGGAGCATTTTTTGTTTGTTTTGGGGTCCCACCTGGTAGTTTTAGGGGCAAGGGCCTACTCAGCTCAGTGTTGGAGGTTCCCCACGGAGCTCAGGGATCATGCAGTGCCGGGATTGAACCTTGGGCCTTGGGCATGCAAAGCCTAAGCTCAGCTTGGAGAGCTCATTCTCTGGTTCCTGGGGGAATATATTAGAATACACAAAAATTAGAATATTTACTAGATAAACTCAAATAAAAGATCCCCTGACACAGGTAAAATTCACGGATGCCTAAAGTTTAGGTGAGGGGCTGGGGTGATAGCACAGCGGGTAGGGCGTTTGCCTTGCACGCGGCTGACCCGGGTTCGATTCCCAGCATCCCACAGGGTCCCCTGAGCACTTCCAGGAGTAATTCCTGAGTGGAGAGCCAGGAGTAACCCCTGAGTATCGCCAGATGTGACCCCAAAATAAAAATAAATAAAAAATAAAATTTAGGTGAAACTGATTTTTTTTTTTGAGGTGGGGCCCACCCTGCGATGCTCCAGGCTGACTCAGAGCTCTGCACTCAGGGGTCATTCCTGGAGAGGCTTGAGGAGACCATGTGGGGTGCGGAGGATTGAATTCAGGTCAGCCACGTGCAAGGCGAGCACCGTCCCCGTGGCTCCGGCCCCGAGACGAAATCTCTCTGATGGCTGTTACGTCTTTCCCTCTTCATGAAAATATGCTGGAGTCCAGCTACATGGATGGGATCTTTATTCGTCCTCTCTGATTTTCGGATGGGTGGCAAGAAATGGAAATCTTCATGACAAGACAAGTAGTTTTTGGAGAAGAAAATGATTACAGCCTGGTCTTACCTGCCGTATCGTATTGGTAGTAATTGGGCTCTTCTGACTCTTTCTTGACCGACATGGCTGCTGCTTTCAGAGACAAGCCTGTGAAGGTGATAGAAATGGAAAAATAAATAACTAAATAAATCAATCAATTAGGGGCTGGAGCCACAGCACAGCGGGGAAAGCGTCTGCTTTGCATGTATCCGACCCGGGTTCGATTCCCAGCATCCCATATCCCCAAGCACCGCCGGGAGTAATTCCTGAGTGCAGAGCCAGGAGGAGCCGAGCACAGACACAGAAAAGGAAAGAAATCACACAATCAGGGGTAGTGATTGTTCCATCAGGAGATTCTTGACGGCTCAGGAAAGAAAGCAGGGGGATGGAATAACTGTTCTGTAAGAGCTGGCAGGCTGTGCCTGTGAAAAGGCAGAGAATGAACACCAAGGATGTGGTGGAAAGCCGCAGAGTCACCCCAGGCCCCAAGAAGCACAGAGAGGCAAACGCCACCATCCCACAACTGGGTGAGCTGGAGTAAATGCAACGGCTGGCCCTGAGCTCTGGCTCCTGGGGACGGGTGCAGGTGCTCCGAGCAATTTCAGAACTCGGGGGGGGGGGGGCGTTTCGAAAGGGGAAAGTGACCGGGTGAAGAGGAGCAGCGCTGGGCCAGCTAAGCGTGGAGCCAGGGGCTCAGGTCACATCTGCTGAGGGCTTTGAAAAGGAGGCTCTCGGGGCTGGAGCGATAGCTCAGCGGGTCGGGCGTTTGCCTTTCACACGGCCAACCCGGGTTCGATTCCCAGCATCCCATATGGTCCCCTGAGCACTGCCAGGAGTAATTCCTGAGTGCAGAGCCAGGAGTAACCCCTGTGCATTGCTGGGTGTGACCCCCCCAAAAAAAAGAAAGAAAGAAAGAAAGAAAGAAAGAAAGAAAGAAAGAAAGAAAAGGAGGCTCTGGGCACAAACTCGAAAAGCAAAGCGGGTTGGCTGGAGGTTGGTGGCCAGATGTGACTCTCTGGGAGGGTCTGATGTGCTAGATGGGAACCAGTCCCCGGCTCCCCCAACCCAAGGGTCTGGGCAGGGGCCCCCAGGACTGAGAGGCTGAAAGCCCCCACCCCATGCCAGCCGCACCCCCAACCAGGTACAAGTGCTCCCCAGATGTGGCGGAAGCAGGATTCGCCTGCCGACCCCGAGGAGCCTGCAGGCAGCTGGAAGCCATTGGCAGCCCCAGCCAGAGACAGCCGCTAATGAGGAGCAGGTTTGATCAAAGCGGCCCTGGGGGGTGGGGGGTGGGGGGTGGGGCTGCCAAGGCTGTGGTGGGTCTCAGGAAGGTGGAAGACAGCTGTTGAGGAAGGCGGTGTTTGGGGGAGGTGCTGAGACCCCCTCTCCCCAGTGGCCTCCCTAGGTTCTGCTGGAGCCTCGGCTCTGTGGAGGGCCCAGCTGGGCTGGCCTCAGGCTCGGGCCCTGCGCTCCCCTCCTCCCCTCCCCCCCACAGGAGCCTGGACTGTCTGTGAGGGTGGAGCTGCCCTCTGCTTACAGACGGGGAGGGGTCACAGCATGCGGTGTGAGGGGGGAGGAGGCTGGCCTCTACCCCCCCCCTCCCCCCGGCAGGGGAGGCTCAGTTCTGGGAGGCCACTATCCAACCCGCTCGTGCCAGGGGCCACAGCCCCCTCCTCTCTTCCCTTCCTGTTTTTGGGGCCACCCCAGAGGTGCTGGTGGCTTACACCTGGCAGGCTCAGGGGGCCAGATGGGGGGGGGGTCAGGAATCGAACCCGGGTCGGCTGCATGCAAGGCCAGCACCCTCCCTGCTGTACTATCTCCCCGGCTCGTTTCTCCTTTAATAAAACAAAAAAGAAACTGGGGCCAGACTAGAGTATGGGGTTCCGAAGTTCTGGCTCGCACGCGTTCAAGCCTGGCACTGCCGGAGGTAAGCCCTGAGCACAGCGAGTGCTGAGGGGGGTCTCAGCACCTCCCCCAAACACCTCACCCCCACGCCCCCCCAAAAAAGGAATCAGACAACAACCCAACACATGCTGGGTCCGGAAAGTGTGGGTGCACATACCGGAATCTTCCATGGGCTCCGTTTTCACGTTGATGGAGCCGCAGCTGCAAAGGGGGAGGAAACCCAGGTGAAGACGGGCCAGAGGGGCCGGTCCCCCACTTCCAAGCCAGCTTCACTGAGCCCCTTTACGGACGCCCTGCCCCCAGCCCCCGAACCCACCAAACACCAAAGTGCCTCCTGTTCCTCTCAACCTCCTCGTCCCAGGTGACCCAATGAAGAGCTTCAGGGGAAGGGAGTCACCACCGACATCCATGTGAAAACGAACATGGATGAAGCAAGGCAGGGAAGCAACCCAGGGCGGCAGGCGGCTCTGCAGGTTTGAGCCCCAGTCCCACACACAGGAAAAATAAGAGCAGCGTGGGGGCCGGAGCGTTAGGACAGCGGAGAGCGTGTTTGCTTTGCAAACAGCCAACCTGGGTTCGATCTCCAGCCTCCCAGAGGGTCCCCTGAGCACTGCCAGGAGTGAATCTCAAGTGCTGAGCCAGGAGTAAACCATGAGCATCGTCGGGTATGACCCAAAAAAGGCAAAAAAAAAAAAATTAATTAAAAATAGAGCTGGAGCGAAAACACAGCAGGTAGGGCGTTTGCCTTGCACGCGGCCAACCCAGGTTTGATTCCCAGCATCTCATATGGTCCCCCGAGCACCACCAGGAATAATTCCTGAGTGCATGAGCCAGGAGTAACCCCTGAACATCACCAGGTGTGACCCAAAAAGAAAAAAAAAAGCAGTGAATGAAGCCTCTAGACCGCAGGTGGATAGCTGGAGGAGGGACAGAGACGATGTCCCCCGCCTCCATCCCTGGCACCACATGGTCCTGGAAGCCCCCGAGCACTGTGCCAAGAGCAACCCTTTGGTTTGCTCTTCGAGCCTGGGTTCTCCCCTGTACATGTGTCTCATTGGCTTGTCCCTATGCCTCTGTTTGCTTTCTCCGTACCGGAGAAGACTGTTCTCTCCTGAACACGAGCTTCTTTTCTCCCTCTCCCCTTGCGCATCTTTCTAAGTAAGTTTTGTCCAATAAAAACTACCTTGAGGCTGGAGAGATAGCACAGTGGGTAGGGTGTTTGCCTTGCACGCGGCCGACCCGGGTTTGATCCTCAGCATCCCATATGGTCCCCTGAGCACCGCTAGGAGTAACTCCTGAGTGCAGAGCCAGGAGTGCATCCCTGTGCATCACCGGGTGTGACCCAAAAAGCAAAAATAAAAAAATAAAATAAAAACTACCTTGCTTCAGGGGCTAGGGGGATAGCACAGCGGGCAGGCACTTCCCTTGCACACGTCTGGCCCCAGTTTGATCCCCAGCACCCGTCCACTTCCCTGAATACTACCAGGAGTGATCCCTGAGTACAGAGCCCGGAGCAAGCCCTGAGCACTAGTGAGTATGGCCCAAACACAAAACCAAAACCAACAAAACCCTAAAATCAAAACAAAAGAACTCGAAAGACAAATAAAAGCTATCTTGCTCCACACACACATGCCCACGCGCACGCACACACACACACACACACACACACACACGTAACCTGTGTGGGGCCAGAATAATAGGACAGTGGGGAGGGTGCGTGCCTTGCACATGGCTGACCCGGGCTCGATTCCTGACATCCCACAGCTTAGACAAACCAGCAGCAAACACGTCCACGGGCAGCGTCTCTGCAGTGGACAAGTGAACATTGCCCCTGTCGCAGCCTTACCTCTCTCGGGGTGATGCCACGGAGCTCTGGGGCGCTGACCCCCCATCGGGGTCATCTGCGGGAGAGACAGACACACAAACCCGAATGCTGTTCTGCTCCCGAACGGGACTCAGAGCCAGGCCAGGGCCAGAGCCGCTGAGTCACCAGGACCTCTGGGCCTCAGGCCAGGTCCCTGGCCACTCACGGAAAACTACAACCTCCCGGGGCCTCAGTTTCCCCTTCAGGACACGATGGTTGGGGACCACAGTGCCCGTGGGTGGAGCTGTGAGTGCCCTCCGGGGCCGCTCTCCAGATCCGCTCTCCTGCCCCTCCCCTCCGGGGGACCCCCACTTGGGGAAACCCACCCTGGGCCTCACGTAACTGGAGCTTTGAGGTAGGCAGGTGCCTGACTCCATTCTGGAACAATCTTCTCGGAAAAGAAGAGGTGATTGGGGGTGTGAGGGGGAGGAGGGTCCAGTGCTCCCCGAAGCTTCTGTCCCACTAGCTCCTGGGTCCGAGACTTGGCTCCACGAAGCCCTTCTGTGTGACCCCATGGAAGCCCCTCCCTCCGGCCTGCGGGGAAACCCTGCAGCCCCCTAAGAACAGGGGGTCACCCCCACTGAACAGGCTCACCCCTCATCCAGCACGGTGGTCTCAGGAGCCCAGCAGAGCTGCACCTCTGGGAGCAGAACCCCACAGAGCTGGCCAGCCCCGGGGGGCAGGGTCATGGGTCAAAGGCCATGAAGCTGCAAGACACCCCCCCCCCAACTCTGCCGGATGGGAGGTAGCTCCTGCTCCCTGGCCGGGCACCCCGGGAGGAGTGGGGGGCAGTGGGGAGGCCAGCACTTACCCAGCCGAGTGCCGGGGCCCAGGAAAGATCTGTAAGAAAACCAAAGTGTGAGCCCTGGGGGCCACCAAGACGGGGCGGGCTCGGGGGGGGCCGGCGGCGGGGGCTTCGCACCTGTTGATGACGATGGAAATGCCGGCTTTGTTCTCCACGATCCACCGAAGCGTCTCCAGGTCGTAGTTCTTGGGGGGCTGCAAGGTGACTGCTGGGGGGAGCCCCTGCACCGTCAGGGCCGCGCCTTCTCCCAGCGCCTGCTCGTAGGGGACGGGCACAGGTGCCAGCACCCCCAAGGCTCGCCCTGCAAGGACAGGCCACAGGACCCTGAGACACAGACGGGTCACGGCTCCTCCAGAGTTCCCCGAGACAGCCCTGTGCCCCCTTCATCCCCCAAAGGCTCAGAGGAGTCACTGGCAAAGTCTGACGTTAGAGGCTGGGTCAGGGAGAGCCTGGGCTCCTTCCGGGTACCCAGAGGAGGAGGGAGAAAGACAAGGGAAAGAGAGGGGAGAGTTTCTCTGTGGTCGCCACCGGTCGGAGAGCTCCAGCCCTCGGCTTGCCCGAGTCAGGGCCTGGCTGCCCCAGCTCACGTTACCCCCATACTGGCTCCTGTTCTGCTCTGCGGGTCAGCCCCCAGGAGACCCCTGGAGTCCAGCACTCACAGGAAGCGGGAGGTACCAGCGACGAGCAGGTTGTCCAGGGACGGAGACGGGCCCAGAATCAGGGTCCCTGGCTCTCAGGCCTGCCCAAAGCCCCTGGATGAATCCCAAGTCCCTCTCCCAGGTGTGGAGAGATGCGGGGAGAGGTTGGAAACAGTGTGTGCTGGGGTGCAGGGTCGGAGATGGGGTGCACGGACATCTTTAAGTAGACGCTCCAGCTCAGAGTGAGTGAGGAGGTTCTTTTGGGGGTCTGGGAACGCAGACACAATTCATCTGCCTGGAGACTGGGAGGGGCGCTGGGCCACACCGAGGGGGGCTCCTGGTTTAAAAATACAATCTCGGGGCCAGAGGAGCAGTACAGTGAGGAGGGCGTCTGCCTGCACACACTGTCTCAGCTTTGTGGCCAAGGCCTCCAGCAGTGACCCCTGAGTGCAGAGCCAGGAGGAAGCCCCGAGCACTGTCCAAACGAAAACAAAACAAAAGCTACCAAAAATATTTCCTTTCAGGGGCTGGAGCAATAGCATAGCGGGTAGGGTGTTTGCCTTGCACGCGGTCAACCCGGGTTCGATTCCCAGCATCCCGTATGGTCCCCTGAGCACCGCCAGGGCTGATTCCTGAGTGCAGAACCAGGAGTAACCCCTGTGCAGCGCCAGGTGTGACCCAAAAAAGCAAAAAAAAAAAAATTTCCTTTCAAATAATAAGGGAAACCTGTTACTGCGAGGCACATGGAACAAGGCTTAGGGTTGGAAGTTGCTCCCCTAAACTGGGCGGAAGACATGACTTGGAATGCGGAGCACAGCCCTTACCTGCCGTGGGCAGAATTCCATCCTCGGTACTGCTGGGAGTGACCCGAGCATCATGCCAGGTGCAGCCCCTCAGTGCCACCTAATGTGCCCCTCCCCCCCAAAAAAGGGGAACAAATATTAAAATCTAATCCTCCTGGCTGTCTGGAGGCACAGAGGCCATCTGGCCACCTCCCGTGATGATGTCCAGGCTTCGCTGGCACCAAGCTGACCCTTGGATGGCTGAGAGGCCGGAGCAACAGGACAGCGGGGAGGGCGTCTGCCGTGCTCGGGGCTGGCTCAGGTTTGATCCCTGGCATCCCATATGAACCTCCAAGCATGCCAGGAGTAAGCCCTGAGAGCAGAGCCAGGAGTAACCCCTGAGCACTGCTGGGTGTGGCTCAAAAATCCAATACTAATAAAATTTAAATTAAAAAATAAAACAAAACACAGGAGACACAGTCTTGAACCTAAAACAGTTGGAGCAGGGGCCCAAAGGCAGGAGTATACGCTCTGCATGGAGGGACACTGGTTCTGATGCTGGACACCACCTGGACCCTTGAGCATTGCCTGGAGCCAGGAGTGGCCTTTGAGCACCACTGGCTGTGGCCCTCCCAAACCACAATAAAAAAAGCTTAATGATGGTGGTAGGAAGATGCATGGTGGTGGGATTGGTGTTTGCATATTAACTGCAATGAACTATTGTGAACAACTTTATAAAAATAAAATTAAATTTGAAAAAGAAATAAAATAAAACTTACAAACAGGGCAAAGGGGCCAGCACAACTGCACGGTGGGTAGGGCGCCGGCGTGCATGCAGCCAACCTGGCTCAGCCTCGGGCAGCCCATATGGTCCCCTAAGTAGCACCAGGAGTCAAGGAGTCATTCCTGAATGCAGGGCCAGGAGTTACCCCTGAGCGCCACTGGGTGTGGCCTCAAAACCTAAACAAAACTTTATTTATTTATCCATTTATTTGCTTTTTGGGTCACACCTGGAGATGCACAGGGGTTACTTCTGGCTCTGCACTCAGGAATTACTCCTGGCGGTACTCGGGGGACCATACCATATGGGATGCTGGGAATCGAACCCGGGTCGGCTGCATGTAAGGCAAAAGCCCTATCTGCCGTGTTTTCGCTCAAGTCCCTAAATAAAACTTTAAAAATAGGGTAAGAGCGATAGTCCAGCAGGGAGGGCATTTGTCTTGCACTCGACTGACCCGGGTTTGATCCCCGGCATTCCGTTTAGTCCGGTAAGCCCGGTCAGGAGTAATTCCTGAGCACAGAGCTAGGAGTAACCCCTGAGCACCACAGGGTGTCACACACACACACACACACACACACAAGAATAAGGTAAAGGTAAAGGTAAAGGCCCTCCCGTTGATCGTCGATTTGCTCGAGCGGGCCCAGTAACGTCTCCATTGGAGACTTTGTTGTTACTGTGTCTGGCATATCGAATACTCTCGGTAGCTTGCCGGGCTCTCCGAATAAAGAATAAATAAGATTTAAAAAAACAAATGAAACTTTTTTTTTTTGGGTCAAACCTGGCGATGCACAGGGTTACTCCTACCTGGCTCTGCACTCAGGAATTATTCCTGGTGGTGCTTGGGGGACCCGATGGGATGCTGGGAAGCAAACCCAGGTCAGCCGCATGCAAAGCAAACGCCCTACCCGCTTTGCTATCACTCTAGCCCCCAAACAAAATTTTTAAATAAGGCTGTGTGTCGGAGCCAGCAGCATGCGTCTGTTGGGCCATTTGGCCGTTACCGTAGCTGGAGCGGAAGTGGTCCTCCACGGCCTTCTGGAGAGCGTCCCTTTCCCCTGCGTCCATGGGCTTCTCCTCAGCGGGCAGAGTCTCTGGCAGCCCCTCTGCCGTGCCTGGAAGGGAGTGAGGGGCACAGTCAGCCAGTAGGGCCCCACTGGGGTAGGGATGGGTCCAAGCACAGGACAGTCCTCAGAGAGGAAAATCAAACCAACATCAAACCAACCAACCCAGTGCGAAGGGCTCTGACAGGCGTCCCCGGACACAGGGCTGTCAAGGACCCAGCCACAGGAAGGGGTCTTTGAACAAACGTTCCCCACCGTGCAGTCGAAAAAGCAAGAGTGAAGCTGGGGAGACGGACGAGGGTCAGGGTGTTTGCCTTGCAGGCACCAGGCCCGGTTTCACCCCTGACACCCCACTCCCGGACACTACCCCAGCCCCCCCAGCATGTCCTCTGGCCACACTGGTTTGCAGAGAAGATCTCCAGGAGAAGCCCCAGGGTTCTCTGGGCGTGACTTGGTGGAACCCTCTCTCCCCACCAAAATGTGACAGTTGGGACCAAAGCCGTAGTACAGCAGGGAGGGCAGTCGCCTTGCAAACGGCCAACTCAGATTCCATCCCCGGCATCCCACAGGGTCCCCTGAGCACCGCCAGGAGTCATTCCTGAGTGCAGAGCCAGGAGGAACCCCTGAGTATTGCTGGGTGTGGCCCCCAAACAAAAAACCATATATGGTCCTCAAGCCTGTCCAAGTGCCCTCCCCCCAAAAGTAGAGCCAGAGATAGAATCCAGCTTTGCACATAGCCAACCTGAAGTCGATTCCTGGCACCCCACAGGGTCTCCTGAGCCAGCCAGGAGCGATCCCTGCAGGCAGTACCGGGGGTGAGCCCAGAGTATCGTGGCACGTGGCCCAGAAACAAAGACAAAGATAAAAATGGCAGAAAGGATGAGGCTGAAGTGATAGTACAGTGGGGAGGGCATTTGCCTTGCACGTGGCCCACCCGGGTTCGATTCCCAGCATCCCATAGGGTCCCCCGAGCACCGCCAGGAGTAATGCCTGAGTGCATGAGCCAGGAGTAACCTCTGAGCATCGCTGGGTGTGCCCCAAAAAAAAGAAAGGCAAAAAGGTGAGTGTCTCTGTGTGCAGGACCGAGCACCCCTCAGGACCAGCCTCTCCCCTCCCCCGCTCCCCCATTCAGCAACTAGCGTGGAAAGTCTCCTGGGGGAAGGTGGGGTGCACTGGCCGGGACAGTGAGGCAGGGAGGCTCCTGAGGACAAGGAGGTGTCCTGAGGGTAAGGGGCGGGGCCAGGGGGGCAGGGACAACTTCGGAAGAAGCAGGTTCCATCCCTGAGGAGCCTCAGACACTGGCAGGGGTCAGGTGGCCAGGCCATGGCAGAGAGCAGCCTCTGGGGTCCAGGGCGCCCACCCCTGGCTGGATGTAGCAAAGAAGCCACTTCTGGGTCTGAGGACCCCCAAGAGGGAAGGGGCGGGGGAACGACTGAATTCATCCAGGAAGCTCCCTTCTGTGACCCGGTGGGGTTGAGGGGGGAGGTTCTGGCTGCAGGAAGCAGGAGGTCCCCAAACCCTCTCTCACCACAGCTCCAAGTGGTGAGTGGCGGGGAGCCCACTGGACGCAGGGAGCCAACACACCAGCAGTCAGCAGGGAGTTGAAGCCACGGTGGGGGGTGGGGGGTCACCCCGAGCAGAGGAGCCGTAACGGGGTGACTCCCCCAGAACATGGTCCCTCAGCTGTCTTCCATGGTGGAAGCAAAGGTGAACAGTTGTCGGGGGAGATGGGAGCCGCGACGCCCCAATGCCCGGCAAACTCGGCGGGTTTCCCTCTGAGAACTGGTCAGTTCAGCTCTGAGAAGGAGACATGCAGGAAACGGGTCCTGCCTGGTCACTTTCTGGCTGCGGCTGCTCCCGGGGAAGGAGCCACCAAAGTGGGCAATGATGCCCTCACCCAGTCAGGGTCACCCAGGGCTCAGGACACCAGAGCTGGGGGTTTCTGTGCTCTGAGACGTGGAGACGGCCGAGGCAGGGGCACAGGTTTTGCGTGCAGGAGACCCCGGGACAAACCTCAGCACCAAACACTGACAGAGGAGCCACAGCACAGTGGGGAGGGCGTTTGCCTTGCACATGGCCAACCCAGGTTCAACCCCCAGCATCCCCTAGGGTCTCCTGAGCACCACCAGGAGTAATTCCTGAGTGCAGAACCAGGAGCAATCCCTGAGCACCAACGGGTGTGGCCCAAAAAGCCAAAGCTGTAGCCCCCTCCAAAAAAAAAAAACCACTGATAGGGGCTGGAGCGATAGCACAGCGGGTAGGGCATTTGCCTTGCACACGGCTGACCCGGGTTCAATTCCCAGGATCCCATATGGTCCCCTGAGCACTTCCAGGAGTGATTCCTGAGTGCAGAGCCAGGAGTAACCCCTGAGCATCACCGGGTGTGATCCAAAAAAGCAAAAAAAAAAAAAAAAAACAAACCAAAAAACCACTGACAGAAGTGACCTCAGACACAAACAACAACAGAGAGGCACCACAGGTCATCACTCAAACCCATGAAGGGGAAAGACAGTGCATTGCTGGTGGAGCCACCCCATGCCCGGGCCCCCGCAGCTCTTGAGGCCAGGATGGGCAAGAAGCCAAGCCATAGGCCCAGAGAAGAAAGAGCGGGTCCGGCCCCTGCCACTCCTCACCTCAAACCCTCAACACCAGCTGACTAGAGATGGCCGGGGATAAATGCTCACGCCAGAGGCTGGAGCAATACCACAGCGAGAGGGCGTTTGCTTTGCACGCAGCCAACCCGGGTTCAATCTCCAGCATCCCATGTGGTCCCGCGAGCACCGCCAGGAGTTAATTCCTGAGTGTACAGCCAGGAGTCACCCCTGAGAACCGCTGGGTGTGACCCAAAAAAAGCAAAATAAATAAATAAATAAATAAATTAAAAGTTCACGCCAGTCGAGCAAGGCCCATGACGCGAATCCACCAAAAAATCCTCCCCACTTCCAAGGAGACAAACACAACCTCTTCAGGAGTCACAGCATGGCAGGGGGCAAGCCTGCTGTGCACGCGCCCTATGGCGCCCTATGGACCCGTTAGGGGCAACTCCTGAGCACTGCTGGGTGTGGCCCCCAGACCAAAACAAACAAAAAAGGATCTAGTCCCATGTTGTAGAAAAGCATGGCAGAAAAGCACGGACCTGCCAGGAGAAAGTTTACAAAACACTGTGGGCCAATAACTGGACCAGAATGAGGAAGCCAACTAATGTCAAAGGGCTGGTCTCCCAGCAATACCACTCCTGGGAATATATCCCAGAGAGGCAAAAAAGTACAGTCGAAGTGACTTTTGCACTTGTTTGTTCATTGCAGCACTGTTTACAATAGCCAGAATCTGGAAAAAAAACAGAGTGCCTGAGAACAGATGACTGGTTAAAGAACTTTGATACATCTACACAATGGAGTACTATGTAGCTGTTAGAAAAGATGATCACAATCACGGTAATCCTGTTGTTCGTCGATTGACTCGAGCAGGCACCAGTAACGTCTCCTTTGTCCTCGCCCTGAGATTTTAAAAAGTGCCATATTCAAGGCTCTTTCAGGGTTAGGAGAATGAGACCCATCATTGTTACTGGTATTGGGCATATTGGGTACGCCACAGGGAGTTTGCTAGACTCTGCCGTGTGGGCAGGTTACATTTGGTAGCCTGCCAGGTTGTCCAAAATAAGAATGAGATAATAAGATGACATCATGAAATTTACATACAAGTAGTCCTACATGGAAAGTATCATGCTAAGCAAAATGAGTCAGAAAGAGAGGAACAGACATAGAAAGATTGCATTCATCTGGGGAACATAAAGTAACAAAATTGGAGACTAACACCCAAGAATAGCCGAGATAAGTACCAGGAGGTTTACTCCATGGCTTGGAGGCCAGTCGCACATGCTAGGGGGAAAGGCAGCTCAGAGAGAGAAGGGAGCACCAAATAAAGGGTGTCGAGATGATTCCCCCAGGATGGGAGATGCATGCTGAAAGTAGACTACAGACCGAACATGATTGCCACTCTGCCACTCGATGCCTCTTTTGCAAACCACAGCACCCAAAAGGAGAGAACAAAAGGGAATGCCCTGCCACAGAGGCAGGGTGGGATGGGGGGATGGGGGGTGGGAGGGATACTGGGATCCGTGGTGGTGAAGAATGGGCACTGGTGGAGGGAGGGATGGGTACTCGATCATTGTATAACTGAAACCCAAGCATAAAAATTTGTAAGTCTACAACTGTACCCCATGGTGTTTCACTAATAAAAATTTAAATAAATAAATAAATAAATAAAACAAAGGGCTGGTCTTCACCCGGCATGTAGACCCCACACTACACAGGCCTGAGACCATGGAACAGCCGTGCTGACGGAGCACCCAACACCGCCAGGCCTGCTCAGCTGGGCTGAGTAACGTGTGTGTGTGTGTGTGTGTGTGTGCATATGTGTACCTGTGCACATGCGCATGTATGCCTGGGTATGCATGTGTGCACATGTGTGTCCCAAGCCCCAAGCACCCCAAGCACACAAGTCCCCCTCAACAGACTTCACATCTTATGTCGACAGAGAGAAGGGGATGGGGAGGTCATTTTCTTTTTATTTATTACTCTTTATTAAAATTTTTTGGGTTTGGTTTTTGGGGGCACATCCAGCCTCGAGCAGAGCTGACTCCTGACTCTGTGCTCCTTCCTGGTTGGCTGGGGGACCCTATGGGATGCTGGGGATTAAACCTGGGATGGCCATGTGCAAGACCAGTGCCCTCTAACCCACACTATCTCTCCAGGCCCTTGGCAATACACTCCACCTCAGATGTTCATTGAGACCATTTACATCAATTAACAGTTAAGAGTGAAAGATGATTCATTCTGTCGGTATCTTTATTTCATTTCATTATAGGTTTGTTTGTTTGCTTGCTTGCTTGCTTTTTGGGTTTTTGGGTCACACCCAGTGATGCACTGGGGTTACTCCTGGCTTTGCACTCAGAAATTAACTTCTGTCGGTGTTTGGGGAACCATATGGGATGCTGAGAACTGAACCTGGGTCGGCCGCGTGCAAGGCAAATGCCCTCCCCGCTGTACTATGGCTCCAGCCCCTAGTTTTGATTTTAGGTCATACCCTGCAGTGCTGAGACCCAACTGAGAACAGGGGCTGGAGCGATAGTACAGCAGGGAGGGCGTTTACTTTGGGTTATGTTCCCAGAACCCCACATAGTCTCCAGAGCCCTGCCAGAAGTGCAGAGCCAGGAGTAAGCCTTGAGCATCACCAGGTGTGACCCAAAAAGCAAAACAAACAAAAACTGCTGCACGCAAGGCCAAAGCTGGACCCCTGTGCCCTCTCTCTGGCCCCGATTTTGCACTCTTTTTTTTTCTTTTTTCTTTTTTTTTTTGGGTCATACCCAGTGATGCTCAGGGGTTGCTCCTGGCTCTGCACTCAGGGATCACTTCTGGCGGTGCTCGGGGGACCATATGGGATGCTGGGAATCAAACCCAGGTCGGCCGCATGCAAGGCAAACGCCCTCCCGGCTGTGCTATCGCTCCAGCCCCAATTCCGCACTCCTTGAGGCAAGTCTGTAGCTCTGAGCACTGGCCAGCTCTGGTCCCAGTGCCAGGACCATGGGCCACTTCGGGGCCGGCCGGGTCGGGGGAGGCGAACGTGGCCCACTCTAGGATGACGCTCGTGTCTCAGGAGGACACGCTGTGAGTCTGCTCCCCACAACCCTCAAGGCGCCCACACGGGCGGGGCCGCTGGCACCTACAGTAGTGGGCAAAGTCCTTCTGCAGGTCCGTCCTGGCGCTGACGAAGGCGCGTCCCCGCTCGGTGCCCACGACGAACACGTCCGTCTCGTACACGGCAATGCAGGCCACCTCCGCCTTGGACTTGGCCAGCTCCTTACACTGGAACAGAGTGGAGAGTGAGAGGTGAGGGGGGCCCCGAGTCCATGAGGCCGAGGGGTCTGACCTGGGAATAGGACGCAGGGCAGAGGGCAGCGCAGGGGGGGGAGGGGGGGCTGGCGACTGGGTTTCCTTTATTCTTTTTGATTTGGGGGCCACACTTGGCGAAGCTCGGGGGTTACTCCTGACTCTGAACTTGGGGATTGCTCCTGGTAGGGCTCAGGGGACCCTATGAGATGCCAAGAATTGAGCCTGGGTTGGCCGAGTGGAAGGCCCCGCCCCCCCATCCTGTCGTTTCAGCCCTGGGAGCCCCAGATTCCTTCCCTGACTTCCCAAGTTTCCCGAAGCAAGCACCCGGAGTGACCCCGACGTGCAGAGTTGGGAGTAGTCCCTGGGCGCCACTGGGTGTGACCCCCCCCAAAAAAATAAACAGAACACGGGGCCAGAGAAATGGCTCGAAGGGCCCCAGCTCCAACCCGGGCAGCCCAGAGTCCCGAGCATCACTGGCCAGGTGGCCCCCAGCAGTAGCGGGGAAGACAAGCCCCCGCCCTGCAGAGAGAGGAATCTAACCCGCCTGAGCACGGAGAGGGTGAGGGCTGAGTTCCACCCCCTCAACCCCCACCCGGGCCCACACGCATGCACTCGGTATGGGCCCCGCAGAGCGCCTGGGGGCGGGGGGGAACCCGGCAGCCCCGTGGCCGGGCAGGGCCAGCGTCCGTCCACGGCAAGCACCACGCTGAGTCTGTGAGCTGCACAGCCAGAAGTGCACCCCTGGTCAGCGTGCAATCCCATCCCCCGGCAGTGGGTGGGGGCCAGGGCAAAGGGACAGCAGGCAGGGCGCTTGCTCGACCCTAGGCCATCCAGGGGACCTGAGCCTGCTAGGAAAAGAGCCCTGAACAGTAACAGGGGTAGCCCCATAAAAACAGTACAGTGGGAGGTAAGAATGATACCAAGAGGATAAAGAGGGACAGGACGGGGGGTGGGGGGGTAGGGGGGAAGGGGGCGCGATTTAAAGGGGCACCTGCCTAGTATGTTCGATTCCCAGCACCCCATATGGCCCCTGAGCCGACCAGAAGTGATTCCTGAGCGCAGAAACAGGAGTGACCCCTGAAGCACTGCCACAACCCAAAAACCAAAAAACGAGAGGGGGGGGGAGAGAGAGAGAGAGAGAGATAGAGAGAGAAGAGAGGAGAGAGGGAGAGGGAGGGAGAGGGAGAGAGGGAAAGAGGGAGGGAGGGAGGAGAGAGAGGGAGAGGGAGAAAGGGAGAGAGGGAGAGAGGGAGAAGGAGAGAGAGGAGAGAGAATGAGGGAAGAAGGAAGGAGGGAGGGAGGGAGGGAGGGAGAGCACAGGAGCTGGAGCAGTGTAAGTGGCAGGACACTTGCTCTGCAGGTGGGTGACCTGGGTTGGTTTCTGGCACCATGGATGGTCGCAGAGCCCCACCAGGAGTGATCCCTGAGCCAGGAGTAAGCGCTGAGCACAGCCAGGTTTGGCCTCCCCCACCAAAAAAAAAAAGAAAAAGAAAAAAGGAAAACCCACAGAACCTCCTCCTAATTATTAAACCGATGCCCTAGGCCTGAAGCCTAGAGGAAGTTTTGCCTCTGGGGAGGGGCCACACCCCGAGGTGCCAGATTCAAACACCTGTCCCGGCCTCAGCCACATCCAGGACCTGAGCCGCAGCAGAGGATTTCCGTCCGCAGGCCCGGGGAAAAATATGTTTGCTTTCTTTTGGGGGCGACTCCTGGCTCTGTGTTTAGGATGGGACCCACTATACTGGCTCTCTTCTTTTTTTTTTTTCTTCTTTCTTTCTTTCTTTCTTTCTTTCTTTCTTTCTTTCTTTCTTTCTTTCTTTCTTTCTTTCTCATTGGGTGGAGCAATAGCACAGGGGTAGGGCGTTTGCCTTGCACGCAGTGAATATGGCCGATCCGAGTTCGATTCCTCCACCCCTCTCGGAGAGCCGGGCAAGCTACCGAGAGTATCTCGCCGGCATGACAGAGCCTTGCAAGCCACCCGTGACGTATTCGATATGCCAAACACAGTAACAACAAATCTCACAATGGAGATGTTACTGGGCCCGCTCGAGCAAATCGATGAACAATGGGAGGACCGTGACCGTGACCATTGGGTCATACTCGGTGATGCTCAGGGGTTACTCCTGGCTCTGCACTGAAGAATCACCCCTGGCAGTGCTCAGGACACCATATGGGATGCCGGGGATCAAACACGGGTTGGCCGCGTGCAAGGCAAACGCCCTCCCCGCTGTGCTATCACTCCAGCCCGTCCTGTCTCTTCTGAACCTCTCCAACATTCTGATTTATTATAGGTAGCCCCTGTTTGGGTTTCACACTCCCACACTAAACCCAAAAATCAAAACCAAAACAATCCATCAAACCCCCAAAATTCTCCCCCAAAAAAAAAACAGAATTGGGGATGTGGCCGACCGGCAGAGCACTTGTCTTGCACCTGGGCGACCCCCAGGCTCCATCCATGGCACTACACACACACACACACACACACACACACACACACTAAATAAATAAATAAACGGGGGAATCACCCATATTCACAATGCTTGGAATTAACACTATTTACATGATACTGGTTGATTTTTGGGGGTGGGGGGCTTGGGTCACACCCAGCATTGCTCTGGGATTCCTCTAGGCTCTGTGCTCAAGGATCACTCCTGGCAGTGCTCTGGGGGCCATGCACTGTGCCCAGGATGAAGGGCCAGCGCCTGGGCGCCCACACAAAGGCTTCACATGAGAAACAGGCACACATATACATGTATCGATTTCGTTTTCTTTTGGGGTCACACCCGGGGGTGCTCAGGGCTAACTCCCGGCAGGCCCTGGGCACCATAGGGGATGCAGGGGATCAACCATGGGCCAGCCATGGGCCAGGCAAGTACTTCCCTGCCGTTCCCACCTCTCCAAGCCCCACACTTTTTTTTTCTTTTTTGGTTTTTTATTTGCTTTTTGGGTCACTCCCAGCGATGCTCGGGGGTTACTCCTGGCTCTGCAATCAGAAATTAACTCCTGGCAGTGCTCGGGGGACCATCTGGGATGCTGGGAATCGAACCCGGTCAGCCTCATGCAAGGCAAACGCCCTACCCGCTGGGCTATCGCTCCAGCCCCGCCCACACAAGTTTTAACCAACAAAATTGGAATTTCATTACCGCACGCAGGCTGGCATTTTGCTTTATTTTGGAGCATTTATAATCTGGAAGAACCTGATTTGTCCTTCGTAATATGTGTCACCCTACTGGCTCTCAGCCCGGCAGAAAGAAAACTGGGAGAAACTCTGACCTAAGATAAAATCATTTAAATTTTCTTCCTTTCTTTCTTTTTTTGTTTTTGGGCCACACCTGGGAGTCTGGGGGCTGCAGGGCTCTGTGGGGGAGGTGTCGGGTGCCAGGGACCAAACTCGACCCTGTGTAGTCTGGGCATGTGTTCCACCATCCGAGTTCCCTTTCCAGCCCAGAATGTGGTTCTTGCATGAATATACAAATGCTCTATCCTATGCCAACGCCATAAACAAAAACAAAATCACATCTTGACTGTTTGACAGGAAGGGTCCGGCACACCGCCGATGTTTCCAGAGCTGACCGATCTTCTGACATTCTACTCACCAACACTAAAGAGCTCCACTTTGCAGAGACGCAGTATAAATGGCAAAACTATGTTCCGGGCCATTTCAGAACTGGTAGAAGCGCTGACCTGAGACAAAATCATTTAAATTTTCTTTCTTTCTTTTTTGGTTTTGGGGTCACACCTGGCGATGCTCAGGGGTTACTCCTGGCTCTGCACTCAGGAGTCACACTCCTGGCGGGGCTCAGGGGACCCTAGGTGATGCTGGGAATCGAACCCAAGTCGTCTGTGTGTAAGGCAAACACCCTCCCCTGTTCTATCGCTCCTGTTCAAGGGGGCCCAGATTTCATCCCGACACTGCACGGTCTGCTGAGCGTGTGCTGGGAGATCCTTGGACCAACACGGACTTGAGTGCTGGGTCCCACGCCCCGGCCCCTCCAGCATCCTGCCACCCCCTTCCTCTCCCTCTCCTTCATGTGTGTATGTGTGCGGCATTGCCCATAAACCTGCAGGAAAATGAACATTCCCGAGTACCTATAAAGTGTATATAAATGTGTCACTGTTCATCAGACCCATTTGAAAGTGACACCGGTCACTACAATGTCCTTCTGAGATACATCTCTTTTATTATTTTTTTTGAGAGGTGGGGGACCCCTCGTGGTTTTCAGGGCTGACTCCTGGCTCTCCCCGCAGGAATCTCTCCCATCGGGCTCAGGGAACCATACAGGATGCCGGGGATCAAACCCAGGTCGGCCAGCGCAAGGCAAACGCCCTCCCCGCTGCACGACGCTCTGGCCCCCCTCTCTGAGTGACTGGTAACCCTGTCTATTCTCCTTGAACGTTTGATGGAAGATGACTGATACTTTAAATATTATCGAGTATGGGGCCAGAGAAATAGGACAGCGGGGCGGGCACCTGCCTTACTTGTGGCCGACCCAGGTTTGATTCCCAGCACTCCAGATGGTCTCCTGAGCACTGCCATGAGTGACCCGCACAGAGCCAGGAGCCAACCCTGGCACCACTAGGCATGGCCCCCATGCCTCAAAAAACAAAACTAGGGGCTGGAGCGATAGCACAGCGGGTGGGCGTTTGCCTTGCATACGGCCCACCTGGGTTCGATATCCAGCATCCCATAGGGTCATCCCTGACCGCCAGGAGTGATTCCTGAGTGCGGTGCCAGGAGTAACCCCTGTGCATCGCTGGGTGTGACCCAAAAAGCAAAAAACTGAAAACTAAATAAATTCTTAAAAAAAAAAAAACCAAAATTATTGAGTAGGGTTTCTTCTTGTTTTGGGACCACAGGCAACAGTCAGGCTCTGGGGTCCCTCCTGGCAGTGCTCAGGGGACCATATGGAATTCGGGGATTCAGGCCAAAGTCCCTGCATATGAAACAAAGCTCATCCTCCTTGGGCCACACCCTGTGCCGGGAGCCAAAAGATCAGTACAGCCTGACATGCAATTTAGGAATTAATTTCTTCTTGGAAAAATGTCAAAATATGTTGTGTAAGTTTCTGAGCTGTGTCCGAGATAACTGCCACGAGCCTGCCGTTAGGGTTCACACCCTGATTCACTGAACATCTGCATGCTTTGTTAATTCCCCATTTTGCCCACTTCCTCATGTAATCAATGATAAAAAGCTAGCTTGGGAGAAATAAATTTGGAGCTTGATCAGAGTCTTGTCTTGCTCCCATTCTTCTGTCTCTCTTTTTTTCCCACTCGTGCACCCTCTCCCGGTTACCCACGGTGACTAGTTCCATGAGTCGGGGCAACCCTGGATCTCTAAATTTAAGCAAAACTATTCTCAGGGCTAGAGCGATAGCACAGCGGTAGGGCGTTTGCCTTGCACGCAGCCAACATGGCCGACCTGAGTTCGATTCCTCCGCCCCTCTCGGAGAGCCCGGCAAGCTACTGAGAGTATCTCGCCCGCACGGCAGAGCCTGGCAAGCTACCCGTGATGTATTTGATATGCCAAACACAGTAACAACAAAAGTCTCCAAAGGAGACATTACTGGGCCCGCTCATGCAAATCGATGAACAATGGGAGGACAGTGACAGTGACAGTGACATTCTCAGGTAAGACATCAGAGGTGGGGCTGGAGCGATAGCACAGTGGGTAGAGTGTTTGCTTTGCACGCGGCCGACCCAGGTTCGATTCCCAGCATCCCATATGGTCCCCCAGCACCGCCAGGAGTAATTCCTGAGTGCAGAGCCAGGAATAACCCTTAAGCATCGCCGGGTGTGACCCCAAAAAGCAAAAAAAAAAAAAGACATCAGAGGTATCTTCAGGTATGGATTTGTGACATACACACATTAAATATCAAACCTGGGGCTGGAGAGTAGAGAGGGTACTTGCCTACACATGGCTGACCCGGGTTCAATTCCTGGCATCCCATGTGGTCCTCTGAGTCCTGCCAGGAGTGATCCCTGAGCACAGAGCAAGGAGTGAGCCCTGAGCACCCCCGGGTGTAGCCCATGAACAAACAAAAATATTAAGCCAACCTACCGATGTGTATATTTGTACATAAAAACAAATTTGCATATTTATATATCCGATGTTTTTGTTTTGGGCTGGAGCAATAGCACAGCGGGTAGGGCATTTGCCTTACCTGGGTTAGATTCCTTCGTCCTTCTCGGAGAGCCCGGCAAGCTACCGAGAATATCCCACCCGCACGGCAGAGCCTGGCAAGCTCCCCGTGGCATATTTGATATGCCAAACACAGTACCAACAAGTCTCACAATGGAGATGTTACTGGTGCCCGCTCGAGCAAATCAATGAACAATGGGAGGACAGTGCTACAGTGCTATGTTTTTGTTTGTATGTATAAGCATTTATATGTATGTTGGTTTGGTTTGGGGGTGACACCTGGGGGTGCTCAGGGTGACTCCCAGCTCAGTGCTCGGAGGTCAGTTCTGCGCTGGGCGTGGAACTAGGCCTCCTGCACACCAAGCCCACGCCGCAGCCCTCGGATCCATGCCCAGGCCTCAGGCCCTCTGCAGAGGCCCCGCAAGGGCTCGCCCTCCGAGGCAGAGAGGCGTGGCATGCATGCAGGGCACTCAGAACTGGAAACCTCACCATGGACTCCAGAGCGGACATGAGGAAAGTCACCACCATCCTGCTCTCCGACGGCTCCTCCTTCTCCACGGGGAGGGTGGACATCGCGACCTGGGCCATGATGCCTGGACAGAGAAGCGGCGAGAGTGAGTGGACGGTGGCGCACCGGCCCTGAGGCCACTGTGGGACCCAGCAGCAGGCAAGGTGCACACGCATGGTCTCCACGGCCAGCCTGCACCAGGGGCCACGCCCTAGAAGATGGGAGGACAAAGCCTGGGGGGAGGGGCCTGGGGGGCAGAGTAGCCTGTTTCTGCATCCTAGTGGCTGTTTCCGAGTTAAATCCTGGAAGACCAATCAGTGACCTGGAGAGTGAACACAAACCCTCCATTCTGAAGAGGCTCCATCAAGGATGGAATCCGGGGAGGAGGCTTGGGGCAAGTACAGCCTGTTGATTAGAACTATGCAGATCAGAGGCGGGGGGGGGGGGTGGATAGTACAGCGGGGAGGGGGTTTGCCTTGCACAAAGTCAACCCAGGTTCGATCCCCGGCATTCCATATGGTCCCCCGAGCACCGCAAGGAGTGGTCCCTGAATGCAGAGCCAGGAATAATTCCCTGGGTGAGGCAAAAAAATAAAAGTGAGAGAAAGAAAAAGGGGGGGGGGAGGGAGAAACAAAGAGAAAAAGAAAGGGAGGAAGAAGAGAGGAAGGGAGGGGAGGAGGGATGAAAAGAGGATGGGATCCCAACGAGACCCCGAGTCGCTGCCCATGAACGGCCTCTCTGGCTCTGATCAAGCCGTTTAATGGCCAAGATCCCAGAGACTCAGAAACAAATCTCAAAACACAGTGGCTTTTGGCAGAAATGTGTCCGGTCCCTGCAGTAGGTTATCGGTGCTGGGCCAACCCAGGTGGGAATAGGTTTCGTGCCTTGGCCTGTTCCCCCTGGTGGCCCAGTGGCCACCATCTTCCAGAAGCCACTGGGCAATCAGGTCTAGGCCCGCAGTGACAAGACACACTGGGCCTCATGGTATGGGGGTGGAGCCAGCCCTTTCCTCCCCGTCCCAACAAGACCCCAAGTCATCGCCCACAAATGGCCTCTCTGGCTCCTGATCAAGCTGCTTAAGATCCAAGAGACTCAGAAACAAATCTCGGAACCCAGTGGCTTTTGGCAGAAATGCGTCCGGACCCTGTAGTAGGTTACTGTCACTAGGCGACCCCAGGGGGGAAAGGGTGTTGTCCCTCCGCCTGCTCCCCCTGACCGCCATCCTCCAGAGGCCACTGGACAGTCAGGTTTGTCTCAGTGATGAGACACGCGGGGCCTCAAGGGGTGGGGGTGGAGCCGGCCCTTTCCTCCCTGTCCCAACGAGACCCTGAGTTGTAGCCCGTGAACAGCCTTTCTGGCTCCTGATCAAGCTGCTTAATAGCCATGATCCCAGAGACTCAGGAAAAAATCTTGGAACCCAGCAGGTTTTGGCAGAATTCTCTCCAGATTTAAGTGTTAAAATTTCGGAATTTCAAAATCGTTCAGCCACATGACATCATATGTTATTCTTAACCAGCAATAGAAAACAAATCTACTGTTGCCTTTTCGGCAGATCTGAGTGTTGGGGTAAAATCTCAAATAATAATGGTGGGTCTGGTGTCAAAATATTGAATGTGATCAAAGTTGAGAGAGAGTGATGTGGAAATCATCTGCCCCACAGGTAGGGGGAGGGTGTGGGATGGGGGTATACTGGGGTTTTTTGTTGTGGAGAATGGACACATGTGAAGATACGGGGGTTTCATTGTATGACTGAGACTTAAACACGAAAGCTTTGTAACTACTCTTACGGTGACTCAATAAATAAAATTATAAAAAAAGGAAAAAAAAAAGGAAAGAGGATGGGAGGGACAGAACTCACACCACATGCCCAAGGCCCTGTGTTCAATTCCCCGGCACTGCTAGGCATGACCCTGCCTGCCTCCACCCCCCACCCTGGAATGTTTACTCATTTTTCAAAGAGGTAGGTTGGGGCTGGAGCGATAGCACAGCAGGTAGGGAATTTGCCTTGCATGCAGCTGACCCGGGTTCGATTCCCAGCATCCCATATACACCCCCCCCTGAATAGCACCCCCCCCCCCCGAACAGTGCCAGGAATGATTCCTGAGTGCATGAGCCAGAAGTAACCCCTGAGCATTGCTGGGCGTGTCCCCAAAAGAAAAAAAAAGTGCCATTATTTATCAAAGAGGTAGGTGAGCTGGAGAGAGATTAATATAGAGTGTGGGGCAGTTGCCTCTCACACAGCTGAGCAGGTTTGACCCTGGGCATCCCATATGGTCCCCAAGTTCGCCAAGAGAGATCCCTGAGCAGAGCCAGGACTCAGCCCTCAGCATGGCCTGGTGAGGCCAAAAAAGGAAAAAAAAAAGTGAACAAAATAAGGTGGGCCCAAGGAGACAGAACAGAGCTCACAGCACTTCCTGAGCATGTGGCCGGCCGGCTTATGAACTGGCACCATATGTGGTCCCCTAGCAGCACCAGCTGCGACCGCCCCCCTCCCCCAATCCCGCCCAACAGGCGGCTGTGAGTCTCCCAGATCACTGACGGCCCCATGACCTCCAAATGCCTCCTTGGGGGAAAAAAAACAGTTTTTGTCTGATTCTTCCCCAGTGTCTACACACACACACACACACACACACACACACACACACACACACACCTGGCTCTGTGCTGGAGGCCACACACTGTGTGGTTGGTGGGCCAGAGATCCCACATGTGGGTGGCACGAGGGATCGAACTTGTGGCCTCACACGCACAAGGGCAGGCGACTCTGCCCCGGCCTTCCTGGGGCCACCTGGTCCCCGAGAAGGAGACCCTGAGTCAGAGAGGGGCCGGGGAGGCTGCATTTGTCCTCATTCAGAAATCAAGAGAGCCACGTGTGACGTGAGCCTGTCCACAGCCGAGAGGCTGTGCCGGCCAGGCCAGCCGCAGTCGAAGGCACAACGGCTCCTTGGGGCTGATGACACTGTCCTAAAATTGGCCATGACCATGGCAACAAACCCTGTGGGCAGACTCAGCACCGTGCAACTGAACAATTCTATTTTTGGGGTTCCCCATCAGCAACTGGACAGTGTCGCGGCCACCACTCAGAGCCTGGGACATGCTGGGCCCATGCCCCAAGTCTTCGCCTGCCTGCTCAGTCTCGGAACCATCTCAGTGGGTGAACTGCAGGTGTCTGAGGGGGTGTCTGCAAAGCAAGTGCCCTCCCTGCCCACCGCACCATTGCTCCTGACACCACCATCCCCCATTTGATTTTTAATATCTTTCTAAAACTCTTTAATAGCTTGATTATAAAGTTTAAATATAATTTATATTATATTGATTTTATATATTATGTTATGTTATATTTAATATATAGTATGTTATATTATACAATATAAATTATATCTGTCACTGTCACTGTCCTCCCGTTGTTCATCGATTTGCTCAAGCGGGCCCAGTAACATTATGAGACTTGTTTTTATTCGTCGATTGCCTCGAGCAGGCCCCAGTAACGTCTCCTTCATCCTAGCCCTGAGATTTTAAGAAAGTGCTATATTCAAGGCTCTTTAGGAGAATGAGACCCATCATTGTTACTGGTATTTGGCATATTGGGTACGCCACGGGGAGTTTGCCAGACTCTGCCGTGTGGGCAGGTTACATTCGGTAGCCTGCCAGTTTGTCCAAAGTAGGAATGAGATAATAAGATGTTACAATAAGATGTCGCGCGGCCGCAAATGCGGCCGCATGGTTCCAAGAGCTAATTTTTATAGTCTCTGAGTCTTGGCCGTTGATGGGATTACACAGCGCCAGGGGGCCAGTTGGTGGGTGTGACCCCCGCCTACTGGAATTCGGAGGATCTGGGTGGAGGATGCTCAGCCCCGATCTGAGTATGCGTGGAGATATTAGCCCCGGGACCCGCTTGCCTTTGTTCCTCTGCCGGTACCTTCAGGTGTGCGGAGAGTGGTCCCAGTAACATTATGAGACTTGTTTTTATATAAGTAAATTTTTTAATTATAAAAATTTTTGACAGCTTTATAAAAAGATAGGGGCTGGAGTGATAGCACAGCAGGTAGGGTGTTTGCCTTGCACACAGCCGACCCAAGTTCGATTCCTCCGTCCCTCTCGGAGAGCCTGGCAAGCTACTGAGAGTATCCTGTCTGCATGGCAGAGCCTGGCAAGCTCCCTGTGGTGTATTCGATATGCCAAAAAGAGTAACAATTCTCACAATGAAGATGTTACTGTACCCACTTGAGCAAATCAATGAGCACTGGGAGGACAGTGCGAGAGTGCTATGGTGCTTATTGAGGTAAAACTAATGGGACCAGGGGCTGGAGCGATAGCACAGCGGGTAGGGCGTTTGCCTTGCATGCGGCCGACCCGGGTTTGATTCCCAGCATCCCATATGGTGCCCCGAGCACCGCCAGGAGTGATTCCTGAGTGCAGAGCCAGGAGTAACCCCTGTGCACTGCCAGGTGTGACCCAAAAAGCAAAACAACAACAACAACAACAACAACAAAAACCAAACAAGATGATCACAGAGTTTCCTTCTTTGTTGGTTAGTGTGTTTGGGGGCCACACCCAGGGATGCTCAGGGCTGACTCCTAGCTCTGTGCTCAGGAATCACTCCTGGCAGTCCTTGGGAGACCCTATGGGTTGCTGGGGATCGAATCCTGGTCAGCTGTGTGCAAGGTGAGTGTCCACTCCGCTGAACTATCCCCCCTAACACATACAGTTTCCTTTTAATAAAGCTTCATTATAAGTATTTGTTGGTTTTGAGCACCTAGTGGTCATGAACTTGGAGGTTCACCTGACAGTACTCGGGGGACTACACTGCTGGGAACCAAACCCGGGCCTCCTGCATGCAAAACACACACTCCAGTCCTTTGAGCTATCTCTGCATCCCTTAATCACTTAATCACTTAATCACTTAACTTCCCGTTAGTCGTCGATTTGCTCGAGTGGGCGCCAGTAACGTCTCCATTTGTCCCTGTCGCGTGCTAGTGTAGCCCAATGGCATCTCTTCGCTCCGGGAACATGGAGGGCCTCAAACCGATCGTTCATGATCTTGACAAAGAAGTCTGACCATCTGGTAGGTGGGCGGCCACGCGG